GCTTAAGTTAATTATATCTTAAGCTCAGTACTATACTAATATTATAAATATATATTAGCTAACAAACTCTACAGAGTTTGGCTATTATATATGTAGCTTAAGTTAATTATAGCTTAAGCACAGTACTATACTCATATTATAAAATATATTAGCTAACAAACTCTACAGAGTTTGGCTATTATATATGTAGCTTAAGTTAATTATAGCTTAAGCACAGTACTATACTCATATTATAAAAATATATTAGCTAACAAACTCTACAGAGTTTTTGCTATTATATATGTAGCTAAAGCTTATTCATATCTTAAGCTCAGCATTATATCTATATCATATAAGTATATTAACTAACAACAAACTCTAAAGAGTTTGCTATTATATAATTAGCTTAAGTTTAATCATATCTTAAGCTTAGTACTATGTTATATCTTAAAGTATTTTAGCTAACAAACTCTAAGGAGTTTATACTAGCATATTAACAAGCTTAAGTCTATTAGTCTTAAGCATTGTATTAATGTTATATATACTTTTTATCATAATAAGTACATGGTAATAACCTTTTATATGGCAGCTGATAAGTTAGCAGCAGGAATTCATCAGTTCAGTGCCTTTATGAAGTTCCCATAGGGTTATTACAATCATCACAGTTCAAATCACTAATTATTAAAAATCCAAAGTATTAGATATTCCCACCTCCGTTCCGTAGGATGCTACAAGCAAAAAGAGCATGAGTCAGGATAAGGAAAAATATGTAATTTTGGAGTAAAATTGATATTTTATACTTATCCTGACTCATGAGGTCAGCCCTCCCATCCTCCCCAAATAACACTTTGGATTTCCTGTAAATTCAAATGTTGGGCTCAGTATATGAGGAGAGAGTGAGGCACATGGGTAGAGGGTGGCCTCGCTCCCGCTTGTGGAAAAGGAGGTAACTCGTGGTGAATACTAATTAGTGATTTTAAATTGAAGGGAGCTTCAATTAGGGAGATACAAGTGTTCCACTATGTTCGCAAGAAGAAGAAGACAAGCAAAAAGAGCATGAGTCAGGATAAGTATAAAATATCAATTTTACTCCAAAAATTACATTTTTTAATTGAACATGTTAGCAAGGGTATCAATGCAACCATGCTAGACAACACCTGTGTTTTTGTGGTGCTTGTAGTCGTCGCTGTGGAAGATCTACAATTGCCTGACGGAATGTTACCGGCGCCGTGGGATGTGGAAGGAAGCCATGGAAACCATAGCAATGTACCTGCACATTGATGACAGTCACGTGAACACTCTGGTGCAACTGTGGGTGCGCATCAAGCGGGATGCTTCCAGGGAGGGGCAGCAAGACTTTGTGGACAAGTAAGGCAGCTAGCTGAAAGGCCACATAAATTCAGTATTAGCTTTTGAAAACAAATGTTGAGATATTTTAGAGAATAGTTTTACAGTTTATTGTTTCAAACATTTACACAAAAACATGTTGACAGTTAACAGTGAGGATGGGTAGGCAGCAGTACATGTTAATTGTCAAAGCATGTGAGATGAAGAAATCTGAAGTGTTACATGACCGTAACAACCAGCATGTATAATGCATTGTGTGACATATGTTACCATCTCAAACCTCTCTGTAATTTCTTGAGGACGTTCACACTTTAGGTTGAATCTGTTCTTCAAGTAAACACTTTCTATGTCATTGTTGGTAGAGTTGAACCTTTCTGAGATCTTGACAATACATTAGACCGAACATGAGAGGAATACCATATGGAAAATTGCCTCCCTGACACAACTGCTTCTGCTGTTAATATGGTGTACATTGTGTAACATGTTCATCCCAGGACAATGAAGGACGTGTTCGACACTGAGGGTGAGGAGAGACCACCAACAGATGGTGACAAGATCCTCTGTCTGCTACAGTCAGAGCTGGAGGCTTTCAGGGGCATCAAGTAGGTAGATTGCTCATTTTCACAAACCAACACAATTACAAGTAAGGTGTAAGATAAATGACTAATGAGGGTACAAGTTTGAGATTAGTAACATGTTGTATTGCAAATAATGAACATATTTAACATGATACAGTGTACTTATGTGATTCCTATGTATGTATCTACAGTTAAGGGTTGCACTCTGTAATGCTGCAAGAGAGTTTGCTGTGCAAAACTGAACCCCTTAGACAAGTGTTCTAATCCAACACTGACACGAAGCTAGTCTGTCAAATTCATACTCATACTCATTAGTTTAACCAATGTTTCAACATCTGGGAACACACAAACATCGTGTTTTCTTCCTACAAGCTGGCATGCTGTGATGTAACTGAAATACTGTGCAAAGTCTGTCAATTTTCTGACCACAAATGGCTTGAGATGATTAAATCAGTGTTTAGTAGGACCTAACTACATTTGAAATATCCTCTAGACGTTTTTGCTGGCAATAATCATTGTCCTTGGGGAAAAAATGATCGGAAATCCTAGGAAATGTAGCCCACTGACCCAAACACTAGTGTGTGTAGAAGACTTATGAGATGTGTGTGTGCAGGAAGCGCTGGAATGAGGGAGAGGCTGTGGTGCTGAAGGACCTGGTGTCTGTTGTGGGGGACTCCAGCACCAAGGCTGGCTACCTGCTGTCTCTTGCCCAGATCATGTGGGTCACAGGGTTAGAGACACACAGGTGAGAGTGACACACTAGCAGACAATTTGCTTGACACATTGACCATATGATTATGTTCCTGAACATTTTTGCCATCTCATTACAAACTTTGAAAAAAATCATTTGGACATTTTAGATAAAAGTCAGTCAAGCATCCCAGAATATGAAGCTATCTAAAACCCAGAGTAGTGCATCTGAAATTTAAAATGTCTGACTCCTTTTTATTCTCATTCTTCATTTAGCCACCAATATGTTTCACAGGGATATAAAAAAAATAAAATTGAAATTTAATTATCTGTGTTATTTATGAAAATAGCTGTAATTTGTTTGCACATTTTAATAACTAATACTATTCATTCAGCTCAGATGATTGTAATACATCAATTCGATCCTTAATTTCAGATCTGCCAGAGAATGTGTGAATGATGTTCTGGATTTGTTGGGCAAGACAACAAGTTCTGAAGGCTACCTAACCTTGGCTCAAGGACACTTGTGGCGCTTTATCATCACACGGGAGGACTTGTGTAAACAGGTTGGTTCCTGGACCCTTTTTTGGGCTTCAGCATTGTCAAATATTTGGTATTGAGAAATGAGTGAATTGGAATATCTTAAGAACCGTTGACTAGATTCTTTTCATATTTGGTACCTAGGTTCATCACAGTATGTGACAGGTCTCAGTCAGGTTTGGTGACATTGACCTTCATTTCAAGGTCACAAGGGGTCAGTGAGATATCTCAAGAACTGTTAACTGGATCTTCTTCATATTCGACATCAAGCTTCATCTAGGGAAGGCATAGGGCCCAGTCGATTTTGGTGACCTTCACATAATTTTCAAGGTCACAGTGACACTTTGAGGATTTCAGCATGTTAACCTGCATTTTAAGATTGTCAGCAAAATATCTCAAGAATGGTTCACTGGATTTTCTTCATAGACTTTCAAGACTTCTCTTGAATGTTTTTTTATAAACAATTTCTTTATAACTATTTTTGTATATTTTATACACCATGACATTCATGTCAAGGTCAAAGTGAGTCTTGAAAATATTTGTGTAACAACTACAGAGCAAGATATCAAGAGAGGTTGTTTGGTCTTGTTTTTGTTCACATTTAACTTCATCTTAAACTGCGACCTTCACTTTAATTAGTTTAGTTTGATTTGATAATTTGCGGTGGGGGATTATGTCACCTTAGTGACAATGCTTATTTAAAGTCATTTATAACTGTTAGAAGCCACTGATGACTATGTCAAGGTAATTCAGGTGTGTTTAAGACTGCTATTCATAACCTGATATGTCGTAGACAGCCTATTCAGAGTTCCATCTAAAATGAAACTGCACTTGTGTCCAGTACTTGCTGCCGGCCGGGGAGAGTGAACCTGACCCAGGTGAGGAAGAACCTTCGGCCAGGAAGGGGACGAAGGAGGGGGTGAAGGAGGTGTCAGCACCGAGCAAGGTGTACACGCTGCATCAGTGTGAGGTGGATGTGGCAGACATGGACCAGGCAGTAACCCTGATGATGCAAGGCATAGAAGCAGGCATCTCCGATACGTCACAGCTGGACTTGTCAGCACTGACACAAAACCTTATCATGGCAGCATCAGTCTTCAGGCTCTTGCGGAAGGTAATACACTTATAATGTCCATGTTTGTATTTGTTTCAAAGTGAGTGTTTTTTTTTAAAAGAACTCATGTGTTTGGTTTTAATCAAGAAATGCATAGTTATGTATACTTGATTGATGAAAGAACATATGGCTTGTCTTTCACAGATCTATTAGGCTGACTGACTCACTGAGTTTACTTTTATGCCGTTTTTAGCAATATTCCAACAATATCACAGCTCGGACAGAAATGGGCTTCGCACACTGTACCCATATGGGGAATTGAATGACGAGCGGACGCTTAAACTAGGCTACACTAGAGCCCAGATCTATTAGGCCTAATACAGCTCCTCTATAGAAACAATTCTGAGCTTTTTAGCATGTGAGGCTTCAAAATGTCTTAACCAAAGCCTGTATAAGTCTCCAGTACCTGGGACTTGTTCGACAAAACAATCTTAGCGCTAAGAAAGTCTTGAGACGATGTTAAAGTATGAGAGTTACGATCACCTTAGCACTACAAACACTTTGTTGATGGGGGTCCAGATTAGTAAGTGCCCTTTATGGACATATCTACTGTACTACACGTGTAGAAATCATCATTATGTTAAGCACTGCCTTGTATGTCTCCACAGCCTGTACAAGAACTGCAGACACTGTGCATGGCACTAAGTGTATGTCCATCTACTGATGCCACCACGGCAGCACGGATCCGACAGGACATATCGAGGGTGTTGATGGAGAGTGGTCAGTACCACATGGCAGAGATGTTGCTGCCTGCTGTGGACACAACTGGGATGACCGAGGACTCCCATCAGAAGATTCTGTTGCAGCTCCTCAAGGAGAGAATAAATCTTCTCAATCAGAAGGTAAAAGTCATCATAAGTCATTGATTAAATGAATATCAGACTACTCGTTTCAACCAGTTTGACTAACAGTATTTTGCTTCATCATTTTGTGCAGAGTTTATGTTTTCACATACAGGTAGTTTTTGCCTGTAGCAAAATAACATTAGTCAATAGAAATCTAGTGAGTGAGTTAGTGGCTATGGCATTGTGCCACTTTGGGCAATGTTCCTATATATAACCCTATATTCGTGATATGTGTCATATTCGCCTCATAGAGGGCTCGTTGCTGCCTTGATAATTAGTATGATAGTATCATCCCTTCTCTGAGTAGATTGAACCAAGTCTGACGCGGATACTGAGTATGGTGGAGAGTCTAGTAAAGCCAACAGCAAGAGCTGGATGGCAACTCTCACAGAGGGTGTGGCCAAGAGACTGTTGTCCATGTTCCTTATCCAGCCAATGCAGTCAGAAACCCAGGTGTCAGAGTACGCCCTCTCCTTGGCCCAGGAGGCGGTCAAACTCCACACAGCGGTGGTCCACTTCCTGATGGGCAGAGACATGGAGTCTGTAGTCAGTCAGTCTGGAAAGGGTAAGACAGTAGACATACCAACATTTCAGCTTACAATGTAAATAATTACCTTTGTGAAACAAATTTCTACTGTGTGTGTACCGTTGTTGGGATAACATAAACTAGTATCTATTATTACACTGCAATATTTCACATTTAACATCTCTTTTAGGTATGTAGTATTGTGGGAGTTGATGTCGTTTCTATTTCATGTATAATTATTAATTAGAAACTAACATGTTTTTGGACAGCACTTGGTTGTCAAATTAGGTTGTAGTTGTTGGTAATATTGACCTGTGCAGACATGGAATCCACACAGTTGTGTGTTAGTATTCGTGTGAGGCCCATCCTTTTTCCTCAAGGTATGACATAGCTCAGGGGTGGAAATAACCCATTGCCCGACGCCCAAGTCCAGTGTTTTTTTCTGTCGGGCAAGCAAATTTGTATATCACGCTGTACCGGTGTCCAGTTGACTTTCCAATATTAATTATGTTGTTTATTTTAAAATTCAACAAGAAAACGGCCAGTATAGTGGAAACATTATCAGGGCAAGTGATTTTACATGTGTCACTGTACCGGAGTACACTAGCAATTTTAAAGTTATTTCCACCCCCTGATAGCTACATTATTACCATATGATCTTAATAACTTAGGGCAAGTAGTTTTATATGACATGTTCACCTTTTTTTGTGTTTGCAGATCCGCATGTACTGGACAAATGGATGGTGGTGAGTGAACTCCTGGAGTCGATTCTTCATCTTTGTCATCTATATCGACATGTTGGTGATGTCAAGGATGCCAGGGGATACCTCAGGGAGGGTCTCAAGATCTCCAAGCGTCTCTGTCTACCAAGATGGTAAATGCTTTATTGTGTTGTGATGGTATTGTCCTGAATTTCCAGAAAGCCAATATCTGGAATGTGTTACTTTAAGTTTCACAATAAGGTATTTTGATATTAGGGACACAGTTGGCTCAGATACCTTAGGTGCTTGAATATGCTTTGCAGAGCCTTGGACACACCAAATTGTTGGTTCATATCCCAATTTGCCACGAGTACGTGTCTAGATTTATCAACACCATACACATAGTGAAAGTGGTACACATCTGAGACCTGTGTCACTTCAGGCATTCATCCCACATTACACTCACATGTAGTGATATAACTGGACGAATGTTCAAAGTGGCAATTTAATACTCACTCACTCACTCACTCACTCACTCACTCACTCACTCACTCACTCACTCACTCACTCACTCACTCACTCACTCACTCATCGCTCACTCGCTCACTCGCTCACTCATGCACTCACTCATGCACTTCCGAAAGGGACAACCTTCACAAAAAGGAATTTCTTTCTTTTGTTTTCATGTTTTTGTTTCAGTTATTACATTTCATGTACATTTCTTGTTTAGGACCACAGAGTTTCTACTTGAACTTGGAAGAATCAACTCAATATCAAGCAATGAGAAGGAGTGTCTACGGCTACTGAAGGAGACAGCCATGATACTCCGACAAATCCCTGGTAAAGAGGAAGTCAGTGTGTTTGATCAAAAGCATCAAAAAGCCAGCGTCAACAATAAAACTGCCACAGCTAAGAAACCTCGAGCAACTCGTGGCAAGAGTGCATCCACAAACAAGAAGAATGATAAAGTGAAAGATGAGGAGCTTATTGACGATTGTTTTGGGTTTGAGAGTGTCCGAGATGCAGGAATTAAGAGACCCTCGGAGAGTGATGTCGCCTCCATTCTAGGTCCAATGAGCTCTCTGTCTTTGGATGTAGAGCTGCCTGCATCAGTGCCACACAACACAGACTGCTCCTGCTCCTTGTGTCAAGACATCATCGTACAGGGACTTGACCTCCTGTTCTCAGAAACTCTGGGCGAGTTCTATCAGTATTCAGGATCTCTTGAAAAGGGATGGGATGAACTCAAGAAGGTTGAATCCTCTAAGTCTGCTCTAGAAAGATTGACAGCTGATAACACAGCTATTATACATGAACAGTTAAAATCAGCAGAATTGATCTCAAAGTCTAACAAGAAGTCATCGATACAGCTCCAACCAGTGCTATTGCCAAGTCTGAGACAGCTCAGTATTGAAACGTACTGTCTTCTAGCTCAAACAGCTTTGAAGAAATGCGAGTCTGAGACTGCAGACTTTCTGTCTCGGTCTGCCCTGAAGATGATCAACTCGGACACCAGTAAGGACCTGTTGCAGCAGAGTTTCCTCAAGGCCCAGCTACAGCTGGTGCAGATACAGGCTCGCCTCCAGACCACGGGGGATGTGTATGTAGCCAACGACAAGGCACCCCCACCCAAACCAGTGCCAGCCAGGGCTCGGGCTCGCTCCACCAGACAGAAGAAATCTTCTACTAGCAGGAGGGGCAAGTCAGAGATTGAAGAGGAAGGTAAGTTATTGCTGAATGTGCAAGTAATTCTTACTTTTCATTTCTATCTACTGATATCATGTTTATGCCACCTTTACTTTCAATTTCGTCTGTACTGAACATGTTTAATGTGATGTTGATACTTTGTATTCTAACCTGTTAGTTTGTCATTTAAATTGCCATTTGAATGTTCTGCACCCTGTTTAGATATTTATTTGACCTGTTTTTGGTTAAAATCCTGCGTGGTTGTTTATCATGAATACTTAAATCATCAGGACATCATGCATTACAGGGGACTGTGTTCTGATTGTGCTGCTAAATATACTTAAGAGATGTTTCAGTAAGGAAAAACTGTTATCTGCAGTAGCCTATCCGCGTTTGATAATTCAGATTTCCATGCAAGATGCAAGTTACATAGAATAATAGTGTCATATATGTTTATCATGATAGTAAAGAGTACTTGTGTGGTGTAATCGAGTGTTGATTGTATTCAGATACCCCTGCTGCTGTGGACCACCAGGATACCACTGTGAAGGACTCCCTGACCTCCGCCTTCACCAACATCTCTCACTTCCCATCCAGCGATGTGTACGGAAACTTGTGTCGCATGTTAGCCTGCCAGCATCTCAACACAGATGAACTGAAGACAGCATACTACCTCAATGAGGCAGTTTCCATTACGTTCAGGCATCAAGCTCTTGCAAATACTAGTCGCAAAATTAGGTAAATTCCTTGATATTGATTCTAGACATCGTATATCCCTAAGCAGGGGTCATTTGCATCCCTTTTTGAATGAATGACACTTATGTAACAGTATAGAGTAGTGGATGGTGGTAATAGCTGTTGACTATGAATAGAAAACTTAAACAGTTGGTCATCTGGAGGGGCAACTTATAAGTGTGACCTATCTGATCAGTGTATGAAATAAGCCAAAAACCCAGGCTGACATCTGGGCTGGTAACGTCAAATTGTAACCAGCCCAAAATGGACACCAAGATATGGTGAATTTAATTAGATGTATGAAACATCTACAGACCATCGGGCTGGCTAGCTGTAAATTTAGACCGTCCATCAGAAATCTAGCCCATCTTTGGCAGTCGGACATCCCTTATTTCATACACTGATCTGATTAAGTATCATTACCCCCTTAAAGTGTGAATAGTTGCACATTACTGACACTGCAGTGACCATGTTCTACCACTGATGCTTTATTATGTAACTTATTATGTAACTTTGTTCAAAGAAATTGGACACTGGACCAACAGTATACATATAATATACTAAACCACTCACAACACTCAGTGTGAAAAGCAATTTCTCAAATTTTCCCCATCATTCCATTTACGGCAATCTAAACAACTAACATGTTGATCAATGCATAAATTGATATAGGAAAACTAGGAAGATAGATGTCCTCAGTGTCACAGGAAGTATAGGCCAATGGTGACAAGGGCCTGTAACTCTGGTATATGGATACTCTGTGTGTCTCTACAGGAAGGTGAGAAGGTTGTAGGGGATTATGACCAGGGCATGTAACTCTGGTATATGGATACTCTGTGTGTCTCTACAGGAAGGTGAGAAGGTTGTAGGGGATTATGACAAGGGCATGTAACTCTGGTATATGGATACTCTGTGTCTCTACAGGAAGGTGAGAAGGTTGTAGGGGATTATGACAAGGGCATGTAACTCTGGTATATGGATACTCTGTGTGTCACTACAGGAAGGTGGAGAAGGTTGTAGGGGATTATGACAAGGGCATGTAACTCTGTATATGGATACTCTGTGTGTCACTACAGGAAGGTGAGAAGGTTGTAGGGGATTATGACAAGGGCATGTAACTCTGGTATATGGATACTCTGTGTGTCACTACAGGAAGGTGAGAAGGTTGTAGGGGATTATGACAAGGGCATGTAACTCTGGTATATGGATACTCTGTGTGTCACTACAGGAAGGTGAGAAGGTTGTAGGGGATTATGACAAGGGCATGTAACTCTGGTATATGGATACTCTGTGTCACTACAGGAAGGTGGAGAAGGAGCTGGCTACATGTGAGGGGGAACTGGGGACACTAAGGGAGGACCTAGAAGACTTATGCCGAGTCCGGAGTCTGCTTGCATTCAACAAGGAAGTGTCACACTTCCAGCAGATGATGCAGCATATACCCCCAGGTACAGAGTTCTCTCCCTTGACCAAAGATAGGGTTGTCATGACGATGAGTGATCAGTATGTTATTCTTTTAGGTATGCAACTGGTCAGGTGATTACCAACACTAGTGCTTGAGAAATATGGCCATACGTTAATATCATGCTGATAGATCCAGAGCAGTACTTAACTTACCATGATCTTGCTTGTTATATTTAAGAATACATTTAGTGCTCTGTACACCAGTTTAAAGTAATTATTTTCAATTTCAAACTTGATTTAACAGAAAATATGCAAGAATGTCTCATTGCTAGATAGTAAGGACCTTGAAATGCTCATGTTGTACTTGTTTGTCTGGGTCAGACTGGACAGTGTGTCAAGTAACGCTAGCAAAGTCAACGCCTGATACCAATCGCCTACTGCTGACTCGACTCACCTGTCACACTGATCCAGTAACCGTGGAACTTCCTGGCTTTGAGTCTGTCCAGGTATGTCTCTGGTCATCTTTATCTCGTTAATGTTAATGGTGGTGGGTTAGCCTAGTGGTTAAAGCGTTCGCTTGTCACGCCAGAGGACCCGGGTTTGATTCCCCACATAGGTACAATGTGTGAAGCCCATTTCTGGTGTCCCCACCGTGATATTGCTGGAATATTGCTAAAATTGGCGTAAAACCATACTCACTCACTCACTCACTCGTTAATATTATCATGTGGGTCATTGCTCATGATTTCAACCACTGGTTTGTCTGATCCAGGATTGTTTATCAAGAGGCCTCTGATCTATGAGTGGAATAGCATTCATTGCTTCAATGTATCCTAACGTGTGGATGTTTTGATTTTTACTGCATTTGTTTTCCAAAAATATGTTGCAGGCTACTTTTAAGGATGTGATGTTGCTGATTCTTTCACCCAATATTAGTTGTCTTTACTATAGTAGTGACAAATGTCACTCACAGAATGTATTCCGTGATATATTGTATATGGTCTTAGATGTATTATTTGTGGATTCTCACTGGTATATAATTCCGTATAACAGGGTCGGAGTATATTGCCTGAGTTCAAGGCAATAATACAGACAAGCAGCGAGAGCATGAGGCTGACAGACAAGAATCAGTGGTGGCAGACTCGCAGGGACCTTAATGACAGAGTACAGGTAGGCAAACTCAGCATCCCCTCACTGCCAAATATCAGTACACAGTGTACATTCTGACATGCGGTTTTCTATGTCACCTGCTTTGTTATGCAGGAGACATTTTCTATCTTAATACAACAAGAAAGATGTTCTGAAGTACCAGCAGAGAAGTAGAGTACTTTATGTCGTTGGTCTGTTGCAGTCTGTAGTAGACTTGATGGAAAAGTACTGGCTTGGGAAGTGGGTGTGTCTACTACAAGGTCAGCTGTCCTTGGGTCAAAGGTCAAAAGTCAATGAAGTTCTTACACAGCTGCAGAAAGACATCAAAAAGTCATGCAAGACGGTAGTAGAACCACAAGTTCTAGAGGTATGTATAAAGACACTTTAGCATGGTAGCTTGTTTCTTTGAGGAGCAATCGCTATATGGCTGTAATATTGCCGATGCGATGTAAAATTTTAACTCACTCACTCACTCTTTGAGGAGCACAATTTCAGTCAAGATCTATTTAGACAGAAGTGTTAGTCCAGTGTGACAGGACTCCATATTTGGCTGTTGGATTATGTCCCTCGGTAGAACAAACCCAGATTAACATACCCAAAAGAAACTGTACATGTATATTAGTTCATTTTGTATACATTATGGCACATCTTGTTTTGATCATCAAGTACTTAATTATGTAATGAGTTGATCCACTGTAGCATCAAGCTTGATTTAACACGATTTGGTCAGACAGAAATCCACTGGTTTTGTGGATGGATGATAGGACATTTGAGTTGGCCATGGTAACAGTAGCAAACGTTGCAGGATGATGTTGTGTGTGTTGCAGCTGTTGCTCACCCTGTGTATCAGCCTCCCTGTAGACAACCACAGCGACGTGGTCACCAAGATTGTGAAGGTCAGCGATGAGGCTGCCCACAAACTCACCACTGCTGTGTCCAAGTGCTGTGAAACTCTTGCCTCAGATATGAACTGTCCTTCCAGACAGCCGGTCCTACTCGTCCTAGATAAGGTACACTAAGTTCAAACACTGTTGCAGTGTCTTAATACATGTAAAGTAAGCTATTATATGGTAATGGTACTCTGATCCATGCATCATGGCTTGCATTGTCATGTACTCCCCATTATTGCTATATCTCAACAGCGCATTAGAGATTGGTTCAAAGACCCCTGAAGATCTGGGTAAAAATGGGTCTTCACCAACCCACGCTTGTCGTATGTGCTGACTAACAGGATCGGGTGGTCAGGCTCACTGACTTGGTTGACACATGTCATTGTATCCCACTTGCGTAGATCTGTGCTCATGCTGTTGATCACTGAATTGTCTGGTCCATACTAGATTATTTACAGACCACTGCCATATAGCTGGAATGCTGCTGAGTGTGGTGTTAAAACACAACCACCCTAACCGATTGGTTCATACATTCTGTCCTCAGATTCAGAAGTATTGTCAGAACTACAAAATTTCACTACAGCAGCATGTTTCTTTGAGAATCCCTTCACTCATTTCAATCCCATGATGGCAGGCTCTTGTAGGCCCACACATACTTATCTGATGGAAATTCTTTCAGCCTTTGAATTAATCTTCAAGAATTATTTTTGTTTTATCATGATGCACTGACAGGTGTACTGTAAAACAGGTAAAACTTGTTTCCCATCCTTTATTCATGTTACACTGTTATGAAGTGTATAATGGGAGGGTAGTCTAATAGATGGCTTTGTGTACAGGATGTCCAGCACCTGCCCTGGGAGAGTCTACCCAGCCTCCGCAGCCACCCAGTCACCAGGATCCCGTCTCTCTACCACCTCCACACACAGCTGTCGGCAGGGCACATGTCGGAGTCCCATGCCTGTGTCCGCGGAATTGATATTCAGAATGCTTTCTACATACTCAACCCTGACAACGACCTCATGTCAACACAGGAGTCCTTTGAAAACTTGTTTAAAGAGTAAGACATCTTTCGTTTCCAAAGCAAGATTTAAGGCCAGACACGGCACCTCAAATTGACATATTTGCTTCAATATGTCAAAATCGAGATTTTGATTTTTTTTCGTATAATTAACACATGTACTTCACGATACAACACGTTGTTTTCGATAAAGAGTCTTATTTATTGATATAAACCCCTACAAACATAATCGTATATGTGATAATATTTAAAAATGTGTGAAATCAAACCCTGAAAACGCCGAACTTTCACCCCTAACAACGCCCTCCCAGCAGGGACGAACCCATTCATGTTATACATCGCTAGAAAGCTCATCGTGTCCGCCATGTTGTTGGTCAAAAACATTCTAAAAATAGATGTTCCACGTGAGGATATCTCTACTTTCCCGCGATAGGTATTCTGTACGAAAACATCCTTGTAAGGCGAAATATCCCACAATGCAACATTCGGCAAGGCGAAATATCCCACAATGCAACATTCGGTAATCTTCGTTACATCCTTATATGGTAAACGTATCCCACAATGCACCATTCGGCATATCAACAAAACATCGTCCTTTCCCGGTAAGCATTCAAAATGGCGGCTGCTTAGCGAAAACATCGACCGATAAACATCGTATTTGATATATTCTTGACTAACAGTTGTTGTATTCTATAAAAATGAGAAGAACACAGTCAAAGCACGCCTACATTAAGAATAAGAGGCGCAGTTGCGACAGGCATGCTTAAAATGCAGTGTCAAAGATCCGACAAGTTTTGACAGCGCGATCAAGCATGTGTTTAGATTCTGACAGCCTCTACATTTTCGATGCATCGGAAACATCTGGGGACCACGCCTTTGAGGAAAACATTCCCAATGGAGTCAATGAAGGTAAGAAATAGTTTTTATTGAATGAAGAATTCACGCATAGAACTTTCAAAATTTAAAGTTTTTGAAAACCTCCGATCTCATTTCCTCGTCAATGACAAACCTACACCTCAATCAATGGATGCGAAGGGATAGAGTTTATGTTGAAGCAACTGACTACTGAGTGGTTGTTGTATGGTGTAGGGGAGTTTAATGTCTTTTTTTCTTTGTATATGAATTGCTTCATGTATTTGAAATACATCCCTTCAGTAAACTGAGACTTTGAATGTGTTTATCTCGTGCTAAAAGTAGGAAAAAACACGACAAATTTATTTCCTTATTTTCTCCATATACGTCATTTTCGATCTTAGTGAACATAGTTCTCCAGTTGTTATCATTCCATTGGCAATCTAAACAACTGTATGTTGATCAATGCATAAATTGATATGGAAAGCTAGGAAGATAGATGTCCTCAGTGTCACAGGAAGTATAGGCCAATGGTGACAAGGGCCTGTAACTCTGGTATATGGATGCTGTGTCTCTACAGGAATGTGAGAAGGTTGTAGGGGATTATGACAGGGCATGTAACTCTGTATATGGACCTCTGTGTCTCTACAGGAAAATGTGAAAGGTTGTAAGGGATTATGACAGGGCATGTAACTCTGTATATGGACACTCTGTGTCTCTACAGGAAGGCATCAATATGAGAAAGGTTGTAGGGGATTATGACAAGATGTAACTCTGGTATATAGATACTCTGTGTGTCACTACGGAGGTAGAAAGGTTGTAGGGGATTATGACAAGGGCATGTAACTCTGGTATATGGATACTCTGTGTGTACTACAGGAATGTGAGAAGGTTGTAGGGGATTATGACAAGGGCATGTAACTCGGTAGTTGTTACTGGCCCGATTTCAATGAAATTTTGTGTACATATAGCCAATTGATTACTTTATGCAATAACAGAGAGACTTTTTCAAATTTGTTGCCGGTTTTCTTTTTAAAAATGAAATATGAGTGAAAAATGTTACCCCCAAATGTGATTTTTGATAAATTGTAATTTTCAAATAAAATAACAGTCTTTTCTCAAAAATATAATTCTGTCATTTGCAGAATTGGCGGAGCATATTGCCTGAGTTCAAGGCAATACAAGCAGCCAGAGCATGAGGCTGACAGACAAGAATCAGTGGTGGCTGCAGACTCACTTATAGGGACCTTAATGACAGAGGTACAGGTAGGCAAACTCGGTATCCCTCCTCACTGCCAAATACCAGTACACAGTGTACATTCTGACATCACGGTTTCTATGTCACCTGCTTTGTTATACAGGAGACATTTTTCTATCTTTATACAACAAGAAAGATGTTCTGAAGTACCAGCCAGAGAAGTAGAGATAACTTTATGTAGTTGGTCTGTTGCAGTCTGTAGTAGACTTGATGGAAAAGTACTGGCTTGGGAAGTGGGTGTGTCTACTACAAGGTCAAGCTGTCCTTGGGTCAAAAAGACATCAAAGTCATGCAAGGCGGTAGTAGAACCACAAGTTCTAGAGGTATGTATAAAGACACTTTAGCATTGTAGCTTGTTTCTTTGAGAACAATGCAGCTATATGGCTGTAATATTGCCGATCGCGATGTAAAATTTTAAACTCACTCCTCACTCTTTGAGGAGCACAATTTCAGTCAAGATCTATTTAGACAGAAGGGTTAGTCCAGTGTGACAGGACTCCATATTTGGCTGTTGGATTATGTCCCTCGGTAGAACAAACCCTAGATTAACATACCCAAAAGAAACTGTACATGTATATTAGTTCATTTTGTATACATTATGACATCTTGTTTTGATCATCAAGTACTTAATATGTAATGAGTTGATCCACTGTAGCATCAAAAGCTTGATTTAACACGATTTGGTCAGACAGAAATCCACTGTTTTTTGCGGATGGATGATAGGACATTTGAGTTGGCCATGGTAACAGTAGCAAACGTTGCAGGATGATGTTGTATGTGTTGCAGCTGTTGCTCACCCCTGTGTATCAGCCTCTCCGGTGACAACCACAGCGACGGTGGTCACCAAGATTAAATGAAGGTCAGCCGGATGAGGCTGCCTTACAAACTCACCACTGCTGTGTCCAAGTGCTGTGAAACTCTTGCCTCAGATATGAACTGTCCTTCCAGACAGCGGTCCTACTCAGATCCCTAGATAAGGTACACTAAGTTCAAACACTGTTGCAGTGTCTTAATACACATGTAAAGTAAGCTATTATATGGTAATGGTACTCTGATCCATGCATCATGGCTTGCATTGTCATGTACTCCCCATTATTGCTATATCTCAACAGCGCATTAGAGATTGGTTCAAAGACCCCTGAAGATCTGGGTAAAAATGGGTCTTCACCAACCCACGCTTGTCGTATGTGCTGACTAACAGGATCGGGTGGTCAGGCTCACTGACTTGGTTGACACATGTCATTGTATCCCACTTGCGTAGATCTGTGCTCATGCTGTTGATCACTGAATTGTCTGGTCCATACTAGATTATTTACAGACCACTGCCATATAGCTGGAATGCTGCTGAGTGTGGTGTTAAAACACAACCACCCTAACCGATTGGTTCATACATTCTGTCCTCAGATTCAGAAGTATTGTCAGAACTACAAAATTTCACTACAGCAGCATGTTTCTTTGAGAATCCCTTCACTCATTTCAATCCCATGATGGCAGGCTCTTGTAGGCCCACACATACTTATTATCTGATGGAAATTCTTTCAGCCTTTGAATTAATCTTCAAGAATTATTTTTGTTTTATCATGATGCACTGACAGGTGTACTGTAAAACAGGTAAAACTTGTTTCCCATCCTTTATTCATGTTACACTGTTATGAAGTCTGACCAATGTATAATGGGAGGGTAGTCTAATAGATGGCTTTGTGTACAGGATGTCCAGCACCTGCCCTGGGAGAGTCTACCCAGCCTCCTCAGCCACCCAGTCACCAGGATCCCGTCTCTCTACCACCTCCACACACAGCTGTCGGCAGGGGCACATGTCGGAGTCCCATGCCTGTGTCCAGCGGAATTGATATTCAGAATGCTTTCTACATACTCAACCCTGACAACGACCTCATGTCAACACAGGGAGTCCTTTGAAAACTTGTTTAAAGAGTAAGACATCTTTCATTTCCAAAGCAAGATTTAAAAAATTGTCTCCACAAAACCTTTCAAGGAGGGAAAATTGGTATAACATTTTGCAAATACTTCCAAGATTTGTTTTCTCTGTTGGACCAAGTGGCATTTTAAACCAATTTAATGTTGAGGAAGCATCTGAAACAGATCTAAAAGTCACTTAGTATTTCATCAAGACTGTTATTTCAACTGTTATTTGCCTTCCAGTTTTGAGATGTTCAAGTTCTAGTCACATTTATGTAAAATGTTTTTCTCAGATATTTGTGATACTGACTTGAAGATGTGTGTGTATTTTGTTATTTGATTCCAGGCCGTCTGGATGGACAGGACTTATAGGAGAGAAGCCTACCCCCAGTCAGTTCAAGTCAGCATTGACTGATCACGACCTCTTCATGTAAGTCTCTGTGAAGTGTAGGGGTGGGTATTGCAGAGAATTTTCATGTCTGAACCGGTAAATACCGGTAAACCGGTTATATTGGGCAGCCCTAGTGAAGTGGTTGTGATATATGGACTCTTGCTACTATATAACGTGGATGGCATATACTTATGGAAATTTGTGATAAGTGTTGAGACAAAAGTGAATAAAACAGGTGAAACTTTCATGACAATGTTGGAAAGCAGTTCTTTAAGAGTATCTACTGACGCTACTGAGTGAGTGAGTTTAGTTTTACGGCACACTCAGCAATATTCCAGCTATATGGCGGGGGGGGTCTGTAAATAATCGAGTCTGGATCAGACAATCCAGTGATCGACAGCATGAGCATCATACTGCGCATTTAGGATACGATGACATGTGTCAACCAAGTCAGCGAGCCTGACGACCCTCTTGTGGCAAGCATGGGTTGCTGAAAACCTATTCTACCCCGGATCTTCACGGGTCGACGCTAAGCAGAAGTCCCCTGAATACCAGTAATCTTATACAAATTTCAATAATGCATAATTTGCATGACTTTGAGGGGTGGACTTAACAGAACTTTCATTGACTTGATTGATCATCATTGTACCATGACAATGTGGGTTTTCTGTACCAGACTTGATTATTGACCATTATATGCTGCAAGTATTGGTGACTGATCAACAAACAAGCAAGTTAGAAGGGAAAATATCCCACCTCTGTAACAACAGAACAGAACACTCGTGAGTTTACAACCCTAACATGGCCATTATTATTTTCATTTCGTTTACGTGCCATCAAATTGACTATTGTTATTGTGCTTACTTGACCAAACTAAATTTTCAGACTAGTGACCAAAGTTACAGATCAAACAGAATGTCTGTTAAACTGGGACTTCCTTCTTGGGGCTTAAGTTGCAGTGTGTAGCCACGGTTAGGACAGAATGCATGAGCTGGTTTGTGTTTCAGCTACTGTGGGCACGGCAGCGGCTGTAAGTACTACTCCGGCAGTGACCTGCAGCAGCTGCGATGTCGGGCGGTGGCAGTGTTGATGGGATGCAGCAGTGGATATCTTCAAACCCGTGGCATCCTGGAGGCCACCGGCATGATCAACAACTACTTCCTGGCAGGATGGTGAGCAGCTGCAGCAACATCATACACTGTACAAGGGAAATAACCCACACCTATTTGAGTGCATCATATATATGTTTTCAGAAATGAGTTCTTTTTAAAAGTGTTCCTTGACTTAATACACAATACGTTAACAAGATGTACATGAAATGTCTGATCTGAAACACATCTGATATACTTTCGTTCCTATTCAGCCCTACCATCATAGCCAACTTGTGGGACGTGACAGACCGCGACATTGACAGGTTCCTGGGAGGCATGCTAACATCCTGGATGTCAGCAGAAGGGGAAGGCAGCCTACTGGAGGCTGTTCCTGCCGCAAGGGATCAGTGTCGATTGCCGTTCCTCATTGGAGCAGCCCCGGTTGTCTATGGCTTCCCTGTCAGCTTCAGAAGATGATCTGCTTCACACAGTCATTACTTGACAGGAAAACTGGACACCAGCAGCTAATAGGGACGGAAATTCATCTAGAAAGTACTAGTCTACATAGCTGCCCTTACTATCAGGCTATGGCTGATTAAATACCTAATCACTTTGACGTTACTGGTAGTAATCAGTAGTCTCTGCACTGTCTTCCTTATAGTCTCCACATTGCTATGGTAACAGGAGTGCCAGGAATTGAGTCCTAGGATGTTTGAGGTTTGTTATACTGGTATTGGAATCGAGGGACCAATTTTATCTTTGTTTTGGAACATAAAGGTTACAACAACAAATGACCCCTGACTTTCAGGCATAAGTTTTAATATTGCACTGTGTTCTTGCAGTTTGTGTTAGAGTAATATTTAAAAAACTGCAGTGCCTCATGAGGACTCATATCTTATGTAAAAAATGTATAATATTGTACGTATTGTTGAATTTGGAAAGTAATTTAAAAGTTTAAAGTGGAATATATTTTGCACAGAAATTTCAAGCTTTGTGAATAAGATTTAATGAGATGTCTCAGGAGTATATGAGAATAGTAATTTATTCAGTGCTGTTTATGATTTACATACAGCGTGATTAGAGGTATGAATGCACAGCATAATGTTGTCAGGTGAAATGCCTTTTACATATTTTAGTTTGATAATCATTACTGTAGTTGGTTACCAGTATTAGACAGGAGCTGATGCAGATTCTTCCAGACCAGTGTGTATGAGTACTGCATAATCAGACATCAGTAGCCTTTTATGTTGTACTATTTCTTGAATAAACTTTGAAAACATGCTAATAAGCAGAACTCTGTTATGTGTAATCATTGGGTTGGACTTTCTGACTATCAACAGAGTCATCAATAAATTATGATTGATCAATTCTTGAATTAGACCGTTGAATTTATACCAAATTCTGCTCTTCTACAGCAAAGTTCTTCTGTCAAGATTGACCTCTTCAAAGCTATATGATCAGGTATAAAATATTCCAGCATGAATTGGGAAATATACTGTATCACCTTAGGATATTTTCAGACATTTGCAAACACTGGCCTCTGAGCTCTAAGGTGAATGTAAATTCCATTTTTTAACAGACTTTCGACAGTTGAAGCAGTATGATTGCTTTGTGTAAATGGGTCCAGGTCGAGATAATTTTCTTTAAGTTCAAGTACAGCTCACAAAGCTGATTTATAATTTCACAAACACAGGCAACCATCAATTGTTTATTCATTTGTATATTCACACAATTTCACATCTTTGTACTGTACACAATAAATACATTATAAACAAAGTAACAAATGAACAATTGTTCGCTTTAAGCACATTGCAAAATCAGGAAAGACAACGTTTCATACTCAGACGTATGAGAACAAATCACCATGTAATGAAAGTCCTGTCAGAGACTTCCACTCCCTGGGTGCGTGGATTTGGGGACCTGCTGGAACAGTCAACGACAACAGCTGATGCAGCACATCTACAACTATCACCCACAGAAACAAGCACATTACAGGACACCTGTAAAACTGTAGCCATGTACGCCTCTGCTTCTATCACCTGATACCCTCTTGTCACGGATACGTTTTCCTCCCAAGAGTAGTTTCTTCCTATTTCCATGTTAGGATCTTATTCCTTAATCAACCCAGACTTACTCTGCCAGTATTGTACAGAACTATAAATTAGACAAGATTTAAGTGTGCTTACAAGGCTTGATCAGGTATGAAGTTTTACTTACTGTGAAATACGGTGAGAAGAGAAGTGTAAGACCAAGAGTGTATGTGAGGTTGGTTTAAGGCCACGTTAAAAGTATTTCAGCTATATCATAGCATGTCAACTTGATGTAGGAGGCTCCAAGTGATTTGTGTGTTGTTTCATGTTGACCTCAGCAATATTCCAGCTATAAAATGGCGTTCTGTAAATAATCGCATCTGGACCAGACACTCCAGTGATCAACATCATGAGCATCGATCTAAGCAATTCGGATACAATGACACATATAAACCAAGTCAGCGATCCTGAACACCCGATCCCCTTAGTCGCCTCTTACGACAAGCATGGGTTGCTGAAGACCAATTCTAACCCGGATCATCACAGGTTGCCCCTAGTGATCCAAGTCCCAAATGTTTATCACTTTAGTGAAACTCACAAGCATGGTTATGGAGCTGATAGACCTACAAACATAATCTCGGAATCAAACCAATGATAACCACCTCCTGACACACCCATACCCCATCCTTCAAGAAGTGGTAAACAAACAAGCATGTTTTAATGAGGCATCCAGCAATATCCCAGCTATATGTGCCTGTGAATAATAAAATCAGACCACCCAATCCACTCGGAAGACTCATTTACCCTTAAGAGGTTGCTGGGGGCCAGTTCTAACTTAGAATCCCAATGGGACATCCGTCAGACTTTTCAATCAGGATTCATTACATATAGTTACAACATGAGGCCATTTAACCAACCAGAGTAAAGCTGATGACTATTTATAAGCTCTTATTCACTGCCACATAAACCAAACATCAATTGACATGATTAAAGCATTTCCCAAAGCTGCTCCCTGAATCTCCCTGTATATCAACAATGACGACACAATAATAAAACAACCAAACTTCTCTGCCAACACCCATAAACTGCGGTAGTTTTACAATACTCTAGGGGCAGCGGGGTATCCAAGTAGTTAAAGCATTCATTCATCATGCCAAAGACCCGGGTTCGATTCTCCACATGGATATAATGTGTGAAGCCCATTTCTGGTGTCCCCCGCCATGATATTGCTGAAATATTGCTAAAAGCGGCATAAAACCAAACTCACTCACTCGTAATACTTTAAATAGCATCTGTTTTTATCCATCACAAGATTTAACCTGACATGTCACTGAAGAATGCGAGTTAATATTTAGTGTCACATCGACAATATTTCAGCCATATTGTGACGAGCTGAAGAATGTAGTTTCATGTTTTGATAAAGAGAAGCCATCTTGTAGTACTAGTAGCACTCACCAGATGTCTGTACTCGGCATCTCTTCTATTTACACATTTTCCAATGACACAATACCTTACACCGAGGGAAGAATTCAAGGGAAGATCTTTGTTGTTTTGTTTGAGTCGTTTTGTGCCACACATAGTGATATGTTGTTGTCTTATGTTTGCAGTTTGATGCTATTCTCTGCCACACTCAGCACTATTCCAGCTATGTAACTGCAGCCTGTAAGTAATCCATGCTGATGAGCAGCAAGCAACACCCTCATGGGATGTCGACATGCAATAAACCAAGTCACCAAGCATGACTAGCGCATCCCAAATATGCCCTTGCAAGCCTTGACCGTGGAGGACCTAAACCAAAATCTCCACAGCAGACAAAGAAAGAAGTGAACAAAGCACTGTAGCCATGCTGACTTAGCATTTGAGATATCCTTTGGATGAACTGTTATAATGGTGGGTCATGTTCCACAAAGCAATCTGAGGCTGACCACTGTTGTATTGTCCAAATCTTTAACAGATTTATGAGCGTAGCGCAAAGATGACTTTATAGAATGGGGCCCTGAAGGAAGCTGTTGATAATTTGGCACTGCTAAGACATGCTAGCCTACATGGTAATGCATGGCACTAAGATGTCTCAGTAGAAGGGGGCTCTGTGCAAGGTCTTAGCGTTATGACAGTAAGTCTGTGAAATAATCTGTTGCTAACCTGGTGAACTGGGTCAACCTGACCCTACCCAACATATGGCAAACAGAAAGAATTCACAAAAAACACTCCCTAATTTGATGGTCAAACTTTGGATATTCAAAGTTTTTTCAGATCCCCTTTCAAGTAATGCAAAGTAATGAACCCCGGATTAGCTGAGGAAACAGGTCCAGGTGATGGTTATAGCAGACTAAGTAACGAGACCTGTGCATGCAACTCCACATTCACGTTTGACACATCCGCACAGTCAAGTTCCTCACAGACTTACAACACTGACACGTCCCTGCCCTGAGATGTGAGATGATATCATCATGTACATCACGTGACTGATCAAGTATCTGCACGACACGCAGCCCTGGAATCCTCACAGGCCGCCTCCACCTGCTTGGAACTGGAAACAGGCCTGTTAACAGCCAACTGGCTAACACACACTACACTGATGACAGAGTTAACATATACCCATGACAGGGCCCAGCTGTTAACTCTTCTGCCCTGAGAGAGTATTGTCATCTTCACATGTGTAATGAATGTATCCACCACTGGCAGACACTCAGCTGAAGTCGTAGAGGTTAGCTGACGAACTAGTGTTGCTTCCTCCATTATTGGCGGAAGATTTACCAGTTTTTCTCTTCTTATTTCCCCCTGACTTGGAAGAACTTTTCTGTGACCTTTTTCTGGACCCTGTACCTGTAATTATACAATTCACATGGTCAGTACCTAATGTGTCCATGAGTTTGGTCGTATGATACTGCTGACAATATGCGACAACATTGTAACACCAGTTTTAGGGAAATAAACTGACAATTTGGACATGAAAGCATCACTGCATTCTGTACAGACATGCATTGACTCAAATTGAAAGTGTGGAGGAGATATGCCACATGGGGAGATGTGACATGTGTGGAGATGTGCCATGTGTGGAAGAGATGTGCCATGTGTGCAGGAGATGTGACATGTGTGGAAGAGATGTGACATGTGTGCAGGAGATGTGACGTGTGGAAGAGATGTGACATGTGTGCAGAAGATGTGCCATGTGTGGAAGAGATGTGACATGTGTGCAGGAGATGTGACATGTGTGGAGCAGATGTGCCATGTGTGGAAGAGATGTGCCATGTGTGGAGGAGATGTGACATGTGTGGAAGAGATGTGCCATGTGTGCAGGAGATGTGACATGTGTGGAAGAGATGTGCCATGTGTGCAGGAGATGTGACATGTGTGGAGCAGATGTGCCATGTGTGGAAGAGATGTGCCATGTGTGCAGGAGATGTGACATGTGTGGAAGAGATGTGCCATGTGTGCAGGAGATGTGACATGTGTGGAAGAGATGTGACATGTGCCATGTGTGGAAGAGATGTGACGTGTGCCATGTGTGGAGCAGATGTGACGTGTGCCATGTGTGGAAGAGATGTGCCATGTGTGGAAGAAATGTGCCATGTGTGGAAGAGATGTGACATGTGTGGAAGAGATGTGACATGTGTGCAGGAGATGTGACATGTGTGCAGGAGATATGCCATGTGTGGAAGTGATGTTACGTGTGCCATGTGTGGAGCAGATGTGACGTGTGCAGGAGATGTGCCATGTGTGGAAGAGATGTGACGTGTGTGGAGGAGATGTGCCATGTGTGGAGATGTGAAATGTGTGGAGGAGATGTGCACGTGTGAAGGAGATGTGCCATGTGTGCAGGAGATGTGACATATGTGGAGGAGATGTGACGTAGGGAGATGTGCCATGTGTGGAGATGTGCCATGTGTGGAGGAGATGTGCCATGTGTGGAGGAGATGTGCCATGTGTGCAGGAGATGTGTCATTTGTGGAGGAGATGTGATGTTGGGAGGAGATGTGCCATGTGTGGGGATGTGCATGTGTGGAAGAGATGTGCCATGTGTGGAGGAGATGTTGAGATGTGACGTGTGTGGATATTTGCCATATGTGGAGGAGATGTGCCATGTGTGGAGGATATGTGCCATGTGTGGAGGAGATGTGTCATGTGTGGAGATGTGCCATGTGTGGAGATGTGCCATGTGTGGAGGAGATGTGCCATGTGTGGAGGAGATGTGCCATGTGTGGAGGAGATGTGCCATGTGTGGAGGAGATGTGCCATGTGTGGAGGAGATGTGGCATACGTGGAGGAGATGTGCCATGTGTGGAGCAGATGTGACGTGTGGAGATGTGCCATGTGTGGAGATGTGCCATATGTGGAGGAGATGTGGCATGTGGAGGAGATGTGGCATATGTGGAGGAGATGTGCCATGCGTGGAGGAGATGTGCATGTGTGGAGGAGATGTGCCATGAGTGGAGGAGATGTGCCATGTGTGGAGGAGATGTGCCATCTGTGGAGGAGATGTGCCATCTGTGGAGGAGATGTGTCATGTGTGGAGGAGATGTGCCATGTGTGGAGGAGATGTGCCATGTGTAGAGGAGATGTGCCATGTGTGGAGGAGATGTGCCATGTGTAGAGGAGATGTGTCATGTGTAGAGGAGATGTGCCATGTGTAGAGATGTGCCATGTGTAGAGGAGATGAATTAATCTTCAAGAATTATTTTTGTTTTATCAAGATGCTCTGACAGGTGTACTGTAATAAAACAGGTAAAAACTTGTTTCCCATGCTTTATTCATGTTACACTGTTATGAAGTCCCATGTATAATGGGAGGGTATCCTAACGGGTGGCTTTGTGTATAGGATGTCCAGCACCTGCCGTGGGAGAGCCTCCCCAGCCTTCGCAGCCACCCAGTCACCAGGATCCCGTCTCTCTACCACCTCCACACACAGCTGTCGGCAGGACACATGTCGGAGTCCCATGCCTGTGTCCGCGGAATTGATATTCAGAATGCCTTCTACATACTCAACCCTGACAATGACCTCATGTCAACACAGGAGTCCTTTGAAAACTTGTTTAAAGAGTAAGACATCTTTCATTTCAAAAGCAGAATTAAAACATGTCTTCACAAAACTTTGCAAGGAGGCTAAATTGGTATTATATTTTGCAAAACTTCCAAGATTTGTTCTCTCTGTTGGACCAAGTGGTATTTTAAACCAATTTGATGTTGAGGAAGCTTCTGAAACAGTCACTTAGTATTTCATCAAGACAACTGTTATTTGCCTTCCAGTTTTGAGATGTTCAAGTTCTAGTCACATTGATCTAAAATGTTTTTCTCAGATATTTGTGATACTGAATTGAAGATGTGTGTGTATTTTGTTATTTGATTTAAGGCCATCTGGATGGACAGGACTTATAGGAGAGAAGCCTACCCCCAGTCAGTTCAAGTCAGCATTGACTGATCACGACCTCTTCATGTAAGTCTCTGTGAAGTGGTTGTGATATATGGACTCTTGCTACTAGAACAAATGGATGGCATATACTTATGGAAATTTATGATAAGTGTTCAGACAAAAGTGAATAAAGCAGGTGAAACTTTCATACTTTTCATTACAATGGAGGAAAACAGAACACCCCCGAATACCAGTAATCTTATACAAATTTCAATAATGCATAATTTGCATGACTTTGAGGAGTGGACTTAACAGAACTTTCATTGACTTGATTGATCATCATTGTACCCTGACAATGTAGGTTTTCTGTACCAGACTTGATTATTGCCCATTATATGCCTCAAGTATTGGTAACTAATCAACAAACAAGCAAGTTAGAAGGGTAAATATCCCAGTTCTGTAACAACAGTCTGTGCAGAACACTCTTGAGCCTACAACCCTAACATGGCCAATATTATTTTCATTTCGTTTACATGCCATCAAATTGACTATTGTTATTGTGCTTACTTGACCAAACTAAATTTTCAGACTAGTGACCAAAGTTACAGATCAAACAGAATGTCTGTTAAACTTGGACTTCCTTCTTGGGGCTTAAGTTGCAGTGTGTAGCCACCTTTAGGACAGAATGCATGAGCTGGTTTGTGTTTCAGCTACTGTGGGCACGGCAGCGGCTGTAAGTACTACTCCGGCAGTGACCTGCAGCAGCTGCGATGTCGGGCGGTGGCGGTGTTGATGGGATGCAGCAGTGGATATCTTCAAACCCGTGGGATCCTGGAGGCCACCGGCATGATCAACAACTACTTCCTGGCAGGATGGTGAGCAGCTGCAGCAACATCATACACTGTACAAGGGAAATAACCCACACCTATTTGAGTGCATCATATATATGTTTTCAGAAATGAGTTCTTTTTAAAAGTGTTCCTTGACTTAATACACAATACGTTAACAAGATGTACATGAAATGTCTGATCTGAAACACATCTGATATACTTTCGTTCCTTTTCAGCCCTACCATCATAGCCAACTTGTGGGACGTGACAGACCGCGACATTGACAGGTTCCTGGGAGGCATGCTAACATCTTGGATGTCAGCAGAAGGGGAAGGCAGCCTACTGGAGGCTGTTCCTGCCGCAAGGGATCAGTGTCGATTGCCGTTCCTCATTGGAGCAGCCCCAGTTGTCTATGGCTTCCCTGTCAGCTTCAGAAGATGATCTGCTTCACACAGTCATTACTTGACAGGAAAACTGGACACCAGCAGCTAATAGGGACGGAAATTCATCTAGAAAGTACTAGTCTACATAGCTGCCCTTACTATCAGGCTATGGCTGATTAAATACCTAATTACTTTGACGTTACTGGTAGTAATCAGTAGTCTCTGCACTGTCTTCCTTATAGTCTCCACATTGCTATGGTAACAGGAGTGCCAGGAATTGAGTCCTAGGATGTTTGAGGTTTGTTATACTGGTATTGGAATCGAGGGACCAATTTTATCTTTGTTTTGGAACATAAAGGTTACAACAACAAATGACCCCTGACTTTCAGGCATAAGTTTTAATATTGCACTGTGTTCTTGCAGTTTGTGTTAGAGTAATATTTAAAAAACTGCAGTGCCTCATCAGGACTCATATCTTATGTAAAAAATGTATAAAATTGTACGTATTGTTGAATTTGGAAAGTAATGTAAAAGTTTAAGGTGGAATATATTTTGCACAGAAATTTCAAGCTTTGTGAATAAGATTTAATGAGATGTCTCAGGAGTACATGAGAATAGTAATTTATTCAGTGCTGTTTATGATTTACATACAGCGTGATTAGAGGTATGAATGCACAGCATAATGTTGTCAGGTGAAATGCCTTTTACATATTTTAGTTTGATAATCATTACTGTAGTTGGTTACCAGTATTAGACAGGAGCTGATGCAGATTCTTCCAGACCAGTGTGTATGAGCACTGCATAGTCAGACATCAGTAGCCTTTTATGTTGTACTATTTCTTGAATAAACTTTGAAAACATGCTAGTAAGCAGAACTCTGTTATGTGTAATCATTGGGTTGGACAGAGTCGTCAATAAATGATTTATCATTTCTTGAATTTGACCATTGAATTTATACCAAATTCTGCTCCTCTACAGCAAAGTTCTTCTGTCAAGATTGACCTCTTCAAAGCTATATGATCAGATATAAAATATTCCAGCATGAATTGGGAAATATACTATATCACCTTAGGATATTTTCAGACATTTGCAAATACTGGCCTCTGAGCTCTAAGGTGAATGTAAATTCCATTTTTTAACAGACTTTCGACAGTTGAAGCAGTATGATTGCTTTGTGCAAATGGGTCCAGGTCGAGATAATTTCCTTTTTAAGTTCAAGTACAGCTCACAAAGCTGATTTATAATTTCACAAACACAGGCAACCATCAATTGTTTATTCATTTGTATATTCACACAATTTCACATCTTTGTACTGTACACAATAAATACATTATAAACAAAGTAACAAATGAACAATTGTTCGCTTTAAGCACATTGCAAAATCAGGAAAGACAACGTTTCATACTCCAACGTATGAGAACAAATCACCATGTAATGAAAGTCCTGTCGGAGACTTCCACTCCCTGGATGCTTGGATTCGGGGACCTGCTGGAACAGTCACCTGAACCAGGTCGTCAACGACAACAGCTGATACAACTATCACCCACAGAAACAAGCACATTACAGGACACCTGTAAAACTGTAGCCATGTACGCCTCTGCTTTTATCACCTGATATCCTCTTGTCACGGATACATTTTCCTACCAATAGTAGTTTCTTCCTATTTCCATGTTAGGATCTTATTCCTTAATCAACCTAAACTTACTCTCCGAGTATTGTACAGAACTAAAAAATTAGACATGATTTAAGTGTGCTTACAAGGCTTACCTTGTCATGTCAGTATGTAGGCTTGATCAGGTATGACGTTTTACTTACTGTGAAATACGGTGAGAAGAGAAGTGTAAGACCGAAAGAGTATGTGAGGTTGGTTTAAGGCCACGTTAAAAAGTATTTCAGCTATATCATAGCATGTCAACTTGATGTAGGAGGCTCCAAGTGATTTGTGTGTTGTTTCATGTTGACCTCAGCAATATTCCAGCTATAAAATGGCGTTCTGTAAATAATCGCATCTGGACCAGACACTCCAGTGATCAACATCATGAGCATCGATCTAAGCAATTCGGATACAATGACACATATAAACCAAGTCAGCGATCCTGAACACCCGATCCCCCTAGTCGCCTCTTCGACAAGCATGGGTTGCTGAAGACCAATTCTAACCCGGATCATCACAGGTTGCCCCTAGTGATCCAAGTCCCAAATGTTTATCACTTTAGTGAAACTCACAAGCATGGTTATGGAGCTGATAGACCTACAAACATAATCTCGAATCAAACCAATGATAACCACCTCCTGACACACCCATACCCCATCCTTCAAGAAGTGGTAAACAAACAAGCATGTTTTAATGAGGCATCCAGCAATATCCCAGCTATATGTGCCTGTGAATAATAAAATCAGACCACCCAATCCACTCGAAGACTCATTTACCCTTAAGAGGTTGCTGGGGCCAGTTCTAACTTAGAATCCCAATGGGACATCCGTCAGACTTTTCAATCAGGATTCATTACATATAGTTACAACATGAGGCCATTTAACCAACCAGAGTAAAGCTGATGACTATTTATAAGCTCTTATTCACTGCCACATAAACCAAACATCAATTGACATGATTAAAGCATTTCCCAAAGCTGCTCCCTGAATCTCCCTGTATATCAACAATGACGACACAATAATAAAACAACCAAACTTCTCTGCCAACACCCATAAACTGCGGTAGTTTTACAATACTCTAGGGGCAGCGGGGTATCCAAGTAGTTAAAGCATTCATTCATCATGCCAAAGACCCGGGTTCGATTCTCCACATGGATATAATGTGTGAAGCCCATTTCTGGTGTCCCCCGCCATGATATTGCTGAAATATTGCTAAAAGCGGCATAAAACCAAACTCACTCACTCGTAATACTTTAAATAGCATCTGTTTTTATCCATCACAAGATTTAACCTGACATGTCACTGAAGAATGCGAGTTAATATTTAGTGTCACATCGACAATATTTCAGCCATATTGTGACGAGCTGAAGAATGTAGTTTCATGTTTTGATAAAGAGAAGCCATCTTGTAGTACTAGTAGCACTCACCAGATGTCTGTACTCGGCATCTCTTCTATTTACACATTTTCCAATGACACAATACCTTACACCGAGGGAAGAATTCAAGGGAAGATCTTTGTTGTTTTGTTTGAGTCGTTTTGTGCCACACATAGTGATATGTTGTTGTCTTATGTTTGCAGTTTGATGCTATTCTCTGCCACACTCAGCACTATTCCAGCTATGTAACTGCAGCCTGTAAGTAATCCATGCTGATGAGCAGCAAGCAACACCCTCATGGGATGTCGACATGCAATAAACCAAGTCACCAAGCATGACTAGCGCATCCCAAATATGCCCTTGCAAGCCTTGACCGTGGAGGACCTAAACCAAAATCTCCACAGCAGACAAAGAAAGAAGTGAACAAAGCACTGTAGCCATGCTGACTTAGCATTTGAGATATCCTTTGGATGAACTGTTATAATGGTGGGTCATGTTCCACAAAGCAATCTGAGGCTGACCACTGTTGTATTGTCCAAATCTTTAACAGATTTATGAGCGTGGCGCAAAGATGACTTTATAGAATGGGGCCCTGAAGGAAGCTGTTGATAATTTGGCACTGCTAAGACATGCTAGCCTACATGGTAATGCATGGCACTAAGATGTCTCAGTAGAAGGGGGCTCTGTGCAAGGTCTTAGCGTTATGACAGTAAGTCTGTGAAATAATCTGTTGCTAACCTGGTGAACTGGGTCAACCTGACCCTACCCAACATATGGCAAACAGAAAGAATTCACAAAAAACACTCCCTAATTTGATGGTCAAACTTTGGATATTCAAAGTTTTTCAGATCCCCTTTCAAGTAATGCAAAGTAATGAACCCCGGATTAGCTGAGGAAACAGGTCCAGGTGATGGTTATAGCAGACTAAGTAACGAGACCTGTGCATGCAACTCCACATTCACGTTTGACACATCCGCACAGTCAAGTTCCTCACAGACTTACAACACTGACACGTCCCTGCCCTGAGATGTGAGATGATATCATCATGTACATCACGTGACTGATCAAGTATCTGCACGACACGCAGCCCTGGAATCCTCACAGGCCGCCTCCACCTGCTTGGAACTGGAAACAGGCCTGTTAACAGCCAACTGGCTAACACACACTACACTGATGACAGAGTTAACATATACCCATGACAGGGCCCAGCTGTTAACTCTTCTGCCCTGAGAGAGTATTGTCATCTTCACATGTGTAATGAATGTATCCACCACTGGCAGACACTCAGCTGAAGTCGTAGAGGTTAGCTGATCTAACTAGTGTTGCTTCCTCCATTATTGGCGGAAGATTTACCAGTTTTCTCTTCTTATTTCCCCTGACTTGGAAGAACTTTTCTGTGACCTTTTCTGGACCCTGTACCTGTAATTATACAATTCACATGGTCAGTACCTAATGTGTCCATGAGTTTGGTCGTATGATACTGCTGACAATATGCGACAACATTGTAACACCAGTTTTAGGGAAATAAACTGACAATTTGGACATGAAAGCATCACTGCATTCTGTACAGACATGCATTGACTCAAATTGAAAGTGTGGAGGAGATATGCCACATGGGGAGATGTGACATGTGTGGAGATGTGCCATGTGTGGAAGAGATGTGCCATGTGTGCAGGAGATGTGACATGTGTGGAAGAGATGTGACATGTGTGCAGGAGATGTGACGTGTGGAAGAGATGTGACATGTGTGCAGAAGATGTGCCATGTGTGGAAGAGATGTGCCATGTGTGGAAGAGATGTGCCATGTGTGCAGGAGATGTGACATGTGTGGAAGAGATGTGCCATGTGTGCAGGAGATGTGACATGTGTGGAAGAGATGTGACATGTGCCATGTGTGGAAGAGATGTGACGTGTGCCATGTGTGGAGCAGATGTGACGTGTGCCATGTGTGGAAGAGATGTGCCATGTGTGGAAGAAATGTGCCATGTGTGGAAGAGATGTGACATGTGTGGAAGAGATGTGACATGTGTGCAGGAGATGTGACATGTGTGCAGGAGATATGCCATGTGTGGAAGTGATGTTACGTGTGCCATGTGTGGAGCAGATGTGACGTGTGCAGGAGATGTGCCATGTGTGGAAGAGATGTGACGTGTGTGGAGGAGATGTGCCATGTGTGGAGATGTGAAATGTGTGGAGGAGATGTGCACGTGTGAAGGAGATGTGCCATGTGTGCAGGAGATGTGACATATGTGGAGGAGATGTGGCGTGTGGGGAGATGTGCCATGTGTGGAGATGTGCCATGTGTGTAGGAGATGTGCCATGTGTGGAGGAGATGTGCCATGTGTGCAGGAGATGTGTCATTTGTGGAGGAGATGTGATGTTGGGAGGAGATGTGCCATGTGTGGGGATGTGCATGTGTGGAAGAGATGTGCCATGTGTGGAGGAGATGTTGAGATGTGACGTGTGTGGATATTTGCCATATGTGGAGGAGATGTGCCATGTGTGGAGGATATGTGCCATGTGTGGAGGAGATGTGTCATGTGTGGAGATGTGCCATGTGTGGAGATGTGCCATGTGTGGAGGAGATGTGCCATGTGTGGAGGAGATGTGCCATATGTGGAGGAGATGTGCCATGTGTGGAGGAGATGTGCCATGTGTGGAGGAGATGTGGCATACGTGGAGGAGATGTGCCATGTGTGGAGCAGATGTGACGTGTGGAGATGTGCCATGTGTGGAGATGTGCCATATGTGGAGGAGATGTGGCATGTGGAGGAGATGTGGCATATGTGGAGGAGATGTGCCATGCGTGGAGGAGATGTGCATGTGTGGAGGAGATGTGCCATGAGTGGAGGAGATGTGCCATGAGTGGAGGAGATGTGCCATGTGTGGAGGAGATGTGCCATCTGTGGAGGAGATGTGCCATCTGTGGAGGAGATGTGTCATGTGTGGAGGAGATGTGCCATGTGTGGAGGAGATGTGCCATGTGTAGAGGAGATGTGCCATGTGTGGAGGAGATGTGCCATGTGTAGAGGAGATGTGCCATGTGTAGAGGAGATGTGCCATGTGTAGAGATGTGCCATGTGTAGAGGAGATGTGCCATGTGTAGAGGAGATGTGCCATGTGTGGAGGAGATGTGCCATGTGTGGAGATGTGTCATGTGTAGAGGAGATGTGTCATGTGTAGAGGAGATGTGTCATGTGTAGAGGAGATGTGCCATGTGTAGAGGAGATGTGTCATGTGTAGAGGAGATGTGTCATGTGAGAGGAGAGATGTGTCATGTGTAGAGGAGATGTGCCATGTGTAGAGGAGATGTGTCATGTGTGGAGGAGATGTGTCATGTGTGGAGGAGATGTGCCATGTGTGGAGGAGATGTGCCATGTGTAGAGGAGATGTGCCATGTGTAGAGGAGATGTGTCATGTGTAGAGGAGATGTGCCATGTGTAGAGGAGATGTGTCATGTGTGGAGGAGATGTGCCATGTGTAGAGGAGATGTGCCATGTGTAGAGGAGATGTGCCATGTGTAGAGGAGATGTGCCATGTGTGGAGGAGATGTGTCATGTGTGGAGATGTGTCATGTGTGGAGGAGATGTGTCATGTGTAGAGGAGATGTGCCATGTGTAGAGGAGATGTGTCATGTGTGGAGGAGATGTGCCGTGTGTGGAAGAGATGTGCCGTGTGTGGAGGAGATGTGCCATGTGCGGAGGAGATGTGTCATGTGTTGAGGAGATGTCAGAGTGTCCATGGTCCACCTACTGTTGTTTGTGGAGGTAGAGTCAGCAGGAGAGGAGTTAGAGGAGGCCTCCCACTGAAGGGTTTCCCTCAGCACCTGGTTCTCTGCGTCATCAATGCTATCAATGTCGACATGTACGTCCTCGCCTTCAAGAGATGACCTGAAAACAAACCTTCAATGTAGCAACTCTGACAGCATGGACAGTTCCAAAATGTCCATTGTACCACAACATCAGAGCAAAGATTAGCCAAAAGAAAAAATAATGTCAACAGTAAAGTGTACATTTGTGCCATTAAAGTTAGCAATCTTACATCTTCCCTCAAAGGGGATAACTCACTTAATAGACTCCACAAGACATAAACACATTTTACATGAACATGATGAGACTTTTGCCATAATTTCTGATTTACCATCCTCTGATTAAAAGTTTTGGAAAACGGCACATACCCTTGTCGCAGTAGCAACTGGCGGACTTTACTCCTCTGGTCGTCTGTATGTTGAGGACATCGACTGGACCTGATGGGTAACCAGAGATATGTATTGAGTTACCATAATGAAATCGAACCCTGGTCTTCAGCCTGACGAGCGGACACTTTAACCATTAGGCTACCCCACTGCCCCTGGAAATCAGCAGGTAACACTCTTACTAATAAGTAAATACTACGCACTATCCCTTACGACTGCTGTGAAGAATGCATTGTTTTAGCTCCATGGTAAATGGATAAACACAAACCTTGTACACATCTTCTTAGTGTGTTCTGAGATTACCCCGCACGTCTACAAGGAAACAATGTCTAATATTAGTCACCAGTATACATTTGACAAGCACATCCAACTTCTAAGTTCTTGAATTAATGCTATCTTTAAAGCACACAGAAAGTGAATGAGTATGGTTTTATGCCGCTTTTAGCAATATTAAGGCAGGGAACACCAGAAACGGGCTTCACACATTGTACCCATGAGGGGAATCAAACCTGGGTCTTTGGTGTGACGATCGAACGCTTTAACCACTAGGCTACCCAACCGCCCCCTGAAAGCACATAACCAACCAGTATAAGGCAACTTGCTGCTCCAGTGAGAGAGAATTGGTCTTTTGCTACATGTAGAAATACTATCCACTGGTTTCAAAACTATATAATGAACTTGTGCATATGCTTCTTTCATCACTGATAATTTTGCTTCAGTCAAAATATACAAAAATCTTGTGAAATAACTTGGGTTTTTAAAACATAAGACTATAAAGATCTATTAATTTTACAACAAAGCTTATTAGAATGTGCTTGACATTTATGCTGTCCATAATGTTGTTATTGTTTCCTAATGTCGCACTCAGCAATATTCCAGCTACATGACAGCAGTCTGAAAATATATAAATGTGGACCAGACTATCTAGTGATTGATATTGTGGACAATGATCCACGCCCATATGTACAATGACACACCATCAAGCACACAGCCTGACCAACAGATTAACCCAGTCACCTTGTGACCAGAATAGGCCATAAGGGACCAGTTTGAACCTGAAAGGGACCAGCTAGAACCTGAAAGGGACCAGTTTGAACCTGAAAGGGACCAGTTTGAACCTGATCAGTACCAGTTTGAACCTGAATCACCACAAGGTAGATGCACACTGGATAAGTACAGAGAAGTAAACGTCTAGGAACAACTTACAAGTAAAAGAAGTGACTTTCTTTCTTCTGCAGAAAAAATGAACACATTATTAGTTAACATTTATATGAGTAACATTCACAAAACATACTATCACAACATTTACAGTTAAAATCACTTTACAAATGAACAGAAAACTATTCTGCATGCTTTATGTGGCATTATTCGGTTGTTTTAAAGAACTCTTACCTATTGTCATACTTTCATAGTTGAGTGAGTTGGATTCAGGAGTTCCAATGCTTTCTGTATTGGAGTCTCCTGACAAAACAATCTCAATGTCAGTACAGCCATGTAAGCAAGGGTACAGTTTTAGGAAAGGGTGTGTGCATCTTGTGATTGGTCAGTTCAGTAATAAGGCCATTTTGTTAAAAATATATCACATGACTTAGTCACAATTTTGTCATACCTTCACTTCAGTGTCCTCTCATCTATAAACACGATAAACATTCCAAAATATAACATACACTGACCGAAATGAAAAGAAAACACGTGAAAGTATGTGTTCCACTATTCTTTTCCATGATTCTTAGCAGGCTTTGTATTGCACTGTGAATTAAAATCTGGAATTAAATAAAGCAACATTAGTTCTTTCATGTGTTCCCTTATTTATTTCCATCAGTATATATAGTATGATTTAAAGGATTGCAGCACACTGTAGACACCCCACCCCACCCCATAGAGCTGAACTATCATCATGTCCAGACAAAACATACCTCCGTTCTTCACCTTGCCAACCTGGGATTTATTCCTGCGAGGAGAGTTGACACTTTTTTCCTTTTTACTTGGTTTCTTTGCTGAAAAACATACAATATACATTGACTGACTGACTGAGTTTGGTTTAACGCCGCTTTTAGCAATATTCCAGCAACATCACGGCGGGGGACACCAGAAATGGGCTTCACACATTGTGCCCATGTGGGGATTCGAACACGGGTCTTCGGCGTGACAAGCCAACACTTTAACCATTAGGCTACCCCATCGCCCCCAATATACATTGAAGATTGTCAAAGTTTATATAAGTATATGACTTAGTACTTAATAGATCAGAGTCCAACATACACAGAACAGTACTGTTACTAGTGTGCCAATGACAATGTCAACGGTGAGTAAACATGGAAGCTCTCCTTACATTTCTTGGCTGATTCTATGTACGTCCAATCATTGTCATTGTCGTCATCACCACTGTCATCACCGCTGTCTCGCTTGGTACTGTTGTTGGCAATGCTGAAAGAAAGAAATTATTCAATGAGTTAAAACAATCTGTATGATATAGATTCTTTCATCCATCTGTTTCTCTTTCTCTCACAGATCATCAGATAGTATTGATTAATTATGTCACAATAGTAATGGTGCATGCATCAGTCTGTTCATCAGCTGATCTCACTCACATCAAAGTAAAAATGCACTAAAAACCTTAAGTAAATGACAATCTCATATTCTTAATGAGAAAATTAATTAGTGTTAGGAATTGGTTAAAATCTCAAATTGATGATTAGTTCATTACAACTGATCAATCATCGAAAATAATTGGTTAGGGCCATTTATCAAATTTTCATAGTTATGTTTGTTAATGCACAAAACATAAAAAACAAAACATGTAGTTCTTTGGGTTTTGGCACAAAATGCATTTGCAAATTAACATCTTTAAAGGATGACTAGTATGTTAGGAACATATATTAGCTGGAGTCTTTAAGATAAATTCAGTCATGACTTGAAACGAGCTTGTAGTGCTTATGAAAAATAACAGACAAAACCAACCTTGTGACCAAATATTGTTAATGCAAACAAGTGTTCCAAAATTGTTTGTGTTCGATGATGAGAAAACATGATCGATTGCTTAGTCGTTTAGTCATTGCGACCAATCTTCAATTATTTCAATTAATCGCACCACCACCATAAATTAATCCCTTCCCTGGGCCATTTTTTAAATTACATTTCACAATCTACTTTCTGCTCATGGCCTCTCCTCACCGTCGACTGGCGATACGGGAGCTGTTACGACCCATCCCCATACACTTCTCCAGATGGGGCGCGAAGCGAGATGCTGCCAGATGGCGCTGGCAGTTAGGACACACACATTCAAACTGCTTCTTTGTCGGCACCTGGCCAAACACGTCCACTCCTGGCCGATCAACTACTTCTGAAAGAAAAAGCGAAAAAACTAATATCAATATTACCGATGATGAAAGAATTCAGTATAAAAATCTATACTACACGGTTTGTATACAGTTGGGTCTATGGCTCTTCATACAATACACATTTGATTTTGAAATGATAAGTTATAACTCTTAAGAAGCATTAAAGTAATGGTTCCAATACCAATAGAAAAAGTCTTTTCACCCAACACTTTTATTCAAAACATATAGCAGAATTTGCATTGAAAAGCAAATATTACATACCATGATCTTTATGTGCCCTGAAAAAATAAATGTAAGAATATGAAATGGTAGAGTTTGTCATACACATTTGATAAAAGTTTGTGTGACATGATATAATAAACAAGGCTTTCTTCCAAACTTTAAAATTTGCTAAAAAGTAGAGTCTTAAGAAATTACATTCAAAGAGACAAAAGCAAAGAAGTCTGTGTATATACTTGCAATACTATATGAGCTTATTCAAAAGTATAGTACTTTCTTCCACTATATTGAAAATTACTGTGAAAGCATATCTCTGATTATCAAAGTAAACTGTCATTGCTAGAATAATTGACCACAGTGGATATGTGTTTCTCACAAAGATAGCTATTAATGAAGTGCAATGTTCAAGTATCTTTCTTCTAAAGATGGCAGTTCAAGCTCTAGAGTTTCCAGCCTCACAAAATGTGTTGTTTTAAGATTCAGTGTGATGTACAGTGTACGCACTGGGGATCCGTGTCAGATAGAAATATGGTGCCCCTCTTCGTTGCCCGATGCACCTCAAAACAGAGACCAAGAGTCACCTCGTCTATCAGATCCAGCATCACATCATTCATGGCTGCCTAAAGTACAAGAAAAACAAATGTTATATTTACCTGAAAATATACAATGAAAGGACTCCCTGAAGCTACCTGTTCCGGGACATTTCCACCAGCTTGCTAGCCCAAGATTACCAAACTGTGCTGAAGACAAGTACCAATCCAAAGATGATAGCCCTCCCTGACGGTTCTAACTCAATTCCATTTCTGAATGCTTTAAGTTTGCTCCAAATTTAAACTGAATAGAAGTGACAGACACAGATTATAATAAAGATATTTCACTTGTTCATGAAGGACTAGCTACAAACACTACAGATGAGTGACATAATTTAATAACTGGCTAGTATGATACATGATATTTCTTTCAACCCAAAAATAAGAATGTCTGGTTATTGCTTTTAGTGTTTTAGTTACAGACACGAGTCCTCTGGACAGTCTTACAAATCATTGAGTCCAGACCAGACAATCCAGTGATTGATAATATGTGCACCGATACACACCGTTGGGGTATAGTGATGAAAACAATCAGGTAAAGCCAACAAATCTGACCACCGGATTGATCTCACTCCAAACTGCACTGGTTGCCGAGGACCTATTGTGACCTTGTTAGGGCCACACACTTTAAGGGCCTAATGGGAAATGATTTTGTATAATGAATTAGAAGGAAGTATTGAGGATGGTCTTACGACTGTAGCAATGTTCTTGAACTACATGGGAACATTGATTACGCACTTTGTATAGCATACGTGCAGAATATTGAACGGCGCCTTTCGCAAAATAAACGTTAACCACTAGTCTATCCCACTACACCTGGTTGGAAGGAAATGAAAATCAGGTCGTTATTTCTTATGTTTCGTATTACAATCTGTCAGCCTCACTATCCTGATCTACAAGGGGAGCACCAGGATGCGAAGGAGCTTATAGCAGTTTGAACTGGTCGCCGGTCTACGACTGGTCTGTACAGTTCCCCAGGTAATGATAATGAGATACGCTACTTGTGATAGAGGGTGGCTAGTAATATTTCTTTCAAATTAAAAACTACAAAGTCCGGGAGTCCGATTATTGCTCATAATATTTTAGTCACAGCACTTGCGACGAATCTTGTTTGACAACAAACAGACAAACAATGCCGGTTGAGATTGACAGCGGCTGCAACACGCCTCGGAGCGTCTCATGCGAAGCCTTCTGACGTAATGAGAAGTTTTCCGACTATATTCCGACCTGTAACATTTCGTCTTCGTCTAGAAAGGGCAAATCGGCTTCGACCATCGCCTGACTTCGCAAAATCACCAAGCATCAGTGAGCGTGCGAGACTGATAAGCGGAAGTTGTCAAAAAGTGAAATGCGCGAATCGACGAATCAACTGCATTCTTCGAATAAAATTAGAGTAGCTTCCCCTTGGCTTTAAATGGCGGGAAAATGAGTGTTTGCGATTTAATTATGGAAACATCTTAAACATGAATTAAAGCCAATATGAAAACATTCAGTGTCATTTATAAAGAGAAGGGGCGTAACTGCCATTATAGGCAAAAGTACGGTTTCCTGCACATAGATGTAATTTTGTAAAAACAAAGATTTCGAAAGTAAATTTTGTGGTTGGGATCGATGGTGCGTAGCCCCAGGTACCCCTAAAAATATTCGGGAGCTGGGAGCCCTCGTCGCATGTTTCGCATTATTCAATGCAGCATATCACTTAAATACATGATTCCTTTATTCGGCTAATAACAAAAATCTGTAACAATACTTGTATTCGCAATTAATGTGCTAAAAGCTATACTAATAGGTACTTATATGCACAGAGTTGTTCTGTTTTTCGGTTATTCAACTTCTTCGTGAGTATATGTGCGCAAGTAATTCAAAGAGAGTTATGCTTGTTTTCAAATGCAGTTTGCGTATTTTAAGAAAACCTCCAGCTTATTGGAGGTCTGGACACTTATCAATGCATTCACAGGTTTCTCTCCTTTCACTGGTTCCACTGCCGTATGGATACTTGAGGAAAGTAATGCCAAATAAGAGATCATACAAGTACATCGCACATACAATACACATGGATGTGCAGACGCACGCATGCTCACACATCTGTTGTAGTAAAGCATTATGGTATCCTTTCCACATTCCATAAGATAAAACAGTTATTCAATCATAAATATACCCAGGTAGCATGGTAGCATTGGCCCAATGCTGGTATTAGTGCCGCGAGTTACGCTTGTGCCGACAACGGGCTTACAGCATTGGCACAGCAGTGGGCCACAGCGGGCGAGCCACTGTCTCTCAGCGGCCGAGCCACTGTCTCTCAGCGGCCAGCTGGTACCAGTAGATTCCCAGCAGAGTAACAGCATTGACCCATGTGTTCTAAATTTTCATCTGCCCGAAGCTACTTTTAGTCGTGAAACTTGAAGATTAACTTACAAATATATCTCAAAAGCCCTTGTCCAGTTTCATACAATCAGTGCACATTTATTTAGGCTAATGGTCCAATTATAATTTATAAGAAACTACAAACAATGGAAACTTTTGAAACATACATTTGCTGCAGACTATCAACTGAGGAATTTCTTCTTTGAGCGGTATCTTACACCATTGTTCACTCTTGCTCTTGTCCGAGGATTTACAGATTTCAAGTCCCTTTTCCACGTGATATACTAGGATCTTTTAAAGAAAGGTATAGTCCACCATATAGTCACTGTTTTAAAATATATGTAAACATGTTACTAAAAGATAAATGGGTTATTTGGAAATGGTTGTAATTTGATACGTAAGCACCATTGAGTTAAACGTGGCCATCCTCTCCATTTACTGCAACATTTCGTTTCAGTATTATACTTGTCACTGTTTTCTGTAATCAGAAATACATGTACATGTATATACTTTTCAGTACCACATTAGGTAACAATTGCATATCTGACTGATTGGGATTGTTAAATTCTCAAATTATATTTTGAAAAGAAAGTATTTGAAATATACAAAATTGATAGAGTGAAATTTTTTTTTAAGATTACATATTAATCAAAATTGAAAAGAACCCCAGAGGTAAGGCAATCTAGAATTGTCAGAATTTCTAGACTTAAGAAGGCTCCTTTAAATTCTTGCTCCAGGGTCTGGACGACAGACTAACTAGAATATTATTTGTTTTTTTAGATAGAATTGTACGTTGTATTTACCGGTATATTGACTTTATCAAAATGAATGACTCGTATTGGACATCTCGTCGTAAAATTAGAAAAAGGGTTTCAAATCATTTAGAAGCTTTGGCATCAGCCAGCAAATATGATTTATTTGAACACCAATATAATGCTGAGGAAACACTAACATCAACGTCTGTATCACAAGCAAGTCAATTTTTAGCATCTACAACCACATTTTCTGTAGTCTGTCATACAGACCCTGAAGCAAATATATCCATGAAAGGCCACGCAAGTCTAGAAAATGTGGCAAGTCTAGATTTAAAGTCTCAGGGCTCCTTTTCATTATTATTATTATTTTTTTACTATGAACTTTTTTCAGTAAAATATGTTCATTTCAGAGACTAGTTGTTAGTCTACATTTTCTGATGAAGGCTCATGTAGTGATGAAGATGTCGTGAATGATGAAGATGAATATGACACAATTTATGAATTTGAGCAAAATGCAAGTCATGATTATCAAAAAACTAGCCATGCAACAAGTAGTTCTGAAAATGACAGCTCTGATAATGAATATCGAGACAAAGATGAAATAATGATGTCAAAACTTAGCGAATGGGCAGTCAAATACCAGGTTGCTCATAGAACAATTTCGTCACTATTAGAAATTCTACGTAATGACTACCCTTCTCTCCCTAAGGATCCACGTACATTGCTTCTTACTCCTCAGAGTTACGCTGTGAAAAACATTACAGGGGGGCAGTACTTTCATTTTGGAATTTCAAGTTCTTTATCATATCAGCTTTCTGATAGAATGGAATTCAATATTCCTGGTAAGCAAGTGAAATTTCAAGTGAATATTGATGGTTTACCTGTTTTTAAAAGCACCTCAATGCAGTTCTGGCCAATACTTGGGAGAGTCATCCACCCCTTTCTTGGTCAACCATTTATCATAGGCCTCTTCTATGGTGCTTCCAAACCACCAAAACTTGGTGAATATTTAAACGAATTTGTATAAGAAATGAAGGGTCTTGAGCGTGATGGGCTAGACCACAATGGCCTCAAAATTGAAGTTTCCATTTCATGTTTTATATGCGATACACCAGTCAGGGCGTTTGTTAAAGGAGTGAAAGGCCACAACGGTTACTCTGGTTGTGATAAGTGTCTTCAAAACGGTAAATGGTTGAACAAGATGACATTCCCAGAAACAAAAGCACCTCTAAGAACTGATCTTCAATTTGATGAAATGGCTGATGAAGAGCATCATTTATTCAGATCACCACTGAGTCAATTATCAATAGGTATGGTTACCCAGTTTCCACTTGATTATATGCATTTGGTCTGCCTAGATGTCATGAAAAAAACTGTTGTTTTTATGGATGAAGGGTCCCGTTTCTGTAGGATGTAGAATTGGAGCAACTCAATAAACAAACTGTCAGATAAGCTAACTCTGTATTCAAAATATATCCCAAGGGAGTTCTGTAGAAAAGGGAGATCTCTCAGGGAAATAGACAGATGGAAAGCAACAGAATATAGATTATTCTTATTATATACTGGACCGGTTGCCCTAAATGATATTTTGTGCAATGCCGTGTACTTAAATTTTCTGCTTCTTTTTGTCGGTATTACCTGTTTAGCAACCCCGCTACTAGTTCCAAATTATTGCGATTATGCCAAAGACAATTTGTATCTTTTTGTTGAACATTTTTCGCGTCTTTATGGCAATGATATGGTTGTTTATAACCTGCATGGTTTAATACATCTATCACAGGATGTAAAAAGGCTTGGTCCCTTGGACAATTTTTCATCTTTTCCATTTGAAAGCTTCTTAGGCAAATTAAAAAGCTACTTCGAACACCAAAGTGCCCCCTTCAGCAGATAATAAGACGTTTAGGTGAAAGTCAGGTACCTCTTCACAAAGGTAAACATGTTTCTGAGAATCAAGGTGTAAAGTTTGAACATTCAGATGGACCTATTTTATCTAATTTAGGATACGTGACACAATATAAAGAAATTCACATGGACCGATTCTTTTTGTCAAAATCAATTTGAAATAGCTGTGTTAGTATTAACAATGAAGTTGTGATAATAAAAAATATTGTACAGAATGCAAACAAAGATATTTTAATCATATATGCTAAGTTCCTATCCAAAAAAGATTTCTTCACTTATTCACTTAAATCGTCTTCTATTGGATTTTTAAAGTTTCACATTTAAGTATTTAAGTGACCATCTGTGTGGGGGGATCACAAATTGAAAAGAAATATGTTATCTTACCTGAAAAGAATCATTTATTGTACTTCTTTGCTACATCTAAACATTCAGTAAAGTGTGTATGTTGTTTCATTGGTACAGAAAACAGTGACATGATACTGCTAATTCTATACAGTAAAGACGCTATTCTAATCTGAAAATTCAAGCGACAAGTGCTTTATAACAGGAAATGTACCACATAGTCAAGTTCCAAAAGACTAATGAAGTGGGGATTGTGCCACACACTTGGCTCCACGGAAGAGAGTACTGCTTTTGGCCCAAGTTCAAAAACAGTAACCAACTGGACAGGGGAGTGAAGACCTGCTGCCTCCCAGACAAGGATACATGGAAACTGTATACCATCACAGTCATGTACAGTAGTGGTAAGTATATACGACTAAAGCTAATCAGTGTAGTTTAGGTTATCTTTAATTCTGAACACGTTTCATACTAATTCATTCTTTTAAAATATTATTATTATTAAATGATAGGTCATTGTTAACAAGATCATTTCTGACATACTGGCATAATGATGAGTTAATTAAATGTGTTCTATAATAATTACAGAATCGTATGACAAGGTAAGGAGAAAACTACCCCTGGCAACTGATATGTCTAACCTCGACACGGAGGCAGAGGATGATAGAGAGTCAAGGAAAAGAAGGTACCAAAATACATTTGAGTGAATATGGTTAGAAGCGTGAATATAAACATTTAACAATTGTTTAAATAGATATGATTTGTCATCACAAAATTACAAGATGATTATTACAAAACTAAATAATTGATAATGATTTAGTGTAAAGGCTTCAATTTGAGCTCTTTGAATTGTTTGCATTTCTAAATACATGGAATACATTCGAACTTATTTTTGATTTCAGACCAACTGGCAGGTACTTGAGTTCGAGCTCCAGCTCAAGTGATGAGGAAACACAAGTGACAAAGACCAAGGAGTCACGAGCGTCAAAGTCCTCTGTGCCCATGCCACCTTCTCCACCTCGCCTTAGAGTTTCTCCCCAGCCGCCTTCTCCTCCTCGCCTTCTAGTCTCTCTACCTGTGGCACCGTCTCCACCCCTACCTACACTGTCGGTCCCGACCAGCCCACGGCGATCCCCCAGGCGACGGATCTTACCCGAGCCTTCTCCATTGCTGTACCGACAGGATGTATGGAGGCCCAGTCATCTCACCCAGAAATGATGGCACAAGTTCAACAGTGGGGGCAACTAGAGGTGTGTATGATAATAATGGTTAAACATTTATGCTTTATATTATGCTTTATCAACTTGATAATGGTAAACATTTGTGCTCAACAGTACTGATGAAAAACTATTTCCACAACCTGCACAATTGTTAATTGTTTATTTTGTATCTATTTTCAAAACTACCAGGGGAAGTTGTTGAACTTGTAAAGATCGTGGAGTCAACTCGAGCAGTGGCTCTTGAAAACCAGAAGCTGCTTCACCAGGTTCTGAGGATTCTGCAGTCTGGCTCCACGGACTTGACACCAGCTGAGGAGTTGCATCTCCCCCTCAAAACCATCGAGGAACTGAGGGAAACTAACACTTCTCTGGAGGATTCCTCCAGATTGAGATCAGCGGTAAATATTAATTTTGTTTTAGATCAGTTTGATTCCTTTCACTACTTGAGTTATTCAAACAATTGTTACAATCCAAGTCCAATTAATAGTGATTGTTGTACGGAATATTACTCTTACATGGCCATAGTATATAGTTATAAACGCTAGGGAAGTTAATTGTTGAAAAATTTACAATCCAACAGGTTGGGCAACTTGGAGTGGCAGGAGGCGTGTCAACAGGAGACACAATCCGCAGAGTCTTGACAATGCTCATGACAAACTCGGTCGCCAAGCAGGTGAACTGGAAGGGGACATCAGGAAAAGAACCCTAAAAAGAATTTCCTCATACCATATAAAAACAATATACGATTGCAAAAATCTAGATTTATTATTTTTAAAATTATTGTCCAAACAGTCTATTACGTAACAACCAAGTTCAGGGGCCACACCAAAAAACAAACAATCAAACAAAAACAAACCGAAAAAAACACTCATCAGTAAAAAAAGGCTACACAGAGTGCAAGCTGAGTATTGGTTGTCTAACATGGGAGAAAATCAGAAATATAGGTGTGGTCTTGACACACGAAGCCCATTTTAGCATTCGTATATCTTTTACAAAAAACAAACAAACAAGAAAAACCAGGGCGGGAAAAAGAAAAATCTCATGGCAGATGAATGCTATCAGCGCAGACCGTTAAGCGACCACAACAGAAGTAGGGGCATTGCATGGTTACAGAATGGTGAATCCATAAGAAGTGTTGCTCACCGTCTTCATTCAGGTGTCTCCCTCTGTCATTCACAGACTGAGGGACAGGTTCCAGGCCACTGGTAGAGTACAGGACAGACCTCGCTCTGGAAGACCCAGAAAAATATCAAGGGCAGATGACCGATATGTTGTGCTCCAAGCCCTTCGGAACCGATTCACAACTGTCAGTGCCCACTTGCCACAAGCTGCATGGAAAGTCTGTCTTCCACAAACTCGCGACGACGTCATCAATGAAATGTGAAACGTTTCAGGATTCGCATGGCGTGTATGGAGTTTTGTGAAAGTAGTTTCGTGGATTGACGTAATGCATTTGCATATGGTTATCAGATTTGGATAACAAGTTTATCAGATTGCTTTATTGCACTGATAACACCCTCCATTAGATGATATGTATTACGATCAGGCCACAGGGGCGTGTCACGCTTAGAAACAGCGTTAGAAAGACATATAGGTATATAGACCCTACCCTAGTACTAGGGTAAGGTCTATATACCAATATGTCTTACTAGGGTAGGGTCTATATACCTATATGTCTTTCTAACGCTGTTTCTAAGCGTGAAACGCCCCTGTGGACCAGGCAACATGCGAATCCCATCAGCAAGCGTGATTCAGGTCCTTAAACTTCTCACACATCTGTTTTTTCGTGTATAGTACATATACGTCATGAGTCATACATATAGTTTGTGGAATTCCGTTATTGAAGAAACATCAAGATGAGGCAGCATAAATAGCTGATAAGCACCAAAACAATGGAAAGTTGTACGAACATGTCCTCAAAGTCAAGGGAGGCCAGGTAGCTTCGGTGTCTAACATCATTAGTTTTTCGAATCTCTGTTGGAGCAATAAAACATATTGTAATTTAACGAACTGGCACTTGTTTGGAAGATATTGTGATCAGCGATCCAATCCATCTGGGTTGGTGCAGAATCTATGCCAACACGGTTTGGTTTGGGTTGTTTATAACCTCAGTCAGCAAAATTCCAGCTATGTGGCAGTATGTCAAGACGGAATCCATGTGTGTGCATGTGCATGCGTGCGTCTAGGCACCATAAAGGTGAGCTATCGTTTTACTATTTATTCTCTAATTTATCATGTCAGTAACTCATTTATGGATGTAACGAACCATATTATTACTGATATAACACATTCGATTTAAAGAATTCAATAAATTCACTTATTCGATCTTCAGATGGCAATACCCGTGGTACATGAATTTAGTAAGTAATTTAGTACATTAGTAATGTAAAGGAGGTATGATACAGCAATATTAGAACTATTGTCTATTTATGGATTTCAATAACTCATCTAACTATACTAAGCAGCATAAGAAATGTCAGTTTGGAATTTTCCTTTGCAGAAACGGATAACTGTAAACTCATTTAATGTTTTGATTGTATATTTTTGACAATATCTCCAACTTTACCTGAGCAAAGATTCCTTCCTAAACTCAGAATGGAACCCAAGAAAAGGTCTCAAAAACGCAACCTGATCTCGGAGATGGTACGGTGTTCTCCATGTTTTTCATGCAACTCAGTGAAATGACTAAGAGGATCAGCCATTTCGCTATTGGCTATATAAATAGGTTTGGACGTTTCCATCAAGTTTGATGTAAATGTGCTTGATAACGATATTAATGTTCGTGATACACGAAACAAATTGCCAAAACGCATTTTGTGGCCCCGACTCTCAGAAACACGAAACACATGTCTTAGTCGGATACATGGGAAAGATCGTGCGAAAATTCAGTATAAATGGCCTGTCCACCACTTCAATATCACTGCACATAAAGTCACCCAGAGAGAATGCCAAGGTTAACCAAGGAAGAAAGAGAACAAGCAGTAGGGATAGTTGAATGGCTGACCCTCTGAGTTATTTCACGAAATGACTGAAATTTTTAGTCATTTCACAATCTGACTGTAACATATAGACAGACAATCGACTGACTGACACCAAGCTGTGATACGATAACTTGCACAAACCAAGTCAGCGAGCCTGACCACCGATTCAGTTTGTCTCCTCTTACAAACAAAGGTTGCTGAAGATCCGTTCTAACCCGGATCATGATGTCAGGTATACGGGAATCCATTACTTTCATAAACCAAAGTGAATTATTGAGAAAAGTGTTAGATGTCAGAATACATTTAATATGTTATACCGTTTTATTGATATTTTGAATTTACGACATTAGTTAATGTGTTAATCGATTTCTAAAAATACATTAAATTTATAAATAGGTGGGGAGGGGAGGGGGAGAGAGACTACAAAAAGCATTATTTCAGCTATATGACGGCGGTCTGCAGATAATTGAGTCTAGACCAAACAACCCAGTGACTGACATCATGAACATCGATCTACGCTATTGGGAACCGATGACATGTCAACCAAGTCAGCGAGCCTGACCACCCAATACCGTTAGTCGCCTCTGACGACAAGCATGGGTTACTGAAGATCAATATTCTAACCCGGATCTTGAATATACTTCGCAAATCAGTTTCCTTAATATATTAAGATGACGTTGCTCGGTATACAATTGACGAAACACATAAACAGATGTTTGTCACGAATGAAAGAATCCAAGAAACTCATATGTATATATTTTAATGTCAGTGGAAACAATGTGTCATGGTTATTAGTTCGTGGCGTAAACCATGTATATACTGCCCTCGGATAGTTCATACATTTCATTGTCGTGAGTGTTGAACTGTGTCATGACTTTCAGAATACGATATTACCCACGTCTGAGACGTTTTCTAACTACAAATGTTATTCTTCAAATTTACAGTTGCGAAAAGTATATGCTGACTTTCATTACCTCAGTGTAAACAGCTCGCCTACAAGCTGAGGATAGATACAAACTTACAACATATTAATAAAAGCGACGCTGCCTAACAACTGTAGCAATGTTTTAAAAGGACAAAAGTGAACGAGTGAGGATGTAAAATATATATACAATTAAAACGATCATATCTGCTGTTATGAGGTAGTGTTATACGTTGTGCAAATGTTTCATCTGTTACCTGTAGAGTTAGTGATGGGAAGTGATGTATTATAGTAAGACATGTACTATATTTAGACTGAGTGCTGGAATGTACTAGAACCCTTCTCTGATGCAGAAAACATAATGACTTGTGGCAGAATTTTCTAGCAACTTATTTTTGTGTATATATGAGGAGCTAGCTATTGCCTCTGATCTCACATTACATCACAAGTCAAGACCACATTCATTGTGTGTGATGATCATATCGTTGCATAAATATACCATTCAAAAAGTAGGGGGTATTGGATTTACGAGATTGATAAAATGCGAATGATGAAGCCAAGGAGGAAAGAGATGATGAAGAGAAATTAAGGGAAAATGTGCCAATTTATTCTATTCCTTTGGAAATATTTTATCTGCATGGATATATATTTCTTTTTCTCATGTGCATTGGCATTGGCTAGTGGTATGCTCGCAAAATGGAATATCCCCTACTTTTTTTTAATGGTATAGTTGCAAGTTGGGTTACTATTGCTGATAGGTGAATCCTTATTGCTATATCACTGCTCTTGTATCATACTGCCAATGAATCTGTTCTCCCACGCAATTTTGTACTGCTAAAGTTATACCTTTGTACTGACTTGTGAACTTAGTTAATTTTAGAATACAATTGTTAATTACAGCACATTTCTTTGATGTCAGTTGGTTTCACACTTAGTTCTCTTATGGACTGATTCCCGGTTAACTTTTTAGTTTCAACTCGGGAATCAACAACTAACACTGTACCTGTGTTAATATGGTCTTAGAGCCACCATGTCCACGCACCTTCGTGAAGTTGGGGGTTGGCCTTAGGATCAGAGGGCTTGTTGGCGGGAGGGACCATGGTTTTCCTGTACTCTTCAAGTCTGGCCAGTAACGACTGAACCTGGTCTGGGTTTGTGGAAGCTATGTTGTGGAATTCGCACGGGTCGCTGGGAATGTGAAACAAACATGGCGACACTTCCGGTTGACAGTTAGTCTCGGCATCCACGGGTTTCTTGCCGCAATTGACGTTCACTGGATGGTCGTTTGTATTGAACTCTTTCACGAATTCACTTCCAGAGGGATGTTTCATCTTGTAGTCCTTTCCTTCTGGCGGCGGGTACCAAGAATCATCTCGGCCTCCTGAGATATCTCCCATAACAAGTTTATACTCCCCAACTCTAATAGATGAAAAGTTCTGTATGGGATCAATGTTATGTAATATTTCGTTTCTAACAGCGGCGCCATTGTTCGACAACATTTCCCACAGATTGTAACCATCTTGGTTCCTGAGCTTGCTGACGTCACCTCCGGCCGCGTGGTAGAGTGTGGGCAGCCAATCAGTGATATGCATCATGTTCTCCTGGACGTACCCGGATGTAGAGAGTAGAGGGCTGTAGACGAAGCCATTTCCCCGTACTCCTCCTTCCCACATCGTGTTCTTGCAGCCCCTGGGGAAATACACAGGAATATATAACAGAGTATTGGTATAGGTTACACCACGATGATTTGATGTTTCATCATTGAAACCAGTTGAACGATTAAACATCGGAATCCTAAAGCTCAAACATGTTTACACCATGAATGCAACATGCCATTTTCAGAAAAACTTTTAGTGGTCAAATGTAAATGTTATGTTTCGGATTACATTTTCTCAGTTAAGTGTAAAATCTTGTAAAATCTTGGTGGAGTTGCATCTGGGATTCGAACCCATACTCTCGGAGTGAGACACCACATCGCCAGCACACAAAGTCAGCGCAGTCTGCCTGTCTGTCTGTTATATGCTACTTTCCATTCCCTTATATCAGCAGTCGCATGCTCACATGGCACCATTGTCATTGAAGATGTGTCTCGCAACAAAACACCTTATCATGACCGGTCAAAAATGAATTCGACCGGATACAATGAAGTAGGGAAGTGTAACACACCTAAGAGGCCAGTTGCATGCCGCATTGTTGTCGTAGCCATTGGTGGGTCCACCGTTGTCGGTCGTGAGGACGATGATGGAGTTGTTCAGCATCCCCGTCTGCTGCAACGTCGCCGTCACGTTAGCAACAGCTTCATCAAGAGCCGACACCACCCCTGAAGCAACCAGTTAGCAACCATGTGTAGATATTCTACAATCACTGGTATCAAAGTCAACAATGGCCATGAAAGGAAACTTTTTCATTGAATTTGGAGAAGGCCCAGTAGAGTTGCGCCGTCAGGTTATGAGGATAACAAGACGAGAAATCTGAAGTTGGTGAATTTAATATGATAAAATTCTTAAATAACGCGTTCGTTGCTACATATATATTCGTATTGTTTTTTTCGGACACTTGAGAAACAATTGTTCTTATCATTCTTATCATTATAAAACATCCCATTTACTTGTAAAATCGATGGTTTTATCCTAAACACAAAGCATTTTTCAAGAATTGACAATGCTTGTGTCACAAAACTCCACTCCACTGCCGTCCGAAAACCTACAATCCAACGATAGGTGAAGACTTAACAGTACTGAAGTGTTGACCTTTAACCCACTTTGTCACACTTGTTGCCAAAAACATCAGCACTCCACACCTGTTTTTAACTGTTTGAGGTACAACAAAAGGGAGCGTTTACCAGCAAAGAGTTTCCTCTGTGTATCCTTAATATCTGGGAATCTGTCAACATATTTCTGTGGTGCTTGAATGGAATCGCCACCGGGATTCCCAGCATGCACTGCTTGAAAGGCCAGATACAGGAAAAGTGGCTGCGCATACAACAGACATTGAGTATTAGACTGGTATACATGCTAAGTGTTTTTATGATGTTTATCAAGGTGTCCTCCCACCAGAACTACATCCCATCAGAACTACAGCTTAAAACAACACATGTTACGGTCCAGTGCACAGATTAACTACATGCTGTCACCTGCGTCTGCTTAATGGATTTGCCCAACAGAAAACAAATAAAACATATATAACATTTTAGCTGCTGCAGTTCATGTTGGTTTTGATAGAATATAGTTTGCCTTCAACAAATGTAAATTTGCAGTCTTCAGTTATGATTGAACAAGTTCCACATCGAGGTGTTTGACAATTTGTTACACTGACTTATAAACCTTTTTTCATAGTATCACTTTTATACAAAATTGGAAGATTCGCTTTTATAATGGGCATAATTGTACAGTTATAGGATTGTAGGTACAAACAAATGGAAGAATGTCCATCTCTGTATTTGTTTCTTGTTTTCATAAGTGTCTATCTTGGGACTTTTACAGCTTTATGAACAGCATTTTCAACTGTCTAAGAAGACATGTCTTATATATCTATTACATATTACCTATTGTCACTAACTTTAACGTCATACGCATGATGACGACATAGCTACTACCTTTTTGCGTCGCCTATGACGACACTTAGTTTTCATTGAACAGATGAAGAGCCGTTGAACGGCGAAAGATTTTGTGCAGATAAAGTTTTATATATAGATGTATCGATAGTTCATCTGTAGATAGGCTTATATATTTAGTGTGATAATTTAATGTCAATTTCATCCTCAGTGTTCAATCTGATCCATGTAGAACTTGTTTAGCCCAGCTTCAATAAGTAGTCAACTGCATCGAGGTCCTGGATTGCAGTCTATAACAATACTATTTTGACTTAAAACTCATTCGTTTGTATTTCACCTTTACTCCAATATACCTTTACCTTTACTCCAGTATACCTTTACTTTTACTCCAATATACTAATCTTGGCTTGGTTTTTTCTCTCAAACATTCACTAACTACAGCATACCCTTCTCTCTTGTCCTTTACTTTCTGGTTATTAGATTACCTTTACAACAACATAATTACTGGTCAATAGGATTTTAAGCATTAAGTTCTTCTGGGAGAGCTGATGGGCTGTGCTCATTACATGCCATGGGGGTGCCTCTACTCAGATAATTAATCCCTAATTAATCCCTATAGTTAATTTGGGATGTAGTTCAAATGGGATGTAGTTGGGAGTATGGGAGTAAACCTTTATCAACCACCAAGCCAAGCTTTGTCCTGGACTGTCCTCTTCTATGTGACAGACAGGAAATAACAACAGACTGGTATACATGGTATGCGTGAACACCCGGTGTTACACTGCCATTGTTCAAATTCATTGTAAGCCGCATTGCACTGTACATACATGAAGTAAAATTAATTTTGAAAAATATCTATAACGTATTATTTTTAGTGTTTTCTTGTCGTTTTCCCCCTATATTGAGGCATTACCACGTATTACGCTTATTATATTCAAGCTAACATAGTCTCCATTAAATCCGTCCCCACCTTTGACTGGTTATGAGCTTTTATGACGTCACTGGCCTCTGACGCAAATAGTGTTGTCGAATATTCCTCATCATCATTACGCACCAAGTCAAGGTTCCGGCGGAAGTCCAGCCCCCACATGTTCTGAAACACAACCCCAGCGACACACACAATTCAGACCTAACGATAATTTTGTCCACCACAGGTGACGCTTTATCCGTTATTTGAAACAAGTGAAGTGAGTGTGTGAGTTTAGTTTTACGCCGCACACGTGTGAAGAGTAACTCAGTTGTCTCAATATAACTGTATACCACCCGATCCGGTTAGTCGCTTCTTACGACAAGAATGGGTTCTGAAGATCAATTCTAACCTGGATCTTCACGGGTTGAAACAAGTGAAAACTAAGAGCAATCGCAGCATGACATAGAATGTAAGCATTCCATATATTATATCATAAGAGCGTACTTCTTGCTATAGAAAATGTATACAAAAGCCCTGGGAGATTTAGCGTGAGTGAGTGAGTAAGGTTTTACGCTGCTTTTAGCAATATTCCAGCAATATCAAGGCGGGGAATACCAGAAATGGGCTTCACACATTGTACCCAGGTGGGGAATCGAACCCGGGTCTTCGTTGTGATGAGCCAACGCTTTAACCACTAGGCTACCCAAAAGCAAGTGAATGTCGTTTAACGCTGCAGTCTACTGCTTTCGGCTTATAGCGGGGATCTATAAATGATTAAGTACTTTCAAATAATGGACCAGACAAACCAGTGATTGAAATCATGAGCAACGTTCAACACAGTAGGTACACCAATGACACCAATCAGCCAATTACAGAGACATATTGTTAATTAGCACTGCCGTATATTACACAGGAGCAGTAAGTTGATATAATATATACATACCGGTCCCTTGCTTGTGTGGTCGAAGTAGTCTTCCTTCCCCGTGTAGTAGCCGAAGTGGGATTCGAACCCGCGCATAGTTGGAACGTGGTTCTTGGTGAAGAAGCCCAAGTGCCACTGCAACATGCATTGTAGAGTATTGGTTAGACTGTATCTACACAGGGAATACATTATTACAGTTTGGTGAAATTCAAGTGGACACTATGTTGTTGTTTAATGCTGCACACATTTACTGCTTAATGACGGACGTCCTGTAAATTAATGTGTCTAGACCAATGACAGACGGAGAGCATCGATCTAGGTACCAGATCGTCCAAGTCTGTGATCTGAACCTTCAGTTGCCTGTTTCGACAATAACCCGAATAATTACAGTTCTCTGTACATTCGACTTTACGTCACTGAAACACAAATCATTTAACGATCAGATATGAGCAACGGAATGAATACTGAAAATAGAATAGCTAGCTTCAGTAAAATAATGTACAAATCCTCAAAATTAAATTGATTTTGGAAATCCTCAAACTTAAATTAAAACATATACATTTGACTGACCTTGCTCTTACTGACAATAATATTTGCCCTGACAGTACCAACTGATGCGGACACTGCCATTGTGTCAGTCAGTGTTTAGCTCACCTTACCAACGATGTGCGAAGCGTACCCCAGGTCATTGAGGTACTGCGGCATGATGGTCTCGTTCAGAGACAGACCATACGGAGTAGCCTCCCCTATTACCCCGTGCTGTAGACCTGCGGACACAGAACATATTAAGAGTAACGCTACCGTCTCAGTATAACTGTGTACAGGACGTAAGGGGTGATATTAAGCACAAGAGATCGTATTGGAGAGGGGCGGTGGGGTAACCTAATGGTTAAAGCGTTGGCTCGTCACGCCGAAGACCCGGGTTCGAATCCCCACATTGGCACAATGTGTGAAGCCCATTTCTGGTGTCCCCCGCCGTGATGTTGCTGGAATATTGCTAAAAGCGGCGTAAAAACCAAACTCAGTCAGTCAGGCAGTATTGGAGACTCGTCGACATTAGGTTGAAGGATTTGGTTTTGTTTGGTTTGGTTGATGTATTCCAGTGAGTGAGTGAATTTAGTTTTACGCCGCACTCAGCACTATTCCAGCTATATGGCGGCGGTCTGTAAACAATCGAGTCTGGACCAGACAATCCAGTGATCAACAGCATGAGCATCGATCTGCGCAATTGGGAACCGATGACATGTGTCAACCAAGTCAGCGAGCCTGACCACCCCATCCCGTTAGTCGCCCTTACGATAAGCATGGGTTACTGAAGATCAATATTCTAACCCGGACCTTCACGGGGACCGCAGTATTCCAGCTCAATGGCGGCGGTCTGTAGGTAATCGAGTCTGGACCAGACAAGCCAGTGATCAACAGCATGAGCATCGAACTACGCAATTGGGATACGATGACCAAGTCAGCGAGCCGGACCACCCTATCCCGTTAGTCGCCTCTTACAAGCATGGGTTACTGAAGATCATTTCTAACCCGGATCTCCACGGATGATTGATGCGGCGTAAAATATGTATGGCTCAATCACGTCCTGTGGAACACAGCTCATGATCAGTGTGCCGAGCCAAGCCTCCAGTATGACATATTTTTGGGCAGCTTTCAACAGTAAACAATATTCTTTGTGACCAATGGAGATATTGCTCCGGTGCAAATGCCCGGGTTAGAACTGATCATCAACAACAATGTATGGTTGTCGAATAACGGGATCGAGTGGCCTGGCTCGCTGACGGAGATATTGCTTTAGTGTGAAGACCCGGGTCTACTGATCATCAGCAAACATATATGGTTGTAATAACGGGATCGAGTGGTCTGGCTCGCCGACGGAGATATTGCTTTAGAGTGAAGACCCGGGTCTACTGATCACCAGCAACAATGTATGGTTGTAATAACGGGATCGAGTGGCCTGGCTCGCCGACGGTGCTTTGCTTTAGAGTGAAGACCCGGGTCTACTGATCACCAGCAACAATGTATGGTTGCCATAACGAGATCGAGTGGTCTGGCTCGCTGACTTGCTGTGGTGCGTGTCATCACTTCCCAAACTGCTGCGTATATCAACGCTCCTGATATCAGCCAATGGAATGTCGGGGTTAGACTCCGACATCAATGAACATCAACCAAATAATGCATACTGTTGCTGCAACGTAAGATGTTAACTCACTGCATGTGTGGCACCTAACATTTAAATGAGAGAGTAAGTTTGGTTTTACGCCGCTTTAGCAATATTTCAAATATTTCAGCAGTATCACGGCGGGGGACACCAGAAAAGGGCTTCACACATTGTACCCATGTGGGGAATCGAACCCGTGTCTTGCGACGACGAGCGAACGCTATAAAACTAGGCCACCCGTAACATTTAAATAACACCCATGCGGTACTTATACAAGATTCATGTAACGGTCTCCAACTGGAACCATATGAATTCTTTGATCGAATCGAAAACATCAATTGAATAGTGACATTCTTTTTCAAAATTCACTATAACAAAGTAAACGTTTTGACAGTGCGGACACATACTGATGCGAGATACGGGGTTTGTACATATCTCAATTCTTGAAGGTGTCCACTTGTAAACATTTCCTAAAACATCTTCTATCATTAGAAAAAGTACACAAAATTTCATGATATATGGAGAACGTGGAAGACTCCAACTATCTAACATAGTTAGCAGGAGGATGGTGTGTTTGGGGGCAAAAACTATCCTACGTGAAAATCATCTGAATTATCCTTCCTTGTATACACGTTATTGTTTACTGACGATTCATTTGGAAAGTGTAAACATGAATGGACTATATATACATATCAAATTAACCTTTGACGAACTGGGCTTTACTACACCTGGTTTTCGCAAAATTTCACAAACCCTTATCTAAACAATTAAATCACATTAACCTACCGTCTTGGCGCAATGTATAGTGTCATAAAAAGTGAATGTTTTGAATATTACTAAAACGAACTGCATTAAAGAAAACAATTGGCAAATGATATTTAAGTCTACAACAACTAATCTGCCTATTAGAACTGTGAGGTTCAGAAAAAGTAGCTTGGAAAATGGCCAAAATCTGACGTAGATGATAAATTCCATTGCTGTCCATCTTCAGAAAACGAAAACGTCTCACCTGTGTGTAACCCGTGAAGATCCGGGTTAGAATATCGATCTTCAGTAACCCATGCCTGTCGTAAGAGGCGACTAACGGGATCGGGTGGTCAGGCTCGCTGACTTGGTTAACACACGTCATTGGTTCCCAATTGCGCAGATCGATGCTCATGCTGTTGATCACTGGATTGTCTGGTCCAGACTCGATTATTGACAGACCGCCGCCATATAGCTGGAATATTGCTGAGTGCGGTGTAAAACTAAACTCACTCACTCACTCACCTGTGTGTACTGGGTCTCTGTCACACCTGTGTATTGGGTGTTTGTCTCACCTGTTTGTACTGGGTCTCTGTCACACCTGTGTATTGGGTGTTTGTCTCACCTGTGTGTACTGGGTCTCTGTAACACCTGTGTTTGTCTCACCTATGTGTACTTGGTCTCAGTCACACCTGTGTATTGGGTGTTTGTCTCACCCGTGTGTACTGGGTCTCTGTCATACCTGTGTATTGGGTGTTTGTCTCATCTGTGTGTACTGGGTCTCTGTCACACCTGAGGATTGGGTGTTTGTCTCACCTGTGTGTACTGGGTCTCTGTCACACCTATGTATTGGGTGTTTGTCTCACCTGTGTGTACTGGGTCTCTGTAACACCTGAGTATTTGGTGTTTGTCTCACCTGTGTGTACTGGGTCTCTGTCACACCTGTGTTTGTCTCACCTATGTGTACTTGGTCTCAGTCACACCTGTGTATTGGGTGCTTGTCTTACCTGTGTGTACTGGGTCTCTGTCACACCTGAGGATTGGGTGTTTGTCTCACCTGTGTGTACTGGGTCTCTGTCACACCTATGTATTGGGTGTTTGTCTCACCTGTGTGTACTGGGTCTCTGTAACACCTGAGTATTGGGTGTTTGTCTCACCTGTGTGTACTGGGTCTCTGTCACACCTGTGTATTGGGTGTTTGTCTCACCTGTGTGTATTGGGTCTCTGTCACACCTGAGTATTGGGTGTTTGTCTCACCTGTGTGTACTGGGTCTCTGTCACACCTATGTATTGGGTGTTTGTCTCACCTGTGTGTACTGGGTCTCTGTAACACCTGAGTGTTGGGTGTTTGTCTCACCTGTGTGTACTGGGTCTCTGTAACACCTGAGTATTGGGTGTTTGTCTCACCTGTGTGTTCTGGGTCTCTGTCACACCTGTGTATTGGGTGTTTGTCTCACCTGTGTGTATTGGGTCTCTGTCACACCTGTGTATTGGGTGTTTGTCTCACCTGTGTGTACTGGGTCTCTGTCACACCTGTGTATTGGGTGTTTGTCTCACCTGTGTGTACTGGGTCTCTGTAACACCTGAGTATTGGGTGTTTGTCTCACCTGTGTGTTCTGGGTCTCTGTCACACCTGTGTATTGGGTGTTTGTCTCACCTGTGTGTATTGGGTCTCTGTCACACCTGTGTATTGGGTGTTTGTCTCACCTGTGTGTACTGGGTCTCTGTCACACCTGTGTATTGGGTGTTTGTCTCATCTGTGTGTAAGGGGTGTTCGGGTGTCCGTCTGATTTGTGCGTGATGGGGTGCTCGTCTCACCTGTGTGTATGGGGTGTCTGCCGGTCATGATGGCGCTTCTAGTCGGGGTACATATCGGAGATACGTAGTAGTTGTTGAGGAGGATGCCATTATAGGCAAGTTTGTCCAAAAATGGGGTCCTGATCTTAGAACCATGGAAGCCGACGTCACCCCAGCCCTGGAAATATTGCAAGCTATACTGTGTTCATCAGCGCAGAGCAAGAAGATATTTTAACTCCTTGCATACAAACAGTCACACATGACTGATCACTGATGTTAAATTATGCATGTCCTTTATCTACTGTCATAACATGACGCAAACGTCAGTAAAAATATTTATTATTCTTCAAATCATTAATGTTCGCAATAAAATTTTGCTGCTTATGACAGAAAATAAAAGTTTATTTTGCTGTGATACTTGTCTTCACAATAGTTGTATCACCGATCACCGAGCTATAAAGTGAAAAATCGATCACTGTGTTAAATATATTCCAAGCGTGAGTCACGGATTGTAGACATACTTACCAACCTGCTGTTATTGATTATACTCACCAGGTCATCCGCTACAATGAAGATAATGTTTGGGGGTTTTGCCTGTGACGTCACACACAGGAGCAGTAGCACAGTGATAAACACAGGCTTCATTTTCCGCTAGAGAGTCACGGGTGATTCGTTTGACTTCAATAAAATATAGTCAGTGTCGTCCCGCGAAATCTATAATAAACAATATCGTATGGTTACCATGGACAAGTTACAAAATTTGACTGCAGTTTGATGAAGTCAACGAAGAGCGTAACAAATTACCTATAATTAGATCTTTTTTCACCTCGTCACATGATCACGATACGCCTACAAAGACACACAGTACGATTGCCTGTCAGCAAAGCGCTCTTTGCTTCAGTGTACGGGTGATACTGTGGCGATAACTTACTTTATGTCCAGGTCAACCTCCAGTTACGTATGCAAGTCGACTACAACATATTCACCCATGAAGGCTGACGATAAGATATGAACAAGTAGTTGGCGCGCAGAGAGCAATGCAGGCGTTCATGCATTTAGCTTGTTGACATAATGATTAAAGGGAAACAACTCTTCACGCCTCCACGATCTTCTTTGAGTCTTGTTTGGTCTGCTGACGAGGACAGACGTGTGTATCTCGCTCTCTGAGTCAGTGTTCCTGTGTAGATTGTTCTCGCTGAGATTTATAGTGGTTAGTTGGGGTTTGTTTTGTTTCACACCATAAGCATAGTTGGTGAAACTTGCTTTGGTAATTAATTTAGTAATTATATTTTGTAATTGCCTTTCGTTTGTGTTCGTGAAATTTCCTTGCACGTTCTCTGTTTCGGTTGGCTGAGCACGCTCGGCACGTATTGTCCGTGCAGAACTTGCAGAACTTGCTTCGCGGATTACGCTTGTCGACAACACTGATAGCGTTAGCGTTTGCTTCGCAGATAGGGTTATGAATCCAGATTCTGACGGGGAATATACAGCCGACTGGTCGGCTCATGATGATTTTGAGGAAACTTCTACTCATGCCGAATTTGCTGAGAAATATAATGCTATGTTGGCTAAACGTCCAAAACGGAAACATGATGACGATGTTCAGACAAATTTTACGGAAAAAAATCTGAAGCCCATTGTTATTTTTTCCTCGGTAGACACTAGTGTCAGTTTGAAATCCGTAACTCCCGTTGCACTAGCTAAGGATATTCAAAAACATATTGGTGATATACATAGCCTAAAAGAGGCTGGATAAAGGTGACATTGTGTTACACTGCAGATCGGCTGAGCAGGCCAAAACGGCTCTGTCATTGACGCGAATTTGTGGGAAACAAATCAAAGCTTATGTCCCAAAAGTTTGCGAGAATCAAAGGTGTTATTTACAATATAGATCTGGATATTTCTGAAGATGAAATAGTTGAGCAGTTGAAATCCTTCAAAGTGACTGATGCTAAACGTTTAACCAGAGGTAAGGAAAAACAGCAGACATTATCAGTTTTGTTAACTTTTGCAAGTACCACACTCCCAGAGCATGTATACATGTACTATCAGTCTTTCAAGGTAAGAACGTATGTACCACCAGCCCTTAGGTGTTATAAATGCCAGCGTTTCGGTCATACATCAAACAATTGTAAAAGTACAGTTCAAGTTTGTGCCCGCTGCAGTGGGGATCATGCTTATGATGCCTGCCCTTCTAAAGATACCTTGAAATGTTCCAATTGCGGAGGAAATCACAGCGCAGCATATAGAGGTTGTAATAAATACAAAGGAAGCGGTAGAAATCCAACGTGTAAAAGTTGAAAACAAAGTTTCTTATAAAGAAGCCGTACAAATGGTCAAAGTAAACAATCCTATGTCTATGTCCTTTGCAAATGCTGTCAAACTCCGTCCTAAACAGCCAGTTGTTCCTTCTCCTCCGCAAGTTGCAATAAGTCGACCTTCAGTCTAGGTCACTCATGGTTCAAATAATTGTTCAACTCAATGTTCATGTCAGTGTTCTATTCATGGTGATAGATCACTGGATCAATCTCAGTCTACTCGTCCATCAAGCGAAAGCAGCCCATCCCGAGTTGATAATTCAACTGAAAACCTTGTTGCATTCTTACTATAGGTTATCACAGTCTGTTTTGGTGCTCCAAACCGAGATGACCAAATTTGTCGTATTATGTCCGCTGCAAAGTCTCATCTCCACATTGATATATCTCAAGATATCTTCCGTTCTTTTTCCACTGATAAATCATAATGGATAGCGCCCTCTTGCTGCTAACTATTCTGCAGTGGAATGCACAGAGTTTAGTTGCACACGGTCCTCATCTTAAGGCGTTTCTTGGAAAACTAGAATTCAAACCGGATGTAATATGCATTCAATAAACATTCCTCTGGCCTGAGTGTCAGTTTAAAATTAATGGTTATGTTAGCATGCGAAAAGATCGCATTGAATATGACCCTAGGACCAGAAATCCTAAACGTGGCGGTTGTGCTATTTTTGTCAAATCAGATTTAACCTATAATAGTCATACCATGCCGAAACTTAATTTTGAGGCAATGCGGTGGAAATTGTCTCAGACGAGAAATAATTCCTAACCATTGTTAATATATACAGCAATGGTTCGCCATCTCTAGATGATTATAACATGCTGACAAATTCTGTAGATACACCAGTTTTGATATGTGGTGATTTCAATAGTCATAATGCACTGTGGGGGAGCAGGCATACAAATCATGCTGGTCAAGTTGTAGAAACTCTTTTGGATGACACAGGTTTAATATTGCTAAACTCTGGCCAAATGACCCGTATAAATACTGGTAACTTTACTTTCTCAGCATTGGATCTTACCCTTGTTTCGCCGATTTTATCACACAAATGCCAATGGGGTGTTTATCAACACGACAGTCTGGGGAGTGATCACTTTCCAGTTTTCACTGAAATATCGTTTACACCTCTTCGAACACCTGCACATGGACTTTCTAGATGGAGATTTAAATCTGCAAATTGGCATAAATTTGTTGAACTTTGTTCAAATGAAATAACCTGTGATCTGCTTACAGATGACATTGAACGTTCAACTTGTAATCTAACTTTATCTCTTACTAAAATCTCAGAAAAAGCTATTGGTAAAACTTCCGGAAAGCCAACTACTCGAAATTCTCAGTATTGGTGGAATAAGGATTGTGACAAAGCCGATAAAGCTCGGCAAAAGGCTTATAACAGACTTCGCAGGACATCCTTACCGGTTGATTTAGACGACTTTCGGAAAAAAACGGGCTGAATTCCAACGTCTTGTACGATCATTAAAACGCAGCAGTTGGCGTTCTTACATATCTACAATAAACAGGCATACTTCCTTATCTTCAATTTGGGTCAAGGTAAAAAGGATTAGTGGGAACCGTAATAGATCCCCTATTCCTGTTTTGGATCAAAGCGCTATTTCCCGTGAAGAGAAAGCAAATCTTTTAGCAGATCAGTTTGAGGCTGTTAGCAGCTATGAAAACTTTTCAACAAAATTTAAAAACGAAATCACAAATTTGGAGAATGAGATTATTCCAATAATTTCAGATTCTTTATTACAACCTTTTCCTGAATATGATTTATCCTTCCACCTGGGAGAATTAAAATCGGCAATATCAAAGGGCAAGAATACATCTCCTGGTGCCGATGAATTGTGTTACGAACACTTTAAACATATGCCAGATTCAGCTCTAGAAGTCATACTTAATATCATAAATCAAAGCTGGATATCTGGGAAGTTACCCAAAAGCTGGAGACACGCTGTTGTTATCCCTGTTCCCAAACCTGGTAAAGATCCATCTCGCCCTGTTTCATACAGACCAATAGCCTTAACGTCTAACCTGTGTAAAATCATGGAAAGGTTGGTCACAAATCGTTTGAGTTTCTACTTAGAATCAAATGAATTATTAACGAGGCTACAGTGTGGGTTTAGGAAAACTCGTTCTTGCATAGATCACCTAGTTCGACTACAAAATGAAGCACAAAAAGCACTAGGAAACCAAGAGTATATGCTGTGTGTATTTTTTAGACATTGAAAAGGCATATGATATGCTATGGAGAAATGGACTTTTATTTAAACTGCAAAGCTTGGGGGTAAAGGGACGTATGCTACAGTGGATAAAGTCCTTCCTAACTGATCGAACCATACAAGTTCGTATTGGGCAACACGTGTCTGACATGCGAATTATCGTAAATGTCACTCCACAGGGCAATGTTATAAGCCCTTTGCTCTTTAATATAATGATCAATGATTTCTTTTCTGAACTTCCTTTAAACATTGATGCGTCACAATTTGCAGATGACGGTGCTTGTTGGAGGCGTTTTGGAAACATTGAGTTTGTTCATAAATCTATCCAATTAGCTCTAAATTCTATAGATGTTTGGTGTTCAAAGTGGGTGTTCAAGGTTTCAACTTCTAAATCAGTTGCTATGTTCTTCACAAGACGTAAAGTTCCTCCAAATCTGAAGCTACACATTGGTGGTCAGGACATACAATTTGTTTCTGAATTTAAATTTTTGGGTGTAATCTTTGATCAAAAACTCACTTGGTCAAACCACATCAACTACATTTCATCAAAATGTACTAAAGCTCTCAATTTACTGAAAAGCGTGTCTGCCACAAAGTGGGGTGCTGATAAATCATCCTTGCTTCTGTTGTACAAAGCACTAATTTTGTCTAGATTAGAATATGGCTGTCAAGTTTTTATGAATGCTGCAAAATGTCATTTGGCTAAACTTGATCGTGTTCAAGCCAAAGCTCTTCGGATATGCACTGGTGCTTTTCCTACTACTCCAGTTTCTGCCCTGCAGGTGGAATGCTCAGAACCTCCTTTGCAATATCATCGTTTTAAAGTTGCCCTTAAGTACTATTTATCCTTAAAAGCTTCCTCTAGGTATCAACCAGCAACTGATATATTGTGTGATTGCGTGGAATATGTCATGTGTGATTGGAATCATGGAAAACCACCGTTTGGATTACTTGTACAACAATTTGCATTACAGTACAAGTTAAATAATCTTCAGTTGAATGCTGCTCGATCTCTCCCGAAAACGGTTCCATGGACTTTAACACAACCTTCGATTTCACAGGATTTATCGGAGCTTGTAAACAAACAAATGTCACCAAGTGTTACTGATTCGCTGTCAGCTGTACAAGCAATTCAATCAGGTGTACAAGGTCCACGACATCTTGTATCTTGATACTGTTTTAAACTCCATGTACATCAGCTGTGATATTGTTTGGATTCCTGCACATGTTGGTGTAGCTGGAAACGAAGTAGTTGACACAATTGCTAAGATGGCTTGCAACAGACCACAGCCAGATATTCATTCAATTAAGCCCATTCCAAGAGATTACTGGTTTGTCATTTCATCTTCAATAAATGCATCTTGGCAAAATAAATGGGATAATGAAACTACAGGTAGACACATGTACTCTACTTGTCCTGTAGTAAACAAACATTTTAAAATTCGTCGGCGTTGTCGCAGAGATGAAGTTGTTTTAACTCGTCTCAGGCTGGGACATTGTGGATTAAAGGCATATAGAAGTATTTTAGATAAAGACTTATCTCCTCTGTGTGAAAGCTGTAACTTAGAGTGCCCAGAAACAGTTCAGCACTACCTCATTGAATGTCCAGCTCATGAAAACCCACGTAAGGCTCTTAAAGAAACTGTGCTTAACAAAACCCAAAATACTTTTTTCAATGAACGCAATACTTGGCGATAATTTAATGTATGGTTGCATACAAAGATCTGTTTTAGACTTCCTCGTTAAAACGGGTAAGTACGATGTTATTTAACTGAACAAAAATATAACAGTTTGTTAAGTGTTGGGCGCATGTAGGCCTTTTAAGGCCCAAGGTCGCCCTAAAACCTTATATACATACATACATACATACATACGATCTTCATTGGTTTAATGGCTAAAGTGAATGCCCGATGCGTCTCGCGAGTACAAACTGTTCAAATAAACTGTTATCAATAAAATCACATATCAATGGGTTTTTGGCTCAAATGATCCTCTTCAAATGAATTACATGTAATACATTTGCTTTTGATGTTAAGGTTATACAGCCAAAGCAAAAAGAAGAAGAAGAAGAAGAAGAAGATTTGCTTTGACCAGTGCTGCTACTCCACCCATGTTGTTGTGACATAGTCCATGAACTTATATGGCGGCATCATCACCTGGTGCATCAACAATAGCGTCCAACCAGACATTGTCGGCCTGATAAAGAGGCACAAGAGGAAGAGCCATAGCTCTCTCAGCTGGCTTCCGAAAGTCGGCTTTATCCTTGTAAGGAGACACAAGTCCAAGGTGCTGAACTCGTCTCCACAGAGCCCGTGGAAGTGAAAATAACATCCACGTATCTGAATGTTATCCAACACTGCAACTGGTGCGTTGGCGACGGCTTCCTCAAAGTCTGTCTGAAGAATCTGGCGCTGGAGGTTGCGCTGCAGTCTGTCAGTTTCTTTCTTCAGTAAACAATGTTGTTGGGCAGAAGAAGTACGCTAATGGATGCATTATTCCTTGAACCTCTGTATGTTTGTAGAAACAAACGATGTGATGGAAAGATAGTTCCCTCAGCATAAATGATATCCTCATTGCCCACAGTGTTCTTAGTTCTCTTGTGACGAAGATAAGGATTTTGTCATCTTCTCCATGATCAGCAATCAGAAACTGTTCTCCTGCATCAGTTCTTGTCCAGCCTTTTTCCAACTGCTGATCTGGTCATCGGAAGTCGTGGTATGTTCTTCTGTCTGTGTCTGTACATAAGTGAAATCATGCTGTCGAAAGTTGGAAAAAGGCATAAATACGTGGGATAAACGTAGTCTCGGTTCTTGCACGATCAAGAAGCCTGCTTCTAAATAATCAACATGATGAAGATAAGGAGCTGATTCGTGATTGGGGTCTTCTGGACCGATCTTCACTAGTCTGTCATCCACTGTCATGATGGTTCCTTGCATGTAGCATCAATACACCTCCAGTACACTGCATCATTCTTGTTCGCTCCTGTTCACTTTACACGTGTACCCTTCATGATAAGCATATCTACCTCCCCGGGGATGAGGTAGAAAGGAGACTACCACAAGTACATTTGCCATACGAGCATAGTTGATTTAAGGCTTAATCACCTAAGCTCAACACGGACTACTCCAGGAGAGCGTCATGGGTTAGTGATCACACATATTAGGCAATCTGAGCTGACGAGTAATTAGACAATGTGGGTATTAATCAATTTAGGAAATTAGACGATCTGGGTATACTCCACTATACTATGGGTGGGTTGTCTGACCATGCACGAGTGGTTTCTCCATGGCTTAGTGTCGCTGACCCGCATAATCTGTTTGGGAGAGACTAGCAATGGGCATAGAGTGAAAATGAAATAGTGCAGTTTTCTTCATACAGGGGCGGCGGGGTAGCCTAGTGGTTAAAGCGTTCGCTCCTCACGATGAAGACCTGGGTTCGATTCCCCACCTGGGTAGATTGTGTGAAGCCTATTTCTGGCGTCTCCCGCCGTGATATTGCTGGAATATTACTAAAAACTGCGTAAACCCTAACTCATTCACTCACTCACTTTCCTCCCTAACCTTCACGGGGGTAGATGTGAGCATCATGCAGGTTCATGGTTCTCTCTGAAGAGAGAAAAGGATGGCTGTGTGTACTGGAGGTGCACGGACAGACTATGCAAGGGGGCACTGCAGACTATGAATGATTTGAATACACAATGGAAGCCGGGGTGGCTGAGTGGGTTAGATTGCTAACTTTCTGTGCTGCCTGACACTGAGAGAGTGGATTCGAACCCCGAACGGGACTCAACAAAACAAAAATACTTGAATCGGTACTTTAATGAGAAAATGTAATCCCATATGCAACATATGATACGACCCCCTCCATCTCCATGACGTTGATTCCTTCAAGATACAGCTGCTTCTACGAGCCCGTTCAGAGACATAGGATCTATGGACATGAACTCGCCGCCCTCATGAAGCATCAGGTCAATGAAGGACTTCCTTAAAACACCCAAACTTTGACATATTAAGGATATCAATGTTGAGAGTCTGTTATTTTCTAATTATAACATATGATTTATTACCCAGAGCTGATTAAAATAATAAATACTCATCTTACTATAGTTCCATTTTGACGAAATAAATGTCACCATATATGACGATTGGGTGTAATGCAGCTTGTCACAACGGTGTTGAACCTGGTGCCACAGCATTCCTACAGCCTATCCACCACGCTGTATGTATGCTGAACAGGGTTTGGCTGACCCATACTCCAGTATATCTTAAAACCACAACTGAAGCATAAGTTTCTTTTAATCAAGAATCAAAGAATAAAAATATCAATATCAGACATTTTATTTCGTCAGTAAAACAACCTGTCATTAACACATTGTTAAAGCATGCACAAACTGCCCTTGGATATTTCATACTACTTTGTACGCCAAACGTCATGAGAATCTGATATATTTTTAATTTTCCAGTTACGCACAAAATATCATTATTTACATAAGATATATCAAAACTAAATATAATCATAAAAAATCGACCCTTCACGGGTTCGATTAAAATATATATAACATCAACAGTGTCTTTTTCATACACACATTTTACAGGTTTTTAAAACGATTGAATCTGTAACTTGTGTCAATTAGTGTGTCTTATAGCCACCATGTCCACGCACCCCCGTGAAGTTGGGGGTCGGCGTTAGGATCAGGGTCCTTGTTGGCGGGAGGGACCATGGTTTTCCTGTACTCCTCAAGTCTGGCCAGTAACGACTGAACCTGGTCTTGGTTTGTGGAAGCTATATTGTGGAATTCGCACGGGTCGCTGGCAATGTGAAACAAACATGGCGACACTTCCGGTTGACAGTTAGTCTCGGCATCCACGGGCTTTTTGCCGCAATTGACGTTCAATGGATGCGCGTTTGTATTGAACACTTTCACGAATTCACTTCCAGAGGGATGTCTGATCTCGGTGTCCTTTCCTTCAGGTGGCGGGTACCAAGAATCGTCTTTACCTTCTGAGATGTCTCCCATAACAAGTTTATACTCCCCAACTCTAATAGATGAAAAGTTCTGTATGGGATCAATGTTATGTAATATTTCGTTCCTAACAGCGGCGCCATTGTTCGACAACATTTCCCACAGATTGTAGCCATCTTGGTTCTTGAGCTTGCTGACGTCACCTCCGGCCGCGTGGTAGAGTGTGGGCAGCCAATCAGTGATATGCATCATGTTCTCCTGGACGTACCCGGATGTAGAGAGAAGAGGGCTGTAGACGAAGCCATTTCCCCGCACCCCGCCTTCCCACATCGTGTTCTTGCAGCCCCTGGGGAAATACACAGAAATAAATATAACAGTATTGGTATAGCTGAGACTACGATGATTTGATGTTTAATCACTAAAATGATCAGTTGAATGATTAAACATCAGAATCCTAGTGGTCTAACCTCTTCAAAACATAAATGCAAAATGTTTATTTTAGAAAGTGGTCAAATGTAACAAATGTTTTGTTTGGGATAACATTTTCTCAATTAAGTACAAAATCTGGTACTTTTCTGGTTGAGTCGCATCTGAGATTCTAACCCATGCTCTCAGAGGGAGGCTCCAAATTGTCAGCACACAACGTTAGCGATGTCACTCAGGCATCCATCGATGCTTCCACAACAATGGAAGTATGGCAAATGACAGTAAAGATCAGGTACTGTGTGTCCCTCTAATACTCCTCCGTGTTAATCTGAATATATATCCGTGTTCTACACGCGGATAATATGCTACTCAAAAGCAGTTAAAGAATGACCGATAAGTTATTATAATACTTTTGTTTATCTGTCATGAGGGATGCCTGTCTTTTCATATACTCATGCCAATAATGGTTGTCACCCCCTCCCCACCCCAACCCCACACCCACACCCACACCCACACCACCTCTCCAATAAAAAATATTGAAGGGGGTGACAACCATTATTGGCATGAGTATATTACTGTAGTTAGTATGTCATTTAATTTGGGGCGATGGGGTAGCCTGGTGGGTAAAGCGTCCGCTCGTCACGCCGAAGTCCCGGGTTCGAATCCCCACATGGGCACAATGCGTGAAGCCCATTTCTGGTGTCCCCCGCCGTGATATTGCTGGAATATTGCTAAACGCGGCGTAAAACCATACTCACTCACTCACTCATTTCATTTGACCAGGACGCGCATGTGTGTGTGAATGTGTGTGTCTGTCTGTCTGTATGTCGTATGCTACTTTCCTTTCACTGATATTTCCACTCGCATGCTCACATGTTCACGACCAAATATGATTTAGGAAATGCAGTTCATCTGAACAGCATATACCTCACAAAAAGTGTATGACACCTTTATCATTTAAGATGTGTCTCATCGAAAGAAAAAAATATCATGACTAGTTTCAAATAAACTTAACCTGCTACACTGCAGTAAGAAAGCTGTAACACACCTAAGAGGCCAGTTGCATGCCGCATTGTGATCGTAGCCATTGGTTGGTCCCCGTTGTCGGTCGTGAAGACGATGATGGAGTTGTTCAGCATCCCCGTCTGCTGCAACGTTGTCGTCACGTTAGCAACAGCTTCATCCAGAGCCGACACCACTCCTGAAGCAACCAGTTAGTACAGTGTAGATATTCTACAATCACCGGTATCACCGTCAACAACGGCCATGAAAGGAAACTTTTTCATTGAATTTTAAGAAGGCCCATTAGACTTGCACCGTCAGGTTAAAGAATGACGAGACTTGAATCCAGAAGAATAGGCTACCACTTACGCTTTCGCTGCTACATATATATTCGTATTTTGTTTTTTCCGACACTTAAGAAACATTCGTTATCATTCGAATCACTAAACAACTAGAACACACCCCACTAACCCATTAATAATTACCTTATCCTAAACGCAAGCCATCATTAAAGAATTGACAATGTCTGTACGACGCAATTCTTCTCGTTATCGGCCGAGTAAGTATACTTCCGTACAAAAACCTTCGATCCAACTATAGGTGAAGTCTCTCTGGCGCGGTATTGACCTTTAACCCGTTAAAGCCTTTAACCCATTTATTGCTAAAATATAAGGACGCTACAGTGTTTATGTGATATTTTACCAGCAAATATTTTCCTCTGTGTATCCTTAATATCTGGGAATCTGTCAACATATTTCTGTGGTGCTTGAATGGGATCGCCACTGGGATTCCCAGAATGCACTGCTTGAAATGCCAGATACAGGAACAGCGGCTGCGCATATAACAGACATGAAAATTAGAACAGACTTGGTATACATGGTATGTGTGAACACCCGGTGTTTACTGTCACTGTTCAAATTCAAATTGTAAGTCGGATTGCACTGCACATACATGAAGTAAAATTAATTTTGAAAAATATCTATAACGTATTATTTTCAGTGTTTTCTTGATGTTTTCCCCCTATATTTAGGCATTACCACCAATATGTAGAGTTATGCTTACTATATTCAAGGCTAACATAGTCGCCATTAAATCCGTCCCCACCTTTGACTTGTTATGAGCTTTTATGACGTCACTGGCCTCTGACGCAAATAGTGTTGTCGAATATTCCTCATCATCATTACGCACCACGTCCAGGTTCCGGCGGAAGTCCAGCCCCCACATGTTCTGAAACACAACCCCAGCGACACATACAATTCAGACGTAACGATAATTTTGTCTACCACAGCTGACATTTCATCGGTAATTTCAAACAAGTGAAACCTAAGAGCAATTGCAGCATGGCATAGAATGGAAGTATTACATACATTATATTATAAGTGGGCATTTCTTGCTATAGAAAATATTGTATACAAAAGCCCATGAGAGATTTAGCAAGTACCGCAGTCCACAGCTTTCGGCTTATGGCGGAGGTCTATAAATTCCGTATTTCCACTAATAAGTGCCCGGGCGCTTATTAATCCATCAAACTCTCGGACCCGACGCTTAATAGGAGCCGGCGCTTATTGGAGACCCGGCGCTTAAAGTTTCAACGGAAATAAATATAGATTCTCCATTTGTATTTTATTTGAAAACTCCATTGTAAACATGTGGCACACCCGGCGCTAATTAGAGTTCCGGCGCTTATTGGAGATCCGGCGCTTATTTGAGATCCGGCGCTTATTGGACAGTTGCTTTGTTTTAAACATATTTTATTCATGAGAAAAGGATTGGGTACAAGTTATACAACTTAGAACACCCTCTCCGTAGGGTTGCTTTATCCCCAGTGCTTAATGGAGGCCGATGCATATAAGGGACGCCCGCGCTGATTAGAGGAAATACGATAATTAAGTACCTTGGTACTTCCAAAAGATGGGCCAGACGAACCAGTGATTGAAATCATGAGCACCGTTCAACACAGTATGTACTAATGGCACCAATCAGCCAATCACAGAGACTGATTCTCAATAAGCACTATATTACACAGGAGCAGTAAGTAGATATATAAAACGCAGTACAAACCCTTGAACTGCTTGTGTGGTCGAAATAGTCTTCCTTCCCCGTGTAGTAGCCGAAGTGGGATTCGAACCCGCGCATAGTTGGAACGTGGTTCTTGGTGAAGAAGCCCAAGTGCCACTGCAACATGCATTGTAGAGTCCTGGTTAGACTGTATGTACACAGGGAATACATTGTTACAGTTTGGTGAAGTTCAAGTGGAGACTACGTTGTTGTTGAATGCTGCACACATTTACTGCTTAATGACGGACGTCCTGTAAATGAATGTGTCCAGACCAATGACAGACGGAGATCTAGGTAACTATGGAATACTATAAGGGACAGTCTCGCGATCTCGCATTCTCGCACTTTTGGCATTTTTAGCTTGTTTCCAAAGGTCGACATCGCGAGAATGCGAGATCGCGAGACTGTCCCTTACAGTACTCCATAGGTAACAGATCGTCCAAGTCTGTGATCTGATCCTGCGGTCTACTCCCATTTGTGAGACCTCCCAATTGTGAGACTCCCAGTTGTGAGACAGTGGAGTAGGTAATTAACAAAGAAAACACTCTACTCCCCTATCTGATAGCATGGATTAACCCTAGCTAATTAGGGATTACCTATGTAACTGAACCTTGTGAACAGAACAGAACAGACATATTTTTCTCACATATACTTTTATAATCACATTTTATAATCACATATAGTGACACAGACAACATACAGCATATTCATACATATTAAAACATTGAACAAAGTCCAGTTTTGATCAATTTGGCAACTTTAGAGTTAAGTGGTGAATACTCACATTTCATTAGATAAACATTATTTTCAATATCCGGATGTTTACAGAGATACTGGGGAAGAAATTGATGTCTAAAGGCATTTAGTGCTGGACAGCATAATAAAAAGTGAAGTTCATCACAGACAGATGATGTACACTGTTGGCAGATTCTGTTACATCTTTCGGTGCCGTACCAACGTCATGTTTCAATGGGCAACCTGTGGTTTGAAGTTCTAAATTATGGTTAGGTATCTACCTAATTCACCGTAAATCATAAAATTTGATTGCTTCACATTCTTCGAACTGGGTACAGAAGATTCATGCGCTCCCCTGGAGGTAACTTAATGAAACTTTAAAAGATAAATTAATTAACCTACTCAAGTAAATGTCTTTAAAATATAAACACTTTGTGTAGGTAACGTGATAATTTGAAACAGAAATAAATTTACCTACTCAGATTTACGTGTTTAAATAATGTAACAATAACTGCTTTAATCATAATTCATATAAATGTATTTATTAACCTTTGTCTGCTCTTTTCGATCAGCAAGTACCGATGTCGACCTGGCTGCTCCATATCTTTGATAATCTATTTCATTATTTCTGTATCTATCGATGTTCTTTATTGAAAATGCTCTTTAACGAACAATGTCTCCTGTGTAATTAACTCATTAATGAACCGTGCCTCCTCTTCAGCAACAGGGTTGTTCCCACTTTCATTGTAGGGATGTGGAAACACCACCTAGGTGCACTCAACCATTAATTAATGTGTTTCACAACTGGGAGTAGTTGTCTCTTTCGACAACAGCCCGAATAATTACAATTCTCTGTACATTCACTCTCGGTACCAGATCGTCCAAGTCTGTGATCTGAACCTTTGTCGCCCCCTTACGACAATAACCAGAATCTTCACTGGGGATTCAATTCAATATACCTACAATAAAACATAAATATCATTATAAACCTCTATTGTGCAGACCCTCAAGCTTAAATTAAAATATCTAAATTTGACTGGCCTTGCCCTTATGTATGACAACACTATTTGTCCTGACCGACCAATGGGAGCGCTGCCATTGTGTCAGTCAATATTCAGCTCACCTTACCAACGATGTGGGAAGCGTACCCCAGGTCATTGAGGTACTGCGGCATGATGGTCTCGTTCAGAGACAGGCCATACGGAGTAGACCCGCCTATCACCCCATGTTGTAGACCTGCGGACACAAGACGTGTGAAGAATAACTCCGCTGTCTCAATATAACTGTATACAGGGGGTAAGGGGTGATACTAAACACAACAGATCGTAACTGGAGTTACGTCGATATTTGGTTGAAAGATGATTGATGCCACAGGGGATCGAATCACTGTATGGACAATAATTTTTAAAAATAAAAATGTAGACTTTTGCTATCATACATTGTATGTTATGATTCACATATATTTTTAAAATGTGAACGAAATCGGTGAAGAAATGAATATTTTAGAAAATTCTACCGTTACACTCATTACATAAAATACAGAAGGGGTGACGCTCCCGATGCTAAAATCATGATCGAAAACCGGACATTCCGACTATTTTAACGTGATTTTAACGTATGATTGCAAAAGTAAAGATTTTATTTTTTTTTTTTTCCAAACAGTGATTCGAACCCCTGCGATTGATGCGACGTAAAATCTTTAAGGCGCTCAATCACGTGCTGTGGAACACGGCTCATGATCAGTGTGCCGAGTCAAGGCTCCAGTATAGCATATTTTGGGCAAGGAGCGTCCGTCTCACCAGCTGTGTTCAAGGAGCGTCCATTTCATCCGCGTGCAAGGAGCGTCCATCTCATCCGTGTGCAAGGAGTGTCCATCTCATCTATGTGCAAGGAGAGTCCGTCCGTGTGCAAACAGTGTCCGTCTCATCCGTACACAAGGAGCGTCCATCTCATCCGTGTGCAAGGAGTGTCCGTCTCACCTGTGTGCAAGGAGCGTCAGTCTCAATCCGTGTGCAAGAAGTGTTCATCTCTTCGGTGTATATTTGGTGTTAGTCCCACCTGTCCATCTCTACTGTGTGTAAGGGAGGGTCGGCCCTATGTGTGTGTATAACGTGTGTACAATCTGTGTATATGGGGTGTCCGCCTATCCTGTGTAAATGGGGTGTCCATCTCACCTGTGTGTATGGGGTGTTCGTCTCACCTGTGTGTATGGGGTGTCTGCCGGTCATGATGGCGCTTCTAGTCGGGGTACATATCGGAGACACGTAGTAGTTGTTGAGGAGGATGCCATTATAGGCAAGCTTGTCCAAAAACGGCGTCCTGATCTTAGAACCATGGAAGCTGACGTCACCCCAGCCCTGGAAATATTGCAAGCTATACTGTGTTTATCAGCGCAGAGCAAGAAGGTATTTTAACACCTTGCCTACAAACAGCCACACATGACAGATCACCGATGTTAAATTATGCATGTCCTTTATCTACTGTCATAACATGACGCCAACGTTAGTCAAAGTATTATCAATCTTTAAATCATCATTGTTCGCAATAAGATTTTGCTGTTTATGACAGAAAATAAAGTTTATTTTGCTGTGATACTTGTCTTCACAATAGTTGTGTCACCGATCACCCAGCCGCACATAAAGTGAAAAATCGATCACTGTGTTAAATATAACATGAACGTTAGTCACGGAGTGTAGACATAAATGCCAATCTACTGATATTGATTATACTTACCAGGTCATCCGCTACAATGAAGATAATATTTGGGGGTTTCGCCTGTGACGTCACACACAGTAGCAGTAGCACAGTGATAAACACCTTTTTCATTTTCCGCTAGAGAGTCACAGGTGATTCGTTTGACTTCAATAAAATATAGTCAGTGTCGTCCCGGGCAATCTGCAACAAATAATATCGTACGGGTACTGTGAGAAAAGCGTAAAAATTTGACTGCAGTTTGATGAAGTCAACGATAGCGTAACAAATTACCTATTATTAGATCTTTTTTCACCTCGTCACATGATCAAGATACGTCTGCCAAGAAACACAGTATGATTGCCTGTCAACAAAGCGCACTTTGCTTCAGTGTTCGTCTGATAATTGTGGCGATAGCTTACTTTATGTCCAGGTCAACCTCCACTGCGAATGCAAGTCGACTACAACACACTTAGCCATGAAGGTAGCCTTGCTCCAAGGCTGTACTGAATGCTGATCCAATGGATGTGAGGTAATTCTATCCTTTAAAGGGGCAAGTCTAGGTAAACCGACAATATAAGGACCCCAGTCTGTTAATTAATATTATCATTTAAACTATTAATTTTAACTTAGAGACTTGTGCAATCTACCATGAAGGCTGACGATAAGATATAAACAAGCATTCTGCGCGCCGAGAGCCATGCAGGCGTTGATGCTTTGAGCCACAGGTGTTCGAATCACTCAACAAAAATATAATCAAAAAAAAAATCTAGACTTTTACAATCATATATTGTTTTTACATATTATGATTAACATATATTTCAAATTTGAACGAAATCGATAAAGAAATGAATATGATAGAGAAGTCTACCGCTACACTCATTACATAAAATACACATGGGGTGACACTCGCGATGCTAAAAACCTGATCGAAAACCTGACAGCCCGACTATTTTAACGCTCGGTTCAATCAAACCTTACGTGTTGAGCTTGTGCATGTCATTTTTTACCTTTCTCCTCATCGTATTCAATTTTGTGTAACTGCATTTCATATTTGACCATTGGCATCAATAGGAGTTGTAGACCTCTGTTTGCTCTTATCTAACTCATCTCTGGGAATTCGAGAAGAGATGGAATAGCTTCACAGGCTTTCCTCCAGATCATGGTTTGGTAATGGACACGCTGGATGTGGTGGCATAGGGCATCAAGTCTGGTTTGAATGATTTCTCAAACAACATCCTACGCACTGTGTTCACACCTTGAACATTATGAACACCGTATACCTTGCACTTGTCTTGGTTCAGGTTTTCAGCGCCCAAGTCCTCTAGGAGATGATGATGGTTGAGAAAGACCTTCCAGGCTGATGTCTCGGTATGACCACAGAGGCGATGCAGATGTAGCGATGCAACAGAATGTGCTGTCAGTTTCTCGTAAACTTTACCAACTGGAATGTACTTTTTTTTGAGCAGTTCCTGTCAACATCCAGATGTTGTCAGCTTTGAGAGATAGAATGTGCGCCAGGAGAAGCATAAATAAATCTGTATCTCTGGCAGCCGCTACAGCCGTGCTGGAAGTGATGTTGACGGCATGAAGGATGAGCCGTGTATCGGCCTCCTCATGAGTTGGCCTTAGTTGATCCAGGTTTATAGTAGACTTAGAGGACTTGACTGCTTTCTCGTCGGCAAAGCCGATTAACTCTTTATCATGTGGAGCATTTGCCAGTAACTCTTCAGACAGGAAGCAAGCAAGGTCAGCTTTGTTGTCAGGAAGAGCTATGAAGTTGGTACAGGAGTGTGGAAGTGGCACATCTCTGCCTTCCACGATACGCCGTACTGGCCCTGTTGGTTGGGACCTAAGCTGTCTGGTTTGAGATTTTATGGATTCATCTCTATATCTGTCAAACACAACATCAATGCGATCATATGCTGCACCTGATCGAAAATGGGGCTGGTGAACGCATCTGCGAGATCGCTAAATGATGTTGCATTTGCTGGCTTCCCCATAGAGAGAACCCGCGCCTGTCCATCTATAAGTAGTGATGAGAAACTTCCACTTAAGTCAATCCTGTCAGGACACTCCACATCTGAGATTAAGATATCAGCCAACATTCATTTATTCCCCGTCCTCGGACAACCGTTGGTTTCAGCAAGAGCTACCGGCACTGACCCAAGTTCATGCTTTAAGATGTTGTCAAGATCAACAACACGTCCAGCTGAATATGAGATGATGAGACCCTGAAAAACATTTCTGTTTGCCTTTATTACAGTTGCGTTATTCCTGGTGGTATGCTTCTGATTAACATGATCATACATTCCCAAATGTTGAACAATTGTTCCTTGTCAATGGGTTGCATATGGTTTGTCTTCCAGGTGATTCTGTGCTACTGAGTAGTCAACAGCTTACAAAGTCATCTTGCTGTTACTGACCAAGCACTCTTGCATTAAGTAAGGATCCCTGTATCTTTCAGTTGCAAGGTCTTTTGTGGCAATAATTGCAAGACGTTTGGCTGGACATTAGGCGCGAATACTTGGAAACGCTGTAACATGTTTACAAGAGTGTTCTCATCTGCATTGTCTCGATGTTGCCGTGCTCATGAGGGTTTCACTTACAATTTGTTACTGAAAATGCAGTTTATTATTCATTCCATTGTTTTTTATTTGCCATATTGAAAGAACAAACATTATTTCATTAAGAATTTACAAAATTATCGATGTAAAGGAGGAATACTTACAATAATTGCACCAGCAGCTTGACATGTCTTAGAAAGGTGGCCATCAAAGTATAGGGATCGTTCATTATTTTGAAATGTCAAATTACCACTTTTCGATGAAAACATTCAAAACAATCACAACTGTGCTCAGTAATGTTTCATAATGTGTTGGTAACCATCCGAACTATGCAACAACTAAAGCTTTTGTTAACAACTTTATTCCTAAAAATTTAGGATAAAATAGTTTTTTAACAAAATCCAATTTATTTATTATTTTCAATGAAAGGCAGTTCTATACCTTGTGGTGACAACAATATTAACATTTCAATTGTACAGTGGTCATTTATATTTCATAATATACAGATGTAAGCATTCAGTATATTTTTTCACTAAAAAGGTGATTTTGCGGCCATTTTGTTTTTCAATTTTGAGGGACAAAAATATAATTTTTTTGGGAGGTATCCAATTTATCCATGATCATCACCATTTTAATGTCTGAAAAAGTCAGGTTTCAAAAATTTCGAAAATAGACATACAATCACAGGTGATGATATATCGTGTACACCTACCACTACTTGAGGCGACTATGGCGGCCATTTTATTTTTTCAATTTTGAAGGTCCAAAAAGCATTTTTCAGCTTTGAATCGTATTTATTCATGATTAGCACTCTTTAAATGTCGTTAAAAGTGAAGTTTCCAAAATTTAAAAAATAGAGATGCAGTCATAGGCGAAGATACTGTGCACACCTACCACTATTTTAGGCGATTTGGGCGGCCATTTTGTTTTTCAATTTTAGGGTCAAAAACACTTTTTTCAGCTTTCGTGATCAGCACCCTTTAAATACATTAGGTAAAATAGCCTGGGTACCAAATCCTACTAAAAATGCCTCAACATGTTTTATTTGAGTCTTTTCCCAGAATCAGGCCTAGTCTATGTATGCTGGACTGGGAGGATATGCTATTGAACCCAGTAATTTCGAGTAACTGAAGTGAGTGAGCGTTTAGCAACACTCCAGAAATGTTGGGGCGGGGGACACCAGAAATAGGCTTCACACATTGTACAGATGTAGGGCTTCGAGCTCGGGTCTTCTGCGTAACAAATAAAGGATTTAATCCACTATACTGCTCTACCACCCAAGTGGCTGAAGAAGACACACATCTACACCTGTATTAGTTCGTGGAGACCCACGTATCGGTGGTCTCGTAAGGTCAGGCTGCCCATAAAATCTTCCATGTAAAATTAGGCTCCAGAATTAGGGGCTTTTCTTTTGCAATATCACTGGATGAAAATATCCAGTAAAAAAATAAACTAACTAATGTTAATAAAGAAACAAAAAATATCAATATCAGACATTTTAATTTCGTCAATAAAACAACCCGTCATTAACACATTGTAAAAGCATGCTCATACTGCCCTAGGATATTTCATACATTTCTTTCTTGTCAGTGTATGCCAAAAGTCATGAAAATCTGATATTACCCAAGTATTTTTAATTTTGTCTGTTACGAACAAAATATCATCATTTCAATAAGATATATCAAACTTAAAAATCATCATAAAAATCGACCCTTCATAGGTTCAATAAAAAAATTTTTTAACATCAACTTGTCTTTTCATACTGATATTTTACAGGATTGTAAAACGATTGAATCTAAAACTTGTGTCCATTAGTGTATCAGAGCCACCATGTCCACGCACCCCCGTGGAGTCGAGGGTCGGCGTTAGGATCAGGGTCCTTGTTGGCGGGAGGGACCATGGTTTTCCTGTACTCTTCAAGTCTGGCCAGCAAGAATTGAAGCTGGTCTGGGTTTGTGGAGGCTATATTGTGGAATTCGCACGGGTCGCTGGCAATGTGAAACAAACATGGCGACACTTCCGGTTGACAGTTAGTCTCGGCATCCACGGGTTTCTTGCCGCAATTGACGTTCACTGGATGGTCGTTTGTATTGAACTCTTTCACGAATTCACTTCCAGAGGGATGTTTGATCTTGGTGTCCTTTCCTTCTGGTGGCGGGTACCAAGAATCGTCTTTACCTTCTGAGATATCTCCCATAACAAGTTTATACTCCCCAACTCTAATAGATGAAAAGTTCTGTATGGGATCAATGTTATGTAATATTTCGTTTCTAACAGCGGCGCCATTGTTCGACAACATTTCCCACAGATTGTAGCCATCTTGGTTCCTAAGTTTGTTGACGTCACCTCCGGCCGCGTGGTAGAGTGTGGGCAGCCAATCAGTGATATGCATCATGTTCTCCTGGACGTACCCGGATGTAGAGAGTAGAGGGCTGTAGACGAAGCCATTTCCCCGTACGCCGCCTTCCCACACCGTGGCCTTGCAGCCCCTGAAGAAATACACAGAAAGACCAATACATCAGTTCAGAGCAAGGTCAGCAACCCTATCTGTGAATTGAATGGAGAAGGACAAAATTACCAAAGAACGTCGTAAATATGATACTTGCAGCGTCACTTTATGATGACACTTTATTATTTCAAAACAAGAAATTTGATTTGGATCAATATAAACCAGAAAACTTCCCCATTCCCTTTAAGTAACATATGTATTCAGAACGAATACTATATATCACTCAGGAATAGTCACAGGGCCCAAGATTCTTTCATATAATTATAGCTAATCTGTTGTGTCATATGATATTCATCTATCACATATCAACTACACTGATATGAGCGAGTTGTGTAGTATATACATATACACACTGACTGTATATACTACATTACGTTAAACTCAGTAAACTCGGTGTCCATTGATCACAAATTCGTGACAAGATGGGATGTGGAATGTACTGCAAATCTGCACACGGCATAACCTTTGACGAACGGAGCACGATACTGTTGTCATGGAAGAGGTGTTCTTGTTTAGAAAATTTTGTTGATGACAAACAGACTTGGCAAACTGGCTTCACGGACGAACGCTGATACACATACCTAAGCGGCCAGTTGCTTGCGGCATTGTGGTCGAAACCATTGGTTGGTCCGCCGTTGTCGGTCGTGAAGACGATGATGGTGTTGTTCATCATCCCCGTCTGCTGCAACGTCGCCGTGACGTTACCCACAGCTTCATCCAGAGCCGACACCATGCCTGAAGTAATCACAATATAAACATTACATTGGGGAATGGACAATGCGGACACGAGTGCAGTAATCTGTTTCTTACTAGTACTTTTGTTGGATGGCTGAGTTGGTTAGACGGCTGAGTTTGTGTGCTTGCGATTAGGTGCCTGACTCTGAGGGTGTGGGTTCGAATTCCAGATGGGACTCAACCCAACAAAAGCACTAGAACCTGTACTTTACTGAGAAAGTGTAATCCCAAATATAACATGTGTTACATTTGACCACTTTCTAAATGGCATTGTGTATTTAGAAAAGTCGCAGCGAATGGAATGTCCAAGGTTAACCTGGTGATCGCGGTGGTGCATTAACACGTCACACACTGATGTCGTCCTGAGTACCGTGAGCTGGTTGTTTAACGCAACAATCAGCAATATTCCAGCCAGTATAATGCAGTCTGGGCCAGCCTGTACCAGACAATCCAGTAATTGGCAACATGAGCATCTACAAAACTGGGATATGATTACATGCATCAACCCAGTCAGCGAGCCTGACCATCCCATCTTGTTAATGACCCTACTCTTACGACAAGCATGATCAGCTTTAAACCGGATCTTCAAGGGAATATTCCTACTGCTGAACCTGAAGTTGGGAGATCATCGGAAGCAAGGGAAATCTCAGACTCGATTTCTTGCTATGGCCAGAACAAGATGGAGGAAGTCCGTTGACAAGGAAACAGATCTGATGTACTACATTACGTCAACAGTTACAGCATCAAACGAGTAGGTTTTTGCACAGTGAATCTGTGATGAGCTTTCTTACCTTTCACGATTTCAGGAAACTACGGTACAGTTCTTACATTTCCTTGCTACAGGTGTAGGTTTGATATTGACTTTAACCCACTCTCTCACACTAGTCCCCGGCAGAAGATGAACCAATATATATTTACGGCTTTGGAGAAAAATTCAAAAATACATTTTACCAGCAAACATTCTCCTCGGTACGTCACTGAAATGGTTGTATCTGTCGATGTATGTCTGGGGTGCTGCAATAATATCTTCTCCCCCGTAGTTCCCAGCATGCACTGCTTGGAAGGCTAGATACAGGAACAACGACTGCGCAGGAACAGCACAACACACTTGTAAACGTGAACACTGAGTTACACTGCCATAGTCTATGCACAATCATTGTAAGTGATACTGTACTATAGAAACATGGAGTAACATACAAGTAGAAACGTCTTCGTACAATAAGAATAATATTCGCTTCTTTTATCCACTCAGCCCGTCCTTCACAGATAGAGACACGACCATTATGCTTATTATATCCTCTCGCTGTATGTGACACACAGGATGTGAAGACCAGACTGGCGGTATACATGGTATGCGTCAACACCATTTTCACCATTTAATAATTTAGTATTATGCCTTTAATGTTCCTTGATATCGTAAGATAGTTTCTCGTACTCCCGAACACACCTTTGATTGGTTATGAGCTTTTATGACGTCACTGGCTTCTGTCGCAAATAGTGTTGTGGAATACTGTTCATCATCATCATGCACCACGTCCAGGTTCCGGCGGAAGTCCAGCCCCCACATGCCCTGAAACACAACCCCAGCGACTCTCTCAACATGTAATATCATACCTTAGGTACCCGATGGCACCACTCAACCACGTCTCAGAGCAAAGTATTCGAAAGAAGCCAAAACACAATTACTAATAAAATAATTAACGAGTGTTCAAAACATAGAAATGTTTATTTTATTTGCCTATTTTTTCAAACTGAATATCCACATATTGCCGATGACGTTGAATTTTAATACTCACTCAGAATATCCACAAAGAAGAGTACATTGTCAATACTCAAACTGTTGAGTCCGAGTTGACGATATATTCACAAAACGACGATATACAATCCAGATGTTGCTTACTCGTTGTTGTCAACTCGTACTCAAATGTAACACATTTCTATATATTTGAACAGACCTCGTTGGTAGCCCTAAATAACGGTTAGAAAAGACGTGGATATTCACTACTCACCTCCGGGCCCTGGCTTGTGTGGTCGAAGTAGTCTTCCTTCCCCGTGTAGTAACCGAAATGGGAATCAAACCCGCGCATAGTTGGAATGTAATCCTTTTTGAAGAAGCCCAAATGCCACTGCAACATGCATTGTAGTGTACTGTGAAGTTGTATTAGAATGTGTGTATGCAAGGAATTGCATGATTACATACACGCTGACATACACGATTCTCTGTCTCTATATGAGCCTATAAGTATGACTCTGGACCAGACAATTCAGTGACTTACACTGGCGAACATCAATCTACACAGTTGTGATACGATGTATCAACCAGGTCTGCCCATCAGATCCCGTTAGTCGTCTCTTGCGACAAACAAATGCAACAACACGCTTTTTGACATGGAATAAATCAAGTAAATAAAATGACTGCCGTACTAAAACATTGATACAGTTGACAAATTTAACAGTTTGAAAAGAAAGATGTCATTAACTGATCGTTCCTTTTTCATTTTGAAAACATTATTACTTCTGACAGTACTGACCAATAGAAAGCTCTGCCCTTGTGTCAGTCAGTGTTTAGCTCACCTTACCAATGATGTGTGAAGCGTACCCCAGCTCGTTGAGATACTGGGGCATGATGGTCTCGTTCAGAGACAGGCCATACGGAGTGGTCTCCTTGATCACCTTGTGCTGCAGACCTGCCAATAAACTAACGATTAGTCTCTGGAAATATATAATGTTGATAAAATATATTAACTGTAAATTAAAAAGGGTTACCCACTTAGGTGGAACTGAAAATAGTATGGCTGAGGAAATGTGAGACAGACTAACCTACAGATGCCCAGTATCTGAACAGTAACCCTATACTTATTGTTTATATCTCCGGGGCGGTGGGGTGGCCTAGTGGTTAAAGCGTTCGCTCGTCACACCGAAGACCCGGGTTCGATTCCCCACATGGGTACAATGTGTGAAGCCCATTTCTGGTGTCCCCGCCGTGATATTGCTGGGACATTGCTATAAGGGGCGTAAAACTAAATTCACTCACTCATCCTTTACATCACCAGAGGTCGCATGTAAGTAAACCTTCACTCACTCCTGGATCCTAAGAACCATGGAACTCGATCCAGCAGTTAGTGTTTCCGACATGCGACCCCAGGAGACAGAAAAGATGCATCATACCCTGGACGTGGTCAACAAAGGGATAATTCCACCTGCATTCCTTATAACTGCATACATTGGGTGTGTGTACAGCTGACTGTATTCTTCGTTGATTGGCCCGGCCGGGATTATGTTAAATGCTGATTAGTCAATGGAAGCCATATTAAATTATATACTACATTATTGCGAAAATGCATTTTGACGCCATTCAGTGATGAAGACATCACGTAACTTCATCTGAACAGGGGCGGTTCGGTAGCCCAGTTGTTAATGCATTCGCTCGTCATGCCCAAGACCAGGGTTCGATTCCCTTCAACGCGTGAAGCCGTTTTCCGGTTTATCAGTACTGCTGAAAGCGGTGTAAAACTACATACACTCACCCATTCACCTGAACAACGGCTGCTCTATTGGGTTGACGTTTCATGTGTTTCTGCTCACCTATGTGGATAGGTTGTCCATGTCACCTGTGTATAGGGGATGTCCATCTCACCTGTGTGAATGGGGTGCCTGCCGGTCATGATGGCGCTTCTAGTCGGGGTACATAGTGGAGACACATAGTAGTGGTTGAGGATGACGCCATTGTATGCAAGTTTGTCCAGATGCGGCGTCCTGATCTTAGAACCATGGAAGCTGACGTCACCCCAGCCCTGGCAATATTGAATGCTGTACTATCCGTAATTTTAAACAAATTACCTATATACACATACACACATGGCAGATGAAAACATCGGTCGCAAAGATTTAGCATTCACGAAAGGAATTCATGTTGTCTATTTAAACAAGGAAAAGGTTTGCTTTACTGTGATTCTGTCTGTATCTTCAGTGCTCTGTTATTATCGACTCAGGCAATACGTGCAATATCGATGACTCTATGCTAAGTAACAGCAGAACAGGCATACTTACCAGCCTGCTGTTATTGATTATACTTACCAGATCATCCGCTACAATGAAGATAATGTTTGGGGGCTTTCGCCTGTGACGTCACGCACAGGAGCGATAGTACAATAATCAAAGCAAGCCTCATTGTCCAGTTGTCAATACTGAAGAAGATTCATTTGACTACGATAGAATAACCCTGACCATTTCACCCATACAAACAATACCGTACGGTTACCACGAGAAAAGATGCGAGATATGACTTGAGTAACGTGACTGAAAGTATCCAAAATGCAAATTTTTTTCCACTTCACGTGACCAAGATACGCCCCCTATTGATAAGATATACACAATGTGCAATGTCCGTTGTGTTCAAGTTCATTAGGGTGGTAACAAAGAGAAAGAACTCTTCACGATCTTCAAGAATCTATGATGTACACACAGACAGTACATTTGTTGCTATTAATATATTCCATATCCGTATTTGTGTTTGTTCATTGCACAGGAAGAATACCAACAACAAAAAAAAAAACCACAGCAAACAATGATGTATCATTCAAAGTAAGGTGTCATCGTTGAAGATTACTGGGGCGGTGGGGTAGCCTAGTGGTTAAAGCGTTGGCTCGTCACGCCGAAGACCAGGGTTCGATTCCCCACATGGGCACAATGTGTTAAGCCCATTTCTGGTGTCCCCCGCCGTGATATTGCTGGAATATTGCTAAAAGCGGCGTAAAACTAAACTCAGTCAGTCAGTCAGTTGAAGATTACTTTTTATTGCCCCACAAAAAGTGTCTGAAGTGACAGATATTTTCACATAAAACGTTCTTTTAGGTATGTGGTGGCGGGGTAGCCTAGTGGTTAAAGTGTTCGCTCGTCACGCCGAAGACCCGGGTTCGATTCCCCACATGGGTACAACGTGCATGTGAAGTCCATTTCTGGTGTTCCCCGCGTTGATATTGATGGAATATTGCTAAAAGCGGCGTAAAACCAAACTCTTTCACTCACTTGTTGGTAAAATAACAGTGGATTGTTGAATAAATGGCACAATGCAACGATAGAGAAACATTTTTATTCAACATTAAACATGTCTGCCGATAATATTTGGTATGCTGATCAACCCTTGTTCATCCGCAAGCCATGGTCCCCATGCCCCACCGTGAAGGGCGGGATTGGCCCGGGGGTCTATCGGTTTGTTGGAGGGCGGAACCATCGTTTTTCTATACTCATTAATCCGGTCCAGCAGAGCCTGCACTTCCGCCGGATGTGACGCAGCAATGTTGTGGAACTCACACGGATCGCTTGGAATGTGGAACAAGCATGGGGCTACCTCGGGTTTACAGTTGATCTCAGCATCTAGTGGTTTAGGTCCGCATTTCACATCAATAGGTTGACCGACGACGGCGATGTTGTCAGTTGAAGGGCTGCCGCTGAGGGACCGGTTTATGTCGACAGCATTAGCTTCCGGAGGGGGATACCACGAGTCATATTTACCACCCGAGACATGCCCATCTACCAACTTGAACTCGCCCACTCTTATAGCTGAAAAGTTTGCTGTTGGGTCGATGTTGTGTATGATCTCGTATCTCACAGCATCACCTTTGGTTGACAACATTTCCCACAGATTGTAGCCATCTTGGTTCCTGAGCTTGCTGACGTCACCTCCGGCTGCGTGGTAGAGAGTTGGCAGCCAATCAGTGATATGCATCATGTTCTCCTGGACGTACCCGGATGTAGAGAGTAGAGGGCTGTAGATGAAGCCATTTCCCCGCACCCCTCCTTCCCACATCGTGTTCTTGCAGCCCCTGGGGAAATACACGGTGCGTATCACTGAAAGTTTACACTGAATTATTTCGAAGATGCCACACAGCATGATCAGCTTTAACTAATGATGAACATCCTGATCATGTTCGTACCCTTTGTCTCTGAAAATATATCGTTTTGATAAATAAAGGAGCCCCACTGAGATTTGAGATTCAAATGTTTTTGCATTACACGAAACCTTGGGCAGAATGGAGGGTGGGGTGGGGGATGGTGGGGAAGCATATTTCAGGGACTGTGATTACTAGTTTTAGTAAGAATCCAGTTGGTGCGCGTTACCCTGACACATAAAGATGACACGCTCTTATGTCACTACAGCTATGTTAACAGGACTCAAGTACTCATCCTCGATAACTCAAGGCTAATATCGAGTGTTGATATTAGACCCTACTGACGATAACGTGTAATCAAAACTATGGCGTTACATGGCTAAAACGAATTATCCCTTTCATATCATGGACGGCTTACAAGGTGTTTATATACTACTCAACTTTTGATAAGGATAATCATACATATCAGGTGCATTCCCATATAAACACTGGACATATAATGAAAATAGTATCTTTAGAAATGAAAAGATAAAAGTATTCCTGTCAAGTATTCCTATTTATTCCGACACACTGATTCATCCAGTTTCGAGTCGTGCCTGAGACTGACTGACTGAGTTTGGTTTTACGCCGCTTTTAGCAATATTCCAGCAATATCACGGCGGGGACACCAGAAATGGGCTTCACTCATTGTACCCATGTGGGGATTCGAACCCGGGTCTTCGGCGTGACGAGCCAACGCTTTAACCACTAGACTACCCCACTGCCCCCCGTGCCTGAGAAGCAGTAAGTGATGTGAAGAACACAATGTGGCTATGAGGTTACACGTATTTAACGTTATATCCAGGCCCGATTTCCACACTACGTGTAATACCTGAGTGGCCAGTTACAAGCAGAGTTCCTGTCGTAGCCGTTGGTGGGTCCGCCGTTGTCTGTGGTGAAGATAATGATGGAGTTGTTTATCATCCCCGTCTCCTCCAGTGTCTGGAAGACGCTGGCGACGGAGTCATCCAACGCCGAGGTCATCCCTGCAACATCACCATGTGTCTAGAAGCACGGTAAGCAATCCGTTAATCGTGGGTTTGATTCCGCAGAGACGACTGACTGACTGACTGAGTTTGGTTTTACACCGCTTTTAGCAATATTCCAGCAACATCACGGCGGGGGACACCAGAAATGGGCTTCACACATTGTGCCCATGTGGGGATTCGAACCCGGGTCTTCGGCGTGACGAGCCAACGCTTTAACCATTAGGCTACCCCACCGCCCCCCGCAGAGACGAAGCACCATAAAGTTGTTATGCAATGGGGGATACCACAGGGTATCTCCGTGTTTGCAGACATGCATATATCATATTTATCTTAGAATCCCGGGAACCACCAAATTGGAAAACCCTAATCCCAACATCAGCCCCCAACCTTACCTCTGATATATTTTTGTGTTAACACACAAATCACTCACATACTGAACACAGTAGACAAAGATTACCAGCAAATGTCTTCCTGGGGACGTCTTCGATGCCAGGGAATCTCTCGACATATTTCTGAGGTGCCTGGACCGGATCGCCATTGTAGTTCCCGGCATGCACTGCTTGGTGAGCCAGCCACAGGAACAGAGGCTACAGAGACCGGAACTGACGTCAATGATTGCCAGGCAAAATGAGAAGCGGACATTCTCAGATTTCATGAGGAAATGTGACAGATGAAGATCCGGGTTGGAACCTATCTCCAAGTGTGTCAATGTTTATAATGTCACATGCTAGTTTATCTGTTCCAGTCTCGATAACTGGCACAGCAGGAGTGTTGTCAAAGTTTATAACTTTATTGGGCACTCTTATTAAACGGTACTTCAACGTACGACAACACTGCTCTTAAAATATATTTCAGAAATTCGAACTAAATGTTTAAAAGAAAGGCAAACATTCAAGGTTTTGTATGGTCAGTTATACTTTCTGAAAGCACAGTGTTTCATTTTTCACTGTTTTGCAATCACGTCGTGGACGTTATTTACGTTAATCACGTAGTGGACGTTAATCACGTAGTGGACGTTATTTACGTTAATCACGTAGTGAGTGTTATTTACGTTAATCACGTCGTGGGCGTTATTTACGTTAATCACGTCGTGGACGTAATTTACGTTAATCACGTCGTGGGCGTTATTTACGTTAATCACGTCGTGGACGTTATTTACGTTAATCACGTCGTGGACGCATTACCCCAAGTCTATAAGTGAGTAAGTGAGCGAAGCTTTTACACTTATTTCAACAATTTTTGAGGAATATCGCCCAGATATGGGCTCCATATATTCTAACGATATAAGAAATCGAATGGTTTAACCACTCGGCTACATTGCCCACTGTAACTCGTAAGAGTGTACCAAGGATGCAATTTGATCAATACCGTGATTGAGTTGGGGCAATAAATACTGTTATGTTGAACATAAATACAAGTAGAATCTAATCTAGGCACACCACAAAATCTGTTACATCCCTACGTGCTGACATTGGTCTTACCTGTGATGTATTGTGGAGTCGGAGAATCGCGTTTGCTTCCTGCGTGTACAGCTCGGTGGAATATGTTTCACCGTAACCCCGTTCTATTGCCCGGTTCCGCCGGAAGTCGTAACCCCAGTATCCCTAGGGATGGAGTTTAACAATGTTTGACCCAAAATACCCTTCTAATTTATACATGACAGTAGCTGCACTAATCGTGAACAATATATTTCTGTCATGGTACAACTTATATAAATGTAAATGTATGAATGCATATGAGTCTGTGGATTCAGAAAAATGACACGAGATTAATACAAATGTGTGGCTGATACCGATGCATTTATGAATATGGATATTTAATAATCCCTTTTCAAACACCATTAAGGCCAAGTATATGATAAAAAGAGATTACGAAATGCTTGTGGATGCCACCTGTTGCTTGTATGACTTTTGAAACTGAAACCAACTTCCCTTGCATTGTATTCAACACTGGAGAAATGAGACCCATGAAGGTCCAGGTTACAATATTGATCTTCAGTATCCCATGCTTGTCGTAAGAGGCGACTGACGGGATCGGGTGGTCAGGCTCGCTGGCTTGGTTGACACATGTCATCGGTTCCCAATTGCGCAGATCGATGCTCATGCTGTTGATCACTGGATTGTCTGGTCCAGATTCGATTATTTACAGACCGCCGCCATAGAGCTGGAATATTGCTGAGTGCGGCGTAAAACTAAACTCACTCACTCACTCACTGGAGAAATGTACTGAGACGAAGGAGTCTTTCTGGGCCCACTTTTAGTGTATGATGAAATAATAGTCGTGTCCCTAGCAAACATCGAGCAGTTTATATGAGATATGTAGTTTATTATTACCCCCCATCCGTCCTCGGCGGAGTGGTCGTAGTAGTCCTCGTGGCCGAGGTAGAAGCCCAAGAAGGAGTCGAAACCTCTCCTAGTGGGGGTGTGGTTCTCTGTATAATGGCCCAGGTGCCACTAGACATGCCAAAGGAAAACGTTATTGTTACACTGTATACAGTGAGACCCCATTAACCTGGACACAGTAACATGGTAACCTCATTACCATTGAAACCCCGGTTGCCGGTAACCCCGTATGTATGGATACCCCTACGTTACGTAGGAAGATATGACAGGAGTAACCTCTGTGAGAAGAGAATGGGATACCCCTTGTTTGGTCATCATGTTAGTCCAGGTTAGAATATATCTTCAGCAACCAGTGCTTGTCGTAAGAGGCGACTAAATGGATCGGTGGCCAAGCTCGCTTACTTGGTTGACACACGTCATCGATTGATTATGTACAGACCGCCGCAATAGCTGAAATATTGCTGAGTGCGGCGTTAAACACGTGGACGGTACTGTCCAGATTAAGGCTTCTATTATGGTATTAAAAGTGGTTGAAATGAATTTGACAAAGTGTTAAAAAATCATGATGGGGAATTTCAACCGTTTCAGTCTCAGTCATTGGTGTATGCACTGCCCAGGGTCCTTATTCTCGAAATGTTCGTAGCCCTAAAAATTCTTAACTTTGATCGTTGCCAATGTGTTAAGAATGTGCTTAAGAAGTTCATAGGGCTACGAACGTTTCGAGCATTGTGACGTCACGGGCAGAGTTAACTGTTACTGTTCAGTTTTTACCTGATGATGCGGCCAGAACAAGTCCTGAAACGTTGTACTCAAGAATAAAAAGAAGATGTAACCCAGAAAAAGTCTCTATTGTTCATCAAATAGCATCTTCTAAAATGCCAATCGAGCATCTGTTTCGAGAATAGCTGTCCAGGACAGAAATCATATATAATTATCATTGTTTATATTCATTAGAACGCCGTAGAGATCATACGTCACCCATACCTTCCCCACGATGTGAGTGGCGTACCCGAGCTCCTTCAGGTACTGCGGCATGATGGTCTCATTCAGAGAGAGGCCGTACGGAGAGGCACCAAGTATCACACCGTGCTGCATTCCTGTGTCAGAATGGGGGAGATTAGCGTCTCTATGAATACTGTAGTTTTGTTGTTTTACAGAATGTCACGTTAATGCAGAGGACGAACTAGCCATTGATTCTAATCTTGTATCAACTCTACATCCAATTATGATATAATCTTGGACCCCTTTGCGTCATATCTCAATGGGATAAATCCTGTCATTTCTGACCATTACCTGTATGTATGGGGTGCCTCCCAGTCAGTACTGACCCCTTACCTGAATGTGTGGGGTGCCTCCCAGTCAGTACTGACCCCTTACCTGTATGTATGGGGTGCCTCCCAGTCAGTACTGACCCCTTACCTGTATGTATGGGGTGCCTCCCAGTCAGTACTGACCCCCTTACCTGTATGTATGGGGTGCCTCCCAGTCAGTACTGACCCCCTTACCTGTATGTGTGTGGGTGCCTCCCAGTCAGTACTGACCCCTTACCTGTATGTATGGGGTGCCTCCCAGTCAGTACTGACCCCCTTACCTGTATGTGTGGGGTGCCTCCCAGTCAGTACTGACCCCCTTACCTGTATGTATGGGGTGCCTCCCAGTCAGTACTGACCCCTTACCTGTATGTATGGGGTGCCTCCCAGTCAGTACTGACCCCTTACCTGTATGTATGGGGTGCCTCCCAGTCAGTACTGACCCCTTACCTGTATGTATGGGGTGCCTCCCAGTCAGTACTGACCCCTTACCTGTATGTATGGGGTGCCTCCCAGTCAGTACTGACCCCCTTACCTGTATGTATGGGGTGCCTCCCAGTCAGTACTGACCCCCTTACCTGTATGTATGGGGTACCTCCCAGTCAGTACTGACCCCTTACCTGTATGTATGGGGTGCCTCCCAGTCAGTACTGACCCCCTTACCTGTATGTATGGGGTGCCTCCCAGTTAGTATGGCTGTCCGGGTGGGACTGCAGATAGGGGACACATAATAGTTGTTCAGGATGATGCCTTTGTACGCCAGGGAGTCAATGAACGGAGTTTTGATTTCTGATCCATGGAAGCTGATGTCATGCCATCCCTAGAAGCAACAACAACAACAACAACAACAACAACAGCAACAGCAACAGCAGCAACCTGTGGTTGATTGCATGAACGACGATCCAGATATGTAACGAACATACGCCCTTATGGATCACAACTTGTTGTTTGTTTCAAAGAGCTACGTTGCGATGTAGATTCGTACACGTGATCAAGCTAACAGTGACCACTGCCAGTAGCACGGCTGGATGAGGCCAGGTGGAGAGTGAGGGCAACACATAGCACAAGTCATGAAGTGAATTTTCAGGAAGGATTAAATTGTACATAGGCTTACTGGATGATAATTGAATAGTTGAATAATAGAGTGTATCACTTGATTACATCTTCACAGGCCGATAGTATGTAATACCTGATCCCGATTTCGTCGGGTACGATAACACTAACCAAGGTCACTTCACTTTGATAACCTATTCTCATTTAGGTATATTTTCACTTCACTCCAGATTACGACAAGCATGTCTGGTATCAACGTGATGTCAAACCTTGAAAGGTGACCTAGATATCTATCTGGTGACCTAGTCCCTATTCTCTATGCATCATTACACTGGAGATAAAGGACGTGTGTTATTATTGCTATTAATTTTTTAGTTTCTCCGTAGTCCACCGAGACTAGTTTCCCTTAAGGTAATACAAACGCCCTACATGAAGCAAGTATAGATTTTCCTCAGGTTTCTCCACCATACCAGGGCTCCTTTTCAATTTAATTGGACTTTCTTGTGTCCATCAAAATTATATATTTTCAGCGACTAAGCTTATGTCTAGTTTCTCTTGAACTGTCACTGTTTTACTATCTTCGTGACAGCCTGTCACTTGCTCCCATATCACTGCTGACAAAATTCGCTGAACAGACAAACAGAATAACACTACATTGGGTTCAACGCAGAGTTGTAGCGAAGTAGGTAAAGTGTCATGTCGTTGACCCGGGTCGACTCCCAATTCCATGTATTCCCACTGTGACCTTCTTGTGGTGTTTCTGAAACCATGTTGAACTGATTCCTCAACTTACCATGTCATCAGCGACAATGAAGATGATATGGGGACGGGTTGATTGTAGAACTACACGTTGGATGGCTGTTAGCAGACACAGGGACAGCACCTCAAACCACATCATCGTGTACGGTGCTGTGTACGAGGCTCCTGTGACCTGGTAGTCACTTCTCCAGACAGGAAATACTTAACGCTACTCCCTGGCATGACCTAAGGCTCATATCTTTCCAAATCTGTCGTTATCTACATTAGAATTTACTTCAGACTTACTACACATAGGATAATCTGCATTTTGCTAAAATATATTTCATTCCAATTGTCTGACAGCAGGCGAAGGTTACAAATACCATAATACACATTGGTGTAAAGATAGAGCATTTTCAGTTTTGTTCTGTCCATGTGTCCAGTGTGATCGGTGCTTGGGTTAATAACAGCTTCAAACTGACCATCATGTAACATTTGTAGCAGATCATTGACACAATGAGCTTCCTGAACAATAATAACTGACCTGATATGGTTAGATTTATTGAATTATCTGTGTGAATCATAGAGGGAAAAGGTCGCTATTTATCGTGTAATGTACATATCACAGATACTATCCTTGTCTCCAGATAAGACGCGGTTACGACGTCGGGTCATTGAATGGACAAAGACAGAGGAAACGGCGACTGCAGGGGTTTTTACAAACAGAAGCGCTTCATCGGCAGGATGTTCCAGACAAGAGATGTTATCCGATGTATCAAGCCCACATTTTTTTGTCCCTTATTGCTGGCCGTTTGTATGTCACTTCAGACCAACCGAAAGAAAACTCTGGCAATCGTACACGACAACAGCAGGCAGTTTCGATATACCATATAAAGTCTGTGAAGCATGTCCGTTACGTTAAAACTATAAAGCATATGCAATATACTCTAATACTGCACGTGTACATTAACACCAGTAGGTTACTGGAATATATAGCGTATTGAAACACCTGCATGCATGTGTTTGAGAGGCGTTCTGGAACTTGTAAGTAATAGGAATAGAAAGTGTACATATATGATCAACTTCTGTATTGTGCAATATAGCGACGTTTCGGTATAGATCAACTTATACTTGAAATCGGTGTAAGTATCTATACCGAAACGTCGCTATTGAACAATATAGAAGTTGATCATACATGTAACACTTGTCATTCCCACCTGCATACATACCCTATAATGGGTATGAAATAAAAAGATCGAATCATCGATCTGCAAGAATTCCCTTCACATCAATACTTTGAGGGGTATGTTCTCAGTATGCATGTCCCTAGCCTTACTACAAGGCTGTACTGAATGCTAAGCTCATGGATGTACAGTAATTCTATCCTTTAAAGAGGCAAGTCTAGACAGGAGGACGAAATTGTGGACTGTTTATCCCAGTTCTGGTCGTATCCCAGTTCTGGTCGCTACAGACGCCACTCTGTTATTTATACTTTTCAGAAATTTTCATTTAAACTATTAATTATTAGATTCGAGGTTTGTGCAAGTCTAGCATGTCCACACAGCAATATTTAGTGTGTAGTTAGTTGCCGTGTCTATTTCCTGGTATATATATCATTGTCACGCCATGTGCTTAGATAGATGGTAATTTACAACTAACAAGTACAACATACAGACAAACATAATAACATAACGAAAATAGTCGAAACACATTGTTTAGGAACTCAAATGTGCGTACCATCCAACAGTAGATGAGAGTGATGGGACATAACGGTCCCGTGACTGCCTACTTCACATCACGAGAACCTCGTTATACAGCTGGTTTATCGACTCCGGTTTGTTACTGCAGGGGTCGATTGTAATCAGGACACGGTCACCAGCGCGTGAGCTCACACGGACCATTGTTCGTCTTCCTGTGCAACAAGGGGTAAGTAATTCGGCCGGGAATCGGGAAATGGCAAAATGTCTTTATTCATAAAGACCATAATTATGTGCCCTGTGTATATATAGCACGTGATGAAATTGAGTTTCACATGCCAATGTACAGATACTACAAGATACTTGTCAAGCTTGACGATCGAATTTGTTATAAAACAGAAAAGCCTCAACAGAAATAATTATTTAAAAAATTGCATTATTCAATATGTGTACCATATATTTTATAATGCATTTTCTTTTCGGATGCTTGGTTTAAATATCTTGCACCTTGAAACTGAACCTCTGCTATTCGATTTTATGTCTACTTCAGCCTGTTTGAACTGACATGAATTGAGAGTTATCTGCCCCTTCATGTTAGTAAACAAATGTGACAGACGGTGCACGTGTTAGAGGAGACAGCTGGTGGAATTGATTCATGCAGCCATCAATATGGCTTCAGGAGATGTTATTTATATGTGATTAACGCATGGGTTGAATAAAAGAATACACAGATAACGGATCCGGTATGCCTCATTGTTACAGCTAGACATATTTAGATACAAAAGTCAATATTATAATGCAATTAGAATTATCAGGTACCAACTTAAATTAAGTAGTGTGTGAATAATTAAAATCAAACTTGCTAGGACTGCAATTACCACGTTTAGTTGTGGCCCCATCATATGGCTGAAGTACTGCTCACAACGATGTTTAATAATTGAATTCTTCTCATTTGTTACACTTTGTTATGCCTTTTATATGTCATGTGCCCCTCATGTGAATGTTCCTGTCACGTGATGCTGTATCCTCATCAGTTACAGGTTACAGCAGTGTCGACATGGATGACCTCCTCATCTTACTCCTCCTAGTACTGCCGGCGCTGTGCACGGCGGCGACACGACCACACATCATCCTCATCGTAGCAGATGATCTGGTAATCCTGGCTGTTTTAGTTCCATATTCCATGTATTAAGGACTAAAGGTGTGCAAGTCAGCATAGCTTAGAGTGTACAGATAGAACAGATATCTCTATATGTGTCTCTATAGACTAACACAGTGTCTCTGAATATACATGATTTTGATACTTGGGGTGAAACGGTACGCTCTTACCACAGTACGGTACATATTGCGGTCAAAGCCTTCGGTTCGGTCTTTTTCGGGTCGGTATATGAGATTTGATGATCATGCAGAAAATTGACACAAGATCCAAACCTTACATTGTTTATTAACATGGAAAAAAAACTAACCATTATGTTTGTTATTTTGAATGAACATTTTAGGTCATTTTATGACTAGATAGAAATGAAGGTACGAAAACCGAAAATACCGAATTTTTTCATTGCATTAAGGTATACCATATCGAAGGCAAAATGCTGTGGTTCTACTGTTACCGCAGTATACCATTTCACCCCTCTTTTCACCACAAACAATTCATTTTAAATTGAAAAGTTGCTCCAGTGAGATAGGGATTTAGACCTGAACCCGAAATCTACACCTGCTTCATTTAGGGCTTTAGCATTGCAGGGAGGGGTGGGTGGAAGGAAAATAATGCAGTTATGAGACTGTGAGACAGTCTAGTGATTTCACTGCATCACTATATGATCAGTGATAACATCCAGGCAAGATTGGCTGTATCTTAGCACTTTGACCTTTTGTCAAGGGGAGTCATTGTTATAAAAACACTTGTGCCACACCATGCTTATCAGAGTTGTAATAGGTTATACTGGGGTGGTGCTCAGCATGTTGAATATGTGTGATTAGGGCCAAGAGAAATAAATATGTATAATTGCTTAGAATTATAATGATCATATTTCTTTGACAGTAGTTCTGTTCCATCTTATCTGCAATTAGTTTTCTCCATAAAAATCTATAATGAATATGATATACTTCATCCTTGCAGACTGTATTTTATGTTGATTAGAATTCTGTTTTTTGTTGTTGGTAAATCACCCAGAATAGGTGTATTGTTGTTGGTTGTTTTGATGGTTTGTTGTCTAAGGCCTGACCCTGCAATATTCCAGCTATATGGCGGTGGTCTGTAAATGATCGAGTCTGGACCAGACAGTGAAGTGAACAACGGTATGAGCAACGATCTATGCAATTGGATACGATGACATGTGTCAACCAAGTCAGCGAATCTGCCAACCCCATCCCGTTAGTCGCCTCTTATTACAAGCTGGGGTTACTGAAGACCAATTGTATATTGTACAACAATACATTACCTAGTACAGGTACATTGTACAACAATACATTACCTAGTACAGGTACATTGTACAACATACATTACCTAGTACAGGTACATTGTACAACAATACATTACCTAGTACAGGTACATTGTACAACAATACATTACCCAGTACAGGTACATTGTACAACAATACATTACCCAGTACAGGTACATTGTACAACAATACATTACCTAGTACAGGTACATTGTACCCCAGTATTTCAACAAATACAGGTACATTGTACCCCAGTATATCAACAAATACAGGTACATTGTACAACAATACATCACAATACAGGTATATTGTACATCAATACATGACCTTGTAGTACAGGTACATTGTACCCCAGTATATCAACAAATACAGGTACATTGTACCCCAGTATATCAACAAATACAGGTACATTGTACAACAATACGTCTCAATACAGGTATATTGTACATCAATACATGACCTTGTAGTACAGGTACATTGTACCCCAGTATATCAACAAATACAGGTACATTGTACAACAATACGTCACAATACAGGTATATTGTACATCAATACATGACCTTGTAGTACAGGTACATTGTACCCCAGTATATCAACAAATACAGGTACATTGTACAACAATACGTCACAATACAGGTATATTGTACATCAATACATGACCTTGTAGTACAGGTACATTGTACCCCAGTATATCAACAAATATAGGTACATTGTACAACAATACGTCACAATACAGTTATATTGTACATCAATACATCACCTTGTAGTACAGGTACATTGTACCCCAGTATATCAACAAATACAGGTACATTGTACAACAATACGTCACAATACAGTTATATTGTACATCAATACATCACCTTGTAGTACAGGTGCATTGTACACAGTACATCACCAGATACAAAGGAACATGGTGGAAATTGGTCAAGGAAACAAGAGAACACCCTCTGATGCTCAGTACTTTTAGTGCTGCTAAAGTAGACAAAGAGGATTGGGTGGCCAGGCTCACTGACTTAGTTGATGCAAGTCATTGTATCCCAGGTGAGTAAATCAATGTTCATGATGTGAGTCACTGGATTGTGTGGTTCAGACTTGAATGTTTACAGACCATTGTCATACAGCGGGAACACTGTCAGGTGTGACATTAACCATTCAGTCTGAGTATGTTGTCAGTGATTAATAAATACTGATGTGTTTAACACTGGTGATACTTGTTCATTTTGTACTTTTATGTTTAGCGATATTTAGCAGAGTCAGTTGTTGATGTTTACAGGGATACAATGATGTCAGCTTCCATGGGTCTGATCAGATCCCAACCCCCAACATCGACAACCTCGCCTACAACGGCATCATCCTTAACAACTACTACGTGTCACCTATATGTACTCCGACTAGAAGCGCTCTCATGACCGGCAGACACCCTATACACACAGGTGAGACAGATTCCCTGTACACACAGATGAGATGGACACCCTATACACACAGGTGAGATGGACACACCATACACACAGGTGAGATGGACACCCCATACACACAGGTGAGTCAGACACCCCATACACACAGGTGAGACAGACACCCCATACACACAAGTGAGATGGACATCCCATACACACAGGTGAGCCAGACACCCCATACACACAGGTGAGATGGACATCCCCATACACACAGGTGAGCCAGACACCCCATACACACAGGTGAGCCAGACACCCCATATACACAGGTGAGATGGACACCCCATACACACAGGTGAGATGGACATCCTATACACACAGGTGAGCCAGACACCCCATACACACAGGTGAGCCAGACACCCCATACACACAGGTGAGATGGACAGTCTATCCACACAAATGAGATGGACACCCTATACACACAGGTGAGATGGTCAGTCTATCCACACAGGTGAGATGGACACCCTATCCATAAAGATTGTTCTTCTTCACCCAATAGAGACCGTAATCCCACACCCACAGGTGAGACTGGCCCCTTATTCAGAGAAGACAGAGCTGAAGTTACATCATCTGTGTACCATGGTTAGGTGATGGTTTTACACATATATCCTGTGTGTCAGGTATGCAGGTTGGTGTGCTTGTTGGAGATGCCCCGTACGGACTTCCCCTGAATGAGACCATCATGCCTCAGTACTTCCAGGAACTCGGATACAGACGACACATAGTTGGCAAGGTGAGAAGGTTGATGGTGACATGGGCCCTTACCTAGTACAGAATCTACATGATTATTCACTGAAAAGTTTCAGAAATATGTTGTAAACATCACTGACAGCCAAAACACCAACTTTACATGATCAATAATTATTTCTCTTACAAATGTCTGTTCTTTTCTAAAAATTGGCATTGGCATTTTAATATTGTGTCTACTGATGTTGTGTAGATGAATATGTGCAAGCTGTAGATATATGTTTTTTATGACATGAATGTGTCCGACTGACTTCCAGTGGCACCTGGGCTTCTTTGCAAAGGAGTACACACCCACTTACCGCGGCTTCGAGTCGCATCTGGGCTACTGGCTCGGGGCGGAGGACTACTTCGACCACACAGCTGAGGCAAACATGGTAGGGAAACTGTGTCTCCCTGGGGCAAACATAGGGTTGTGTCAGACCATGTGATGTGTCATCAATAGAACAGGGTTGTGTCGGATCAGGTGATGTGTCATTGAATAGAACAGGGTTGTGTCGGACTAAGAGATGTGTCATGGATAGAACAGGGTTGTGTTGGACTAAGAGATGTGTCATGGATAGAACAGGGTTGTTTTGGACTAAGAGCTGTGACATCAATAGAACGGAGTTGTGTAGGACCAGGTGATGTGTCATAAATAGAACAGGGTTGTGTCGGACCCGGTGATGTGTCATAAATAGAACAGGGTTGTGTCGGACCAGGTGATGTGTCATGGATAGAACTGGGTTGTGTCTGACTAAGAGCTGTGACATCAATAGAACGGAGTTGTGTAGGACCAGGTGATGTGTCATTGAATAGAACAGGGTTGTGTCGGACCAGGTGATGTGTCATTGAATAGAACAGGGTTGTGTCAGACCAGGTGATGTGTCATTGAATAGAACAGGGTTGTGTCGGACCAGGTGATGTGTCATGGATAGAACTGGGTTGTGTCGGACTAAGAGCTGTGTCATAAATAGAACAAGGTTGTGTACGACCGGGTGATGTGTCACTGAATAGAACAGGATTGTGTTGGATTAAGAGATGTGTCACCTAGTTAGTATTGGGTCCTGTAGGTCCCATGATTGGAATTTGAATACCCTTTCCTATTTATTTATGACTCTATATCTTGTCAGAAACAATGGGGGCTGGACTTCCGCCGGAACATGGAGGCCCTGCACGACCAGTATGGGAACTACTCCACAGAGATTTTTACACAGGAGGCTGTCAGCATCATCAACAACCACAACCAAACTGAGGTATGTTGTACACCTGGTGCTGGTATGTTGTACACCTGGTGCAGGTATGATGGACACCAGGTGCAGGTATGATGTATACCTGGTTGAAGTATGATGTACACCTGGTGCAAATATGTTGTACACCTGGTAGAGGTATGTCATACACCTGGTGCAGGTATTTTGTACACCTGGTAGAGGTATGCTGTACACCTGGTGCAGGTATGTTGTACACCTGGCAGAGGTATGCTGTACACCTGGATCTGGTATGTTGTACACCTGGTGCAGGTATGTTGTACACCTGGATCTGGTACATTGTACACCTGGAACTGGTATGTTGTGCACTTGGTACTGGTATGTTGTAGACCTTGTACTGGTATATTGTACACCTGGAACTGGTATGTTGTACACCTGGTAGAGGTATGTAGAACACCTGGTGCAGGTGTGTTGAACACCTGGTACTGGTATGTTGTACACCTGGTGCAGGTGTATTGTAAACCTGGTGCAGGTATGTTGTACACCTGGAACTGGTATGTTGTACACCTAGTGGAGGTATATTGTACACCTGGTGCAGGTATGTTGTACACCTAGTACAGGTATGTTGTACACCTGGAACTGGTATGTTGTACATCTGGCAGAGGTATGTTGTACACCTGGTAGAGGTATGTTGTACACCTGGTACAGGTATGATGTACACCTGGAACTGGTATGTTGTACACCTGGTACAGGTATGTTGTACACCTGGTGCAGGTATGTTGTACACCTGGTACAGGTATGATGTACACCTGGAACTGGTATGCTGTACACCTGGAACCGGTATGTTGTACACCTGGTACAGGTATGTTGTACACCTGGTACAAGTATGTTGACCATGTGGTACAGGCATATTGTACACCTGGTAGAGACATCAAGTACACCTGTTCTCCAGTGAATGAGTTCATCACCTGTGTTTCTACCCTTGCAGCCCCTCCTACTGTACCTGCCCTACCAGGCAGTCCACAGCGGCAACCCAAACGCGTTCACACTTCAGGCACCCCAGAAATATGTCAATAGGTTCCCTCATATTCAAAACATCAAGAGGAGGTTACTTGCAGGTGAGACGCATGAAGCTTTGACAACACTTGTGTTCAGTGTATTGTTGGAAGGTGTTATGTTTAAGTACTGTTTAAGTACCAGTAACTTCGGGGACCAGCTGTGAAGCAAAATCAGATTTTCACTCCAATAAGATAGGCAACAACATATGAGGTCATTGTGAAAAATGTTCATACCCATTGTGTCTAACTGTTGAATAATACAAAACAATAAGATAGGCAACAACATATGAGGTCACTGTGAAAAGTGTTCATACCCATTGTGTCTAACTGTTGAATAATACAAAACAACTAGTTTTAGTGACTGTGGCGTGATTATTATTTTTTATTTAGTTATCTTTTCCTGAATATATGCTTCCCTTTTTTTTAAATAATCACAAACCATGCGGTGAGTACTTTCTTCTGTACATCAGTTTATATTGCTTGGAAAAAATATTTATGTATCAAACTGTTGAACAACATTCTCTGCAACAAACAATACTTTGTTGCAAGAGGCGTTATTTAAAAATATATTTAGGCAGCTGAAAACAACTTTATTTTCATTAGAATATCATATCTTTGTCCTTTTGAGCGTTCAGTTTGTTTTTAGTGCCAAACCTTTCATTTCACTTCATGAGTGAGTGAGAGAATTTAGTTTTACGCCGCTTTTAGCAATATTCCAGCAATATCATAGCAGGGGACACCAGAAATGGGCTTCACACATTGTACCCATGTGGGGAATTGACTCGGGTCTTTGGCGTGACAGGCGAACACTTTAACCACAGGGCTGCCTCACCGCCCATTTCACTTCATGAAAAATGGTAGATGTTTTAGACTGATAAGGGAAGATGCTTATCATTTTCACAGAAATAATTGTATTTACAACTGTGGGCTTGCAAGAACTTCATGGGATGTGAATGACTGTGTCATCATGTTTATTCTATTTGTGATTGTTGTTTGTGGCTCTGGTTAGTCACAGTTATATGTATCATCCAAGGTAAGATGGCTTTTAGTTTTAACTGAGCCATGATGAATGTATCCCTCTAGGCATGATATCTGCCCTGGACGATGGTGTGGGGGAGGTGATGAAGGCGCTCACAGACACTGGTCTCCTCAACAACTCCATCATTGTGTTCACCACTGATAATGGTGGCCCGTCTAACGGATTCGACTATAATGCAGCCAGCAACTTCCCTCTCAGGTAACCATAGACACTTGACTCCAGGTAAAACTGTATCACTTCTTGTACAAGGGTAAATATGTTAGGGATAAACCATTAAAAATTTAGGGTGAGATGGGGATTGGGAGTGGGATAGTTTCTAGAAAATATTAAACATTGTGAGTAAATAACAATATGTGTGTTCTAATTTGATGTATTTTTTCTAATTTGGGGGTTTAGCTTATATGCCAATTTGATGTATAAAGACTAGATTAAGTGTCTACCAAAAAATACAGTTTGTTATTCTTATTGATTGAAAAGATACAGAATTGAGCACTAACGATGTTGGGAAAAAATAATAATACTATCAAAAACGAAAATGATGATCTCAAACCCAGCCCTCCATGTAAGTCCTCAGGGCCTCTGTCTAGACTAACTCTTAGTCTCTGAATATATATAATTTTGATAGTAACATAAAACCCATTTAAATTGAAAAGGATCCCCAGGAATACCAGAGCTGAGGAAATCTAGACTTGCTTCATTTGGAGCTTTTGCACTGCAGAGAGGGCGAGGCAGTAGGGAAAATAATGTGGTTCAGGGACTGTGACAGACTAGGCCTCTATCTTACCTTGGTGTGCCCATCTTTAAGCATTTACAGACACATCTGCTGCTGTGTAATTGTTCTCAGTAGTGTATGTTTTATAGTTTCAGAAGAAAGTGTCCCCCCAAACTTCTCCAATCTGTGAAAATCCTTGGTAGAGTTGGTTTGCAGCCCCCCATGGTATCGTGAGCAGCGACTAATGGGATCGGGTTGTCAGGCTCACTGACTTATTTGATGCATGTCATCATATCCCATGCCAGTTACATAGATTGATGCTAATGATGTTAATCACTGGATTGTCTGGTCCAGACTTTATTATTTATAGACTGCCACCAAATAGCTGGAATGTTGCAAACAAATTGTTCATGACACATGTTCTATTTTCATGCAGAGGGGTGAAAAACACTCTTTGGGAAGGAGGAGTGCGAGGGGTTGGCATCGTCCACAGCCCGTTGCTCCAGAAGTCTGGGTACGTGTCAGAGCAGATGCTCCATCTCACCGACTGGCTCCCAACGCTGTACCGATCTGCTGGGGGCGATCCCAAAAAAACTGAAACACCCTGATGGCTTTGACTCATGGGAAATGCTGTCGACCAATGGGAAGCCAGTTAGGACTGAAATGCTCCATAACATAGACCCTACGTATCATTTTGGAGGATTGAGAGTTGGCGATTACAAACTGTTGACTGGTGATGTTGGAATGCATTGGGACGGATGGTACCCACCATGGCAACTTTCGTCGGACAATCTGTATTTCCATGTTGATAACTACACCAGAAGTGGGTTCCCTCGTGAATATTTCACAGGTCATGGTTATCTGCCGAAACAAAACAGCAATAGATCTCGTCGTAGCCAGTTTTCTCCGGTTACAGTCAACTGTGGTCCCAAACCTGCCAATGCCAGCACAAACTGCGATCCTACAAAGTCGCCATGTTTATTTCACATTCCGTCAGATCCTTGTGAGTACAACAACATCGCGGACGAGAGGAAAGACATAGTGATCCAGCTCCTAACCCGTCTGGAGCAGTACAGCTACACCATGGTTCCCCCCGGCAACAAGGGCTCGGACGACCGCGGCAACCCATCGCATCACGGAGGGGTGTGGGACCCATGGGTTAACTTGTGATACATCAATTAGACGTAGAATCCTGATTTTCAGGCTATGTTTTTAACAAACTGTTGTAGTCCTGTAGCCCCTTTTATGTTTTCTTTGAAAAATTGTGATAGCCAGGGGACAGGGAAACCATGTCATCTGCATGTTGTTTTAGTTTTTGTTGTTGTTGATGCATGAGTGGTCGATGGCTAATATTTGTTGTTTAGGCTTTGCCTCCATATTTCATGACAAAGTCAGTCAATTATACATATCTTGTATTCTGTCCCTGGATGTAATGCTCTCCAGATCTGGATGTCTCCAGGTCTCCTATCACACTTCTATGGTTTCTGTCTGTAATTGACCAGCTGCACAGATCACATCCAGTTGTTTCATCAGCATTCTGGAAGATGATGAGTCAATAATAAAGCATACGACTTTATGGATAAGTTCTTGTTTATTGTGACTACAACCAAGTACTGAAAAGTATAATATACACAGTATGCTGTGACAAACATCAGATTAACATTATCAATGGTATGTAATTGAATAGCAAGTGATGCATATTTGGATGGGGCCTGTTGTGGAGTAAGCTATTGGTTGTGTCACTTATTGCTTGAAAACAGTGTTAGAATTTACACCGAAATGTCACTCTATGCAATAAACAAAAGTTGTTCTCCATAAAGTCATATGCTTTAATATGAAATCACATCCAACCAAATATATTTATTTTATTCAACCTATGTGTATTATAAGACAATGTTCTTGTTTCATGCTACTAACCTAGTTATTTACTGATGATCACAAAGTTTGGGCACAGAGCCTTCAAGGATAAGAACCTTGTCCTCATCAGTATCAGACATTGTGAAACTTCACTACACAATGGTTTTCTTGTATTTCTAGTGGTCGCCATCTTGAAATTTCTTCAGGAATAGTTAGTTATAGCTGATATACAAGAGAACTGAAATGAAAACAACAAAACAAATTTCAGAATGGTCTCTGCTGCCTTGATGCACTACATGCTGTACCATATTCTCAGTCAGCATCCTGCTCCACCTAGTTCTCAATGACCAACTTCGGAAAGAGTAATCATTGTAGCTTCACCTCCAGAAACCAAAAGTTCCAGGACTTATACTTTCTTGTGTGTATGACAGACTTTTTGACAGGAAATAGCAGTGAAGAAGGGGTAGATTATCTTCAAGTTACTGTACCATTCAAAACAAGTAGGGGATATTCCAATTTGCGAGCATGCCACTAGCCAGTGCCAATGCATATGAGAAAAGTAAAAAATCCATACAGATGAAACATTTCCAAAGGAATGGAATAAATTGTCACATTTTTCCTTAATTTCTCTTCATCATCTGTTTCCTCCTTGGCTTCTTCATTTGCATTTGATCAATCTTGTAAATCCAATATCCCCTACTTTTTTGGATGGTATATTATAAAATATGGCCACGTTTCATTTGTACAAATATGGTCGGTCTGGAGCATGCAGAAACGGCTTGTTATTATTGAAAGTTTGCACTGGATTTCTGCTTTGGGCTCGTGGTCATGATTGAAACTGCTGTCAACGTGAAGTCATGTTCATATGTTACTGTCATTATGAAGCTACAACCATTATCTTCTTTTGAGATGATTTCAGGGATGTACTATGGATGAAATATTTCAGGGAATTACTCAGTCCATAGCATTTATCAGTACAAATACCTCAAGGAGATATATTCTCAACTGAGATGATTAAAGCTGTATTTATTAAATTAATTTCCATGGATGACAAGTATGTTGCTAATGATAAGGACATGTTACAGTCGATGCTCATGATGCTGATCACTGGATTGTCTGGTTCAGACTCGATTATTTACAGACCTTCGCCATTTATAGCTGGAATATTGTTGAGCGCGATGTTAAACAACCAACCAACCCTAGGCAGATCCAGAGGGTGTGTGCAGGGGTGCTCATCCCACTTTGTCATGTAAGTTTATTAAATGACCATTGAAACTCGTGTAAAGGGGTGAAAATGAACTGTGCAAACCCCCAACCCCCCCTTTCTCAAAAAGCTGTATCCACCCCTGCAACCAACCAACCAGCCAGCCTCACGTATCAGGCTCACATTAGGTGCCATGTGGGTTGGTGTTCGTCTAGATACCAGCAGATATTGAGATATTGGTCACCATGGCCTTCATCAAATTTTTAAGTGCTGATGATTATTTGTCCTCAAGGGCATCTGTCAACAGAAAACAGTGATATCTCTACCAGTGAATAGCTGACACAGCACTATCTCTACCAGTGAATAGCTGACACAGCACTATCTCTACCAGTGAATAGCTGACACAGCACTATCTCTACCAGAGAATAGCTGACACAGCACTATCTCTACCAGAGAATAGCTGACACAGCACTATCTCTTTCTCTACCAGAGAATAGCTGACACAGCACTATCTCTACCAGAATAGCTGACGCAGCACTATCTCTACCAGCTGACACAGCACTATCTCTACCAGTGAATAGCTGACACAGCACTATCTCTACCAGAGAATAGCTGACACAGCACTATCTCTACCAGTGAATAGCTGACACAGCACTATCTCTACCAGTGAATAGCTGACACAGCACTATCTCTACCAGTGAATAGCTGACACAGCACTATCTCTACCAGAGAATAGCTGACACAGCACTATCTCTACCAGTGAATAGCTGTCACACTATCTCTACCAGAGAATGGCTGACACAGCACTCTCTACCAGTGAATAGCTGACACAGCACTATCTCTACCAGTGAATAGCTGACTGGCACTATCTCTACCAGTGAATAGCTGACACAGTGAATAGCACTACTATCTCTACCAGTGAATAGCTGACACAGCACTATCTCTACCAGTGAATAGCTGACACAGCACTGTCTCTACCAGTGAATAGCTGACACAGCACTATCTCTACCAGTGAATAGCTGACACAGGCACTATCTCTACCAGTGAATAGCTGACACAGCACTATCTCTACCAGTGAATGGCTGACACAGCACTATCTCTACCAGTGAATAGCTGACACAGCACTATCTCTACCAGTGAATAGCTGACACAGCACTATCTCTACCAGTGAATAGCTGACACAGCACTATCTCTACCAGTGAATAGCTGACACAGCACTATCTCTACCAGTGAATAGCTGACACAGCACTATCTCTACCAGTGAATAGCTGACACAGCACTATCTCTACCAGTGAATAGCTGACACAGCACTATCTCTACCAGTGAATAGCTGACACACTGCTACTGAATAGCTGACACAGCACTATCTCTACCAGTGAATAGCTGACACAGCACTATCTCTACCAGTGAATAGCTGACACAGCACTATCTCTACCAGTGAATAGCTGACACAGCACTATCTCTACCAGTGAATAGCTGACACAGCACTATCTCTACCAGTGAATAGCTGACACAGCACTATCTCTACCAGTGAATAGCTGACACAGCACTATCTCTACCGAGTGAATAGCTGACACAGCACTATCTCTACCAGAGAATAGCTGACACAGCACTATCTCTACCAGTGAATAGCTGACACAGCACTATCTCTACCAGTGAATATCTCTACTCAGCTGACACAGCACTATCTCTACCAGTGAATAGCTGACACAGCACTATCTCTACCAGTGAATAGCTGACACAGCACTATCTCTACCAGAGAATAGCTGACACAGCACTATCTCTACCAGTGAATAGCTGACTCTCTACCAGTGAATAGCTGACACAGCACTATCTCTACCAGTGAATAGCTGACACAGCACTATCTCTACCAGTGAATAGCTGACACAGCACTATCTCTACCAGTGAATAGCTGACACAGCACTATCTCTACCAGAGAATAGCTGACACAGCACTATCTCTACCAGTGAATAGCTGACACAGCACTATCTCTACCAGTGAATAGCTGACACAGCACTATCTCTACCAGTGAATACACAGCTATCTCTACCACTGACACAGCACTATCTCTACCAGTGAATAGCTGACACAGCACTATCTCTACCAGTGAATAGCTGACACAGCACTATCTCTACCAGTGAATAGCTGACACAGCACTATCTCTACCAGTGAATAGCTGACACAGCACTATCTCTACCAGTGAATAGCTGACACAGCACTATCTCTACCAGTGAATAGCTGACACAGCACTATCTCTACCAGTGAATAGCTGACACAGCACTATCTCTACCAGTGAATAGCTGACACAGCACTATCTCTACCAGTGAATAGCTGACACAGCACTATCTCTACCAGTGAATAGCTGACACTAGCACTATCTCTACCAGAGAATAGCTGACACAGCACTATCTCTACCAGTGAATAGCTGACACAGCACTATCTCTACCAGTGAATAGCTGACACAGCACTATCTCTACCAGTGAATAGCTGACACAGCACTATTGATCTTTATTGTGGTATGATTAGGTGGTGATTAGGCCACAAAATATATATTCTTGTTTCTCAGCACTTTTTAACAAAAAATATGGGTTGGGCGGGCAGATTTTATTTTTACATTTTATTTTATGTCCAAAACCCTTTAATTTCTGTGGAAATTTACACCTTTTCTCCAATAGAAAATCAGAACTTAGAAGTGTGAAAAATTTATGCACATTTTGAGAGTCCTCTAGTCTAAAATATATATATAAATCTAGGCTCGAGTCAAATGTTTTGGTTGGGCGGTAATGAAAACCAAGAATGGTTTTATATATGGCCTTAGGTAGATGTAGTTACACTATAAATTCCATTCACAAATCAGTCCAAGGCAGACTTTCAAAAAATGAATAATGAGTACTTGTACCAATGAACCACAATCCATATTATTCTATTCTGTTGGCAGCAGGTGACTTAGCCACATTCACTTCATTGCTGTGCAAATAAACTACATTATTTGTACAGCTGTAAATGATCAGAACAAATAATAAATCATAATATATATTGTATTCTGTAGTTTATTTACTAACAGAGGAATCCAATTGAATAAATCATGACTGAGTTACCTTTCACAGCCTGTGGCTAGCCAGTGTCATGTATGACCTGAGAGGTGACAGCTTGCCACCAATTGCTGTTTATCACTGCAAGCATTGACACAGTCTGCTTCCTGGCTGCACTGCATAGCCAACCCAGGCAACCAGGCTGGCAGTAATAGTCCATCTATAACCACTGCAACCAGGATATACACTTCTCTGGACCAGGCAACCAGGCTGGCAGCGATAGTCCATCTAAACCACTGCAACCAGGATATACACTTCTCTGGACCAGGCAACAAGGCTGGCAGTAATAGTCCATCTAAACCACTGCAACCAGGATATACACTTCTCTGGACCAGGCAACCAGGCTGGCAGTAATAGTCCATCTAAACCACTGCAACCAGGATATACACTTCTCTGGACCAGGCAAACCACTGGTTGACAACACTGAGCAATGATATCAAACCTTTGGGGCTGTACAAACAATGTGTTCTTGTTGTGTACAAAGGATGGGTGGTTTTGCAGGAAAACTAAATGAGGCAGGGCGAAGACTCTACACAGAAACTACAGGGGAAGGCGGCGAAGTCGGGCTGATACTTGTCAGCTGATGGCTGGTCAGCGTGATGTATCTGCTGGTCAGCTGTCCTGCATGATGAATAACTGTTAAGGCCAGCAATTACCAATGGCATAATCTGCTTAGCTGGTCATATGTTGATGAGCTTGACATATATGTGACAAGTGTACACGACAAATAGTGTTACAATGATCGATGGAAACAACAGCCATGTGACAAAGCCTGACCACATTATCCCCAGTTTGGTCACTTCAAGAGTGAAGCCCTTGAGGTCAATCCGCCACATAGCTTGAATATTGCTGAGTGCGTTATTAAACTACAAACAAACCAACCTTGAGGTCAGTTCCCACTTTCACTCCGCCTACAGAGTCGATGATCCACTCGATGACCAGAGTTGCCAACCTCTTCGATTGTATCGTAGTCGCTACGAATACTAGCCTCAAACTACGCCAATACGATTGCACTAGAAATTCTACGACATTTGAAGAAAATTCATTAAAATTCACCAAAACATAATATTTTTGTCGATTAAATACGTTTTCGGACTTCACTTACCTTTCATTCATCATATTTAGTGACATATTTGAACTGGAATCATTGCAAGTAACAAACGTAATTTTAGCGAAATTGTCCATCAGAAATCTGAAGCTGATTTCAATACCTTTGCGATTTGACCCACTTATTGTGTACCGGCGGAAAATGATCCTATCAATGATTTAACCACGTGACCGTTCCTTTTGTTCGATTATACGTATGTGGAATTAAAGCTTCACTCTTGATTAGTGTCATATTATCTTTCTCAGAATCCATCATGATTTTAAATATTTAGTCGAAAACTAATTTAATGGTCAAACTACTAAGTTTGATCGTTGGAACTACTATTTGCAACACTTTGGGGTTGGCACCTCAGGATGTACAGCAACAGTTACTCATATCTATTTTGTTGGTCACAATGCCTAAATAGCTTACCTTGACTCTCTTGCTTACGCAAACTCCATTGGTCACAGACTGCATTGGTAACACTGTATAAACTGACCATGAAATCCGGAAAACACTGACTTGATTCAAGTTTCAGTCGTCGTGTAGTTCAAGTGCTCCGCTGGGCAACTCACTCCATGGCAGCTGATATTGTGACATTATTGTATGATTCAGTGGCACAGACACAGCATGCGTGTTTGAACACACCAAGACGTTCATTTGGGTCGCAGTCTGATTGCAGGACAAATGCGATCGATGTCGTACAACTTGCTCGTTGCTGTCAGTGGTTTTGTCCAGTTCAGACTCGAGTAATTTCAAGTCAACATGACATTGAAGGACATTTCTGCACTCATCGACTTTAATGACTTCATGACACTGGTAATTTAATTTCTTGGGTCAGCTGTTTTGACTGCCAGTTCAAGTCATTCATAATCTGATCTAAGGTCCGCGAAAGGACAATGAGATGTGTTCTCTATACCTCTCACAATGAAAGTGAACAAATACCGAGAAAAACACATTTATTTGTCCCGACATGAGGAAGTGACACACGTGCACAATTATAAAGAAATAAACTATATCCATAGCAAAATACATAGGTTGAAAAAAATAACGATTTGGGAAGGACCTATCAAGCCTTGATTGTCATAGCCGTGTCGCATTTCATCATGGAGTCCACCTATAGATCCTAGCTAGTCAAACGTGTGGTACAGTGAGTGAATAATGTTTTACGTCGCACTTGATATGGTAGCAATAGCACGGCTGAAGAGACCAGTAATGGGCTTCACACATTGCGCCCATGTTGGGAATCGAATCCTTGTCTTCGGCGACGGGCAAACCCATTAACCTTTAAGCTACCCCACCGCCTATTTCAGGTAGACGATAATGTCCACCGATGTTCCAAGCGTTTGGCCTGTGACCAGAGTAGAGCGGCGGGTAGATGTAACATAAACGTAATTCCATATTACAACGACTGAGTGTAAGTCATGGTATAAACTGGAAATAACAGGGGTATATTTACAGTTGGTCTCCACACAGTAAAATCTGTGTTAGGGTTATACCTCTAAAGCCAGTTGTCGTGTTAATATTATGCACTATTTACAGATATCACAAATCAGGTATATTGCATGTATTGCACATCACTTGGTGTCATTTCTTGTCCCTGTTTTTTTTGTAAAACTTGGACTAACCATCTGAGACAGTTGAAGGGAATGTAATGGCACAGTAAAAACCCATGAGTGTGAGCACTATGAATAAGTAGCAGGTTCTGTGACAGACATTACGAAATGTAATTTGCATCGAAAATATGAGCTGTCATGGTCTATAAAGAGGGGACACAGTCTTGCTGTGTACAAACGGCTTAAATCTCAGCACAGGCAAACTCTAGCACCTTCTAGCAAATAGGGTTGCGAAACTGAGACACGAGAAAAATTACCAGCTCGCACATTCCTGACACATCGTGTTATTCCAGAACAAGCCGAATCTTGAAAAAAGGTTACGGAAAGGGGCGAGTGGTGACGAATGCAGCTCGCATATAGGAAGACTGGTCATTTTTGTCTCTGTTGCGCAACCCTATTTGCGCTACAGTTTGCCTGTGATCTCCGTAATACTGCAGAGGGAAGATTAAAGCTTGTATAAACGAGTGGTCAACATAGCTACATTTGTATAGATGGTACATGGTTTACCCATGACGTGGGATATAATTAGGAGATCTAACTGTCACCTCTACAGGAATGTCCATCAGTCTACAATTCCACCCACGGCACCCAGGCGTTGCCATGGAGAGAAGGGTTGCCATTCGGATCAAGCGGTTTGTTTCCAGGGGGAATCATTGTGTACGTGTACTGTTCGAGTCGTGTTAGGAGCTGGATGACAATGTCCTGGTGTTGGTCGGCGATGTTGTGGTACTCGCAGGGGTCGGAAGGGATGTGGTATAGACAAGGGGCCTTCATCGGCTCGCAGTTCGTGCTGGCGTTCTGCGGTTTTGGTCCACAGGTGATGGGAACGGGACTGCCAGAAAGTCGTCTGCTTGTCTGATAATTTCCCGCCGCTCTAACATGGATATCATTGGAAGGTATCTGGCGCGATTCTGCATATTTTGTCCAAGCGTTGTCTGACATTTTGTCATATTTGCTGCCATGGAGACGATCTGTGTCCTGCTCCAGCTGCCAGGGTGGGTACCAACCATTCCACTTATTGCCATACCCGACGTTGCCAGTGAGGAGCTTGTACTCCCCGACCCTCAGGCCGCCGAACTTGTTGAGAGGGTCAATGTTGTGCAGCATCTCAGTCCGGACCGGGGCACCATTGGTGGACAGCATGTTCCAGGAGTCGAACCCGTCCTGCTTTCTTAGCCTCTTGGGGTCGCCGCCCGCCGCGCTGAACAACGTGGGCAGCCAGTCAGTCACATGCAGCATCTGCTGCGATACGTACCCGGTTTTTTGGAGAAGGGGACTGTGGACGAACCCCACCCCACGAACTCCGCCCTCCCACAGAGTGGCCTTGACCCCTCTGAAAGACACAAAACATCACCTTTATCCACAAATATACGTTTTAGTGTAAACGTGCTCCGACCTTTGCGTTGCATTCGATTACATTCTTCGAGTTGACAAGCAGGGTCATGGAGATTATCTAGACCCGGGACAGGACGCCACAAGCACAGTGTTTTTGGCGTTGCGGCTACTTCTGTAGCATGCCCTCCTGCCCCAACATTCAACTGACCTGTTGCTTGGTATAAACACCAACGTTTAGCATCCGTTTTTCTTGTCTAAGATAAAATAACACAAGAACTAGATTGAATAGGTTGAACAGTTTGACTGGCTGACTTAAAATGACAATCGACTTTAAAATTTGCCAGTGGTAAATCATTTTATGTTGTTCTTCTCTGCTGACGTTACCTAAGGGGGTAGTTGCTGGCAGCGTTGCCGTCAAAGCCGTTGGAGGGTCCCCCGTTGTCAGTGGTGAACGCTATGATGGTGTTGTTCATGAGTCCAGACTGGTTCAGTGCTTTCACCACTTCTCCCACACCGTCGTCCAGGGCAGATACCATACCTGGATGGTCAACGCACAACAGAATATATTATTTTTAGTCTTTATTCTGCCATGCTCATCGGCCCAGGGCAACGTTATACATTGGCAGCCTTCAAGCTGTAGCGACGACGATTGTATTTAAACAACCAAGAAACACAAGACCCTCAGTCGATTAAATTTACACAAGATTGAGAGGCCAGTCGGACCTATTTTCTATTTGTTTCGAAAGATGTCGATATTTAGTTGGTATCCACAAGCCTTCCTAGCGTCTATGACCAATCACCCAAGAGACACTAACCTGCGTACAGCTTCCGGTTGATGTTCTGGATGTTGGGGAAGCGTTTGGTGTACATCTCCGGCGCCTGTAGGGGGAAGGCGTCCAGGTTGCCGCTGTGCACCGCTTGGTACGGGAGGTACAGCAGGAGAGGCTGGAGAGGGTACAAGCCGCGTTAGGCAGTTGCCACAGCAACATGAGTAGAGTGAGAATTGGTTTATACCGCTCCAGTGTTAAACCATTTCCGTACCAAATATAGAAGCTTCACATTATAAAGGGGTAGGAGGAATCGAACTTAAGTCTCGAGTCTGACAAGCCAATGCATGAACACCTGTGCTACTCATTATCACCATCCGCAGTGTCAAACCTTACAAAGCAATTAATAACGAACACGACATTCAGTCAGATGCAGTTGCTGTATCATCTACACACAAACAACGCGAGTGCCTGGAAATGTTTTGCTGTGGAATTTAGAGTCGACATTATGTAGCGCTGCTGTATCTCTATACTAATGTTTACATCCTAATTTGGTAAGCTATATTAATGTCATAGATCGCCTGATGGATACAACGCCCAGCAGAGTCGGTGGTTGTGAAGTAGACTAAGGCTTAGTCTCTGAATATATATAATTTTGATAGTAACAAACAAGCCCATTTAAATTGAAAAGGAGCCCTAGGGAGACCAGATATTCAGAACCTTGGGAAATCTAGACTTGCTTCGTTTTGGGCACTACAGGGAAGGCTAGGCTTTTGGGGAAAAAATACTTTGGTTCAGGGACTGTGAGACAGACTAGTTGTGAAGCTGCATCCGACTCTGTATCAGCCCTGTGATGACACAAGGCGATGTACGATACTACCAAACGTAACTGTGTATGATATACCACATATTCAGATATTTCAAACCCACACAGTTGCCAAATATGTATTGTGTATCATGAAAAAGCGTAAATTAGAACATCTATTATTTGGACATTAGGATAATTGTTTGAGTGTTGAGAAACGAACTACGTCCTACCTCTGACTGGTTGTGCGTGTTGATGATGTTGACGGCCTCCTGGGTGAATAGCTCCGTGGAGTACTGGCCAGTGTAGTTGTCCAACAGATCCATGTTCCGCCGGAAGTCCAGGCCCCACTGACTCTGCCAACACAGGAAGTCGAGGTCAAGGTCGCCGTTTCTTTGGTCATGGTGACAGTGGTACTTCCAATTACGTTTGATGCTATGATATGAATTGTTCAGATATCTCTCCCCCTACACATCAGTCGAGAACGTTGCAAATGTCTTTTATTTGGTTGAATTCCCCTCAAGTATTCGACACCACAACTGTATGTTACGTAATATATGACATAACAGAGGTAACAAAATACGATTTTGCAAATAGTGTTACATTCAAGGGTGTGCAACATTATGGTCAAGACTTGGTGTCTATAGCCTTCACATTCAACCACCAGCACCATCTGAATCCACTGTCCAGCTGCTGCATCTCTATACCACTATAACACTATACCGCTTTACCGCTATACATTCCAGACCGTTGGTAATCAGTCTACAACCACAATCTTACATTCCTTCTTACTTCTCACCTAAAGACACAGTCATTTTGTATTTACCCTTCCTCAAAACTCGTCCTTACTCACACGTTCTGCTTTAATCTGTATTTCCTCATCTGTATTTCGTGTCCGCCTAAAGCCTCACACAGATCCTTCCGTGTCGTCAAACCACAATTTTCGCCTAATGTCCTCGCCGAACATCTAGCCCAAACTCTACCCATATGCAACTGACCCACCCATTTCCACTGTGTTTTTTTAATCATGCTTCCACTATGGTCGCCGTCTCTACGTACGGTCACGTCTCAGCTGAGGGTAGGAGCGCCACCCCCCTCAACACGGACACCTACCAGCCACGCCTCCGACGTATGATCAAAGTAGTCCTCGCAGCCCAGCCAGTAGCCAAAATGGGAGTCGAACCCACGGTAGGTGGGCGTATACTCTTTGGCGAAGAATCCAAGATGCCACTGAAATTAGGCAAAGACTTAAAAGCTTCTTTTTCATAAGTGCAAATACAGCCTTCTGAAGAATGACCATTTAGATATTCTGATTATTTTATTCGTTTCCCTTCTTCTTAAGGAAAAACATAAACAAAAAGATCATTCATTGTTGTCGTGTTAAGTCTTATTCGGGTACTGAAGCCCTAAATTAGTTTTGAGACGGTCCCTACCTTGCCCACAATGTGGCTCTTGTAACCCAGCTCCTTGAAGTACTGAGGCATGATAGTCTCCGTCAAAGGAAGTCCGTAGGGCTCATCGCCGGCGATCACACTGTGCTGCATCCCTGAACAACAGATGAGATGTCTGTCATGTTTCGTCGTTTACCTGTACCTGGGCCGATTGTCTCACCTGTGTGAATGGAGGGTCAGTATCGACTGTTCTTGGGTTGTATGTCTAAGGTGCGTGTATAGTTTGTCAGACATCAGTGTCACCTGTGCCTGGTTGTTTGTCTCACCTATGTTTATGGGGTGGCCGTCTCACCTGTGTGTATGGGGATGTCCATCTCACCTGTGTGTATGGGGTGTCCATTCTCACCTGTGTGTATGGGGTGTCTGCCGGTCATGATGGCGCTTCTAGTCGGTGTACATATAGGAGACACATAGTAGTTGTTAAGGATGATGCCGTTGTAGGCGAGGTTGTCGATGTTAGGGGTGGGGATCTGATTAGACCCATGGAAGCTGACATCATTGTAACCCTGTAAATAGACAAGACCAGATCTTTCATTTTACAGAATGACCATATGTTATCTTTCGTCACAACATTACATTGCACATTGACAGACAGTCGTTTGACATCAATACCATGTTCAGAATCAGTTGACAGTTGAATAATCATATAAATGCATACATTAATTGATGTGTCATTGTCTTAGTCGCTCTTGGGTTACTGAAGGCGAATTTTAACCCGGGGAATTACCAGATAGATCGTACACAGTAGCCGAGAGACGGGTCAGCTTGATAATGTGTTTCTTTGCTTCGAAAGGATTAAATCATTTCCAACCTTCCTCGCTTATAATACACGACGTTTTCTGGCCCAGATCTGTTTGCACGTACCAGATCATCTGCAACGATGAAGACGATGTTTGGACGTTTCGCTGACTGACACGACGTTGCCATGGCAATCAGCAGTCCCACAACCCATGGAAACGCCATATTGCTGTCTGGAAAGTGGTCGAAAAACCATGTTAAGGATCTGTTTTAGCATGCACCTATGTCACGTGATCACTGGGTGCTGCTACTGACACCAGACAACAATTGGTTCTGGCTGAAAACTCTACCTGGGTAGTTGTGAATTCTGTTGAAGCCCCGATCTCAACAATACACCCTCATTAACAAGGACTTGTAAATATCTGGTTAACTAGCATGCTTGCATTGGTTTAATGTGACGCCAGCAATGAAGAAACTAAGTGTATGAGCAATGGTTTTACGCCATTTCGGGCAATATTCCAGCCAGATCCAGTCACGTAAAATTCAACTTCACACATAATTATCATGAAGGGAATCGAACAAGGACTCAGCACTTCGGCGGGCAAAACTCGCCGCTTGAACCACTACACTACTACCTCATCTTACCCACTTACTGCTGCAGCTTCCCGCGACACCTTAGAGTGAGTGAGTTTAGTTTTACGCCGCTTTTAGCAATATCCCAGCAATATCGCGACGCCGGGGGCACAGGAAATGGGAATCACACATTGAACCTATGTGGCAATCGAACCCTGGCGTGACAAGCGAACGCTTTAACCACTAGGCTAAAACACACACACACACACACACACACACACACACACACACACACACACACACACACACACACACACACACACACACACACACACACACACACACACACACACACACACACACACACACACACACACACACACACACACCTTAAGAGGCGATTTTAACTCATTCAAAGGTCACCGAACTCTTAGTTATTGCATGAGCAACTGACAACAACAACAACAACAACAGGTCTACACAGCGCCCCAGCCGCCCAACTCAACTGACATCTCGTGTATAGGTTGATGAACTTAAGCTGCTTATTAAACCACCTGTTTACTTGCATATCTCTCACAGTCTCAAAGTTTATCATACCATACAGGGCATTCAGTGTGTACTACACACTTACCTGCACAAGCTCTCCCAGTAGATAAGTCCCTAGTGACGTTGTTCGTGTTTCCACTGCGTGCAACCGAGCTGACGAAAACAAGATTCACGTGAAACCATAAACCTTTTGTTAAATCAAGGATAACGAGACCTCATCTATTGATCTAGTCACATGCTGGATGTCACGTGTACGCACAACGCTGAAATCCATACAGTGTCATATGTCATGTGCTTCATGGCTATCAGTCACGCCCCTCTGACAGTCGCGGAAGTTGACACGGTCGCTCAGAGTTTCGTTATGGGGTGAATACTCTATATATAGCACACGCGGTTCATATAGAACTGAGCTGGTAGTTAAGGTATTGTGCCTGTATGTGTCCTTACACACAATGACACCGAGACACTACAGCTGTGTTCACTATGGCGAAACTGCCGAGAGGGAGGCCTTGGCAAACGGTGTGTTCTCACGCACAGCTGTTCAACGCCTTCTTCATGATAAGTGAGTGAGTGAGTTTAACGCCGCTTTGCACATCGGATGAAACCATGCTGTGAGGCTTTGCGGCTTTCATACCAAGTGTGGTATCTTCTTAGAAAGGCTGAGACTCTCCAGGTTGCAGAGTCCCATTGATCTGCATAAATACTTGCTCACACTTGTACATAAGTATCCCATTCTTATTCTGTTTATCACTTGCTTGATGACGGTGTTACAACCTACACGGAAACGTTTCCTTCACTGTAATTAAAATTTGTTCACCCATACATTGTTGTCCTTGAAGTTACTTGTTTTGAATCCCGCAGGTCGATGGTTATTCTGTTGATCACTGGATTGTCTGGTCCAGTGTCGATTATATACAGACCGCCGCCATATAGCTTGAATATTGCTGAGTGCGGCGTAAAACTCAACCCACTCACTCACTCACCTTATCTTGAACCTCAGTTCAAACCTAACCCGAGGCCCATGACGTTGTTGTGGCATAAGGGGATGTTCAGAACTACCCTAAAAAAAAAATAAGAAACACATAAGCCATTTTCAGAAGAATTTAGTTTAAGAACAATTATTTCATGTAATTTCAATGGTAATAAGGGAAAAATTCCAACGTCTATGGACAATGATTTCGCCAACATAACAGCAGCCTTTATTGTTGTGTTTATGTTTACTTGAGTCAACAAGATGGCGTCAAAGTCAGTACTTTGTATAGCCACTATTGGCAGAAATTACTGCTCGGCACCGTCTCGGCACAGACTGGATAAGTCGACGAAGTTGCTCTTGCGGAATACTTCCCCACTCTTCCTGCAATGCGATGGCCAGTTGTGGAAGTGTCTGAAGCGTGTTTTGAAGTTGACGTACGTCGATCGAATTCATCCCATATAGGTGTTCTAACGGGTTTAGATCTGGTGATCGGGAAGGCTATGACATTGACGTTAGAATTGGCAAGGTAGCGGACGCGTGCTGTATGTGAAGTAGCGTTGTCATGCTGGAACAATTCCCTCTGTCGGTCCATAATCGGAATGATGTGTCGTGCAAGGACCTCGTTGATGTACCGATTTGCTGTCAAATTCCCCTAAACCATCACTAAATCTTAGTGTGCTGGATATGTAACCCCACACTATGACACTTCCTCCACCAAATCTGTCAACCTGTCGAATGCAATTAGGAGCAAACGTTCATTTCTCCGACGATAAACACGCTGTCTTCCATCTCTCCGGTGAAGAAGAAATCGTGATTCACCACTGAACCAGACTCGCCACCAGTTTCTAAGGTTCCAGATCCGGACTCTACGACACCACGATTGCGCCGATGGAAGTCTCTCAAAACAGGGGCGAACAACTGGCCTTGTTGGTCGAATCCCCATTTCGCGCAATCGATTCCTGACAGTTTGGTCCGAAATTCTTCTCAAAACAATTATGCGTTTTGCAGTCTCCAAGACTGTGGCAAGACGATGACACAAGTCAGCAACCTAGATGTAGTTGTCCTGGGCTTGGGTGGTAACTCTTGGACGGCCACTTCTCGGGCGATCTTGGGCGGAATTGGTCCCCAGGAAACGATCCCGAAAGGCGAGATATAGTGCTCTGATGAACGTTGAAATGTCGGGCAACTGCAGAATGCGACTCGCCAATGGCGATGTTTCGATTACCCAGTCGTGACATGATGATTTCCTCTTTACCAGGCAAAACTATTAAAAACAACGTGTGCCTTTTTATAGTAATCGATACCGCATGTTTTTCTGGTTACTTGCACGTGCATGTTTCTTGGTGACGTTTTGGCGAATATTTCTTAAAACGCTTCTAACACAAGAGAAAAAGTTAAAAAGAGTTTTGGCGCTGAAGCTGTTTACAACCACACAGAGATGACGTTGTGGAAAGAAGTAGTATATTTGTATTGTTTTTGACGCAGCTACATGGGTCCAATATTCTCAAAATCACACATGCGTTTCTTTTTTTTGAAGAGTGTATGATAATAACCACGTCGGATCAGAATCAAGCATAGATAATATCACAACACATATTACCAACTGATAATTAGAATCATTATAATAATAATAACAATCATACTAAGGTAGAAGGTCTTCGGCATCCAGTGGCTGATAGGCGGCTGCTGTTGGCGGATCGGTTGGTCAGGATGTGTGGCCTGGTTCATGTATGTTATCGTATCCAACTGATAAAGAAGAATCACCATTTTTTCGTTAATTATATCTGTTGTCATATATCATTTGAACTTAACACTTATATCTATTCAGCCTGGTGCTCGACATTAATGGGTACAACAAGGGCTGGTCGGCTCTGAATCAGTATAATGTGTCTGAGTGGGGTATTCATGCTTCACTGCGGCATGGTATCTCAGTGGGCTAGCACTATAAAACCAGCTTAAGTCTGGGCTAGTACAAGCAGCCGCACATACACATACACAGGCATGCACGTCGTCATATGAGCGAAATATTCTCAAGCACGACGTAAAACCCAATTACACCTCACCTCACCTATATCTATTCATGTTTTCACAGTTTGGCCATAAAAAATACTACAGAGGTCCGGGTGCGGTAACTTTAGTGATAGGTTACAGGGAAGTTTGCTGCATACCACACCACTTGCACGCAAAATCACCAAACAGTTCCTAAAATTTGACTCCATACTGACGCTTGTTTCACCCCAACCAAAGACGTATAAATTACGTCTTTGCCCCAACCATTGCGAAGATAAAGTATTTGTTATAGAGATCGTACGTGATATCCCTCCCCTTCTTGCTTCGACGTTCAAGGATTGTGATGGACACGTGATTATATTAACATGTGGTCTGTTCACACGGCAGAATATTTCTGTGAAGTCTTGATGACGTCACGTGTAAGTATGACGTCAGAATAATCATTTCCTGTTCTATATAGGTTCTTTTCTCCAGTATTCTATAAAAGTACATAGCGTTAAAACCTCACTAAATCTATTGGGTTTTATACACTGTCTACACGAAGTGGTGTAGCCGTATTGATGTATGTGAGGTCCGGGAACAGGGGTGGTCAATACTTGAACAGGTTGACCCGGACAATGACCACTCGACAACGATGTGAAACAGACGCTGACGTAGTTTTTGTCGACTTATATACAGATTCGGACCTGCAACCTCCGTCTATACATGTTATATACCAGGGTAGCCGAGGCTTACACAGTTTGCCGTTAGACAATAAATATAAAGCCTGGTCAGCCGGACTGAGATGTAAAAAGAATTCCCAAAACTCATACCTCAAATCAGAGCAGAAATTACAGACAGAGAGAAAATGGGTCTCATCCTCAATGTTATTACTGTTACAAAATTTACAAATTCTTTGTTCAAAAGGCCCTTTAGGACGGGAAACCCTACCCAACTCCATTTCCAGGGGAAGGGTGCCACGGCGTAGTTTACTAAATGTACTGAGGTGTGAACGCTCAAAAGAGTAGAAACATAGGTTTCAGTATTTAACGAATGTTTAAACAAGCGGTATGTCCGCAGCTTATTACCATTACACTGACCACTATCATTCCAAAGTTGATGAAACCAATCTTCACTACCCTTATGTAGTAAACAGCTCTTAGCAATAGCGAAATCGCTATGGGAAATGTCGCAAATATCTATTATAGGTAATTGCCAAGACTGTATCATACAATGAAAAGTATTATACCAGGATTTTCTGAACTGAAGAAACCATCTACTAACGATATTGGGAATTCCCGGAAATAACCTTTCATAACCTAGGACAGTCAGGTGAGGTAGACGAAGGTGTTACGTAATCTGCCTGAAGCATGACCCAGTTATAACAACAAGTGTCTGCAGCACAGGTTAGTCATCAAAACTTTTACGTCCAAACATTGCTACAGAAGGTCGGGGTGTAGGTTGGGAACACGGCGGGGGTCACTTCACACATTGTACCCATGTGGGGAAGTGAACCCGGGTCTTCAGCGTGACGAGCGAACGCTTTAACCACTAGGCTAACCCACCGCCCCTATTTTGATAACGGAACACTCAAAGGATTAGATGATGAGAAGAAATTAAGTAGTAGGTAATTAGTAGGAATATGAAAAGCGACAGTTAATATTTGTTTTTGTGCTAAAAACAAGATGCAAGCTTTTGAGAAAAACATGAACCGGATAAAGTTTGTGGTTTATTTAAAATATTGTATGAAGATTAGTTAAATGAGAAGAGTTTGGTGGTGTAGTGAGAATACAAGACTATCTGTTTATTACCTATACTAGACTTTTAGCAGCAGCTGACCAACTAACAGATCGATCCGCTTGATCTTGTTGGTTACTTGTTAAAACTCGGATGAGCAATACACAATCAATAATTTAAGTGAGACCAGATATGTTACGCTGTTTATAAGGATACTGTTCAGTATGATAATAATGTATAATGTGCTGTAATGTGCTACCAGATATCATAATACAACGCTATCAAGTCTTACATATGCTATCAGACATTTTAATACAATAGTGTCATGATGTACAGTCAAGCATAATAAAATGCCATCATGTCTTACAGATTGATTATTTCTTTTCACCTGCGGCTTCCTATTCTTCTTGCAAGACATGTTGTTATTAAAGTTATGGGAGAATACTTCAGCATCAGTTGGGTAGTTCCTTTGATCTCCACAGGAGATTGGCTGTGCGCTGGACCCTACAGGTTGTTGCTTTAGACTGCTGGCATGTAGAAAGTTTGGGACGATACCTACACAGGTGTTTATGTACTTGGATTTCAGACTGGTTTCAGATATTTATCTGCCCGCTTGCCCACATGTGAAGCGCCCATAATAGACCTGGGATCGCATTGCATATCAAATCTAGAGAAAGGAAATATGAGGATTATATACCGAAACAGTATGTATTTCCTGTGTAGTATGAGGGAAACCGACGTCAAAACGCTACAAAACAGCCCTCACCAACTGCAATACTCATCATTGGGGGTCACTGATATTCGTGAGTGGTGTTACTAACGCTTGAAAGTGGGTGTACCGACACTCGTCAGTGGGTACAGTACAGTGGAAGCCCTCTAAACCAACATTCGTTGGGATCGGCAAAAAATGCCGGTATAGAGGGCATGCCGGTTTGGAGAACTTTTCCTTTTTCAACCTGAGAATGATCTCCCGTGTGCTGTAAAATACGACTGAACAACGTGTTGGTAGTCATCATATTCTTTATTCATCAATGATGATATTGGTAAAGCACGGAAAACAAACCAGTCTCATCGCAGTTAAAGACATCTACACTAGGCGCATATCCATCAATCAAAGTCGGGAGGCGGGAGCTTAATGCCGATGGTAATCCACTATGTAGTTAATACGCGTTCAGACAATCAACAGGAGAGCCGAGATACCGGATGCCGGTTTCGAGAGCGTTGATTACTGTACAAACAGTCAATTTGGCGGTCTTTGTTGTGCCGAAATACGGAATAGACTGACGCTGGATTAGAGTGCGTTTAACTTATCATAACTTAACTAGCTCCTGTCGGGACCAAATTCTAGTGGCGATGTTGAGAGCATGCCGGATTGGAGGGCTGTCGGTTTAGAGGGCTTCCACTGTGTATTTGTCTTGATAATTCAACGTTGAAGGCAGATGACACCATCCCTCCTCGGGGACCATTCGATACACACGGCAAAACATTGCCTCGAAACAATGTAAAGTTTTTATGCAACGCAGGAATTCTGCATATTTGATACTGTTTAGTGGATATATGTACAATGAAATTCGTGTTTATATAACATATAAACTGTAGTTTCAAAGAAATATTATGCCCAAATAAACCGCAGCCTTTCGACACAGACAACCAGGCACAGATCATCGAACCTTCAGCTGAACCGACATCAGCCGTTTTAGAAGGTTCCAACAAACTTGTCTGACCATCCCTGTAGTATAAGGCTAAGGGTCACAACCTCTCAGGAAAACAGCGGATCCTGACAGTCCACCTACGTAATAGGTATGACTGAATCGCTTCACGTCTTTATGTGAAAACAGTTCAGACAGTGCTTGTGTTTGACAAAGTTATATCTACTCGAGCCACGACGTTGACACCTTGGTTTTACATGTGTCAAATAAATAATATTTAGTGTGAATTAAATCAAAATAATTTGGTATTATATACCCAGAAATGTGTATTATATACATTGTATAAGTATTCCCACCCCATGCATGCCATAAATTGTGAGAAGTGGGACAACGTATAGCAGTACTTAGTTCAATCGAAACAGAGACATCACGTGACTGTGAAAAACTTCGCCATGTCATCGTGACTCAGCTGAACAGCCAATTTGATTGTATGTCAATGAAAGTGTTTTCAGTCAATGTATGGTATCATATGTGTCGATTCAGCATGGGCGCGGCACACTGTCGGCGTAGGGGTGGCTGACGTAGCCAGTGGTTGCGTTATTGAACGCTGAACTGCTCGATCGATTGAACCATACCGTAACCACAAGCCCTATATCATGCACAAATCATTATATTGGTCACAGCTCAAAGCTAACATTATCGACTTATCCATAGTTCGAGACAGAGGGTCCCGCAAATCAGACTGCCTGGACCATAGGCTTTAACGATATATCGAGGAGTTCGAGTTAACGAGAATTTGATGTTCTTCCACCAAAATATCCCGTATATGCAATGTTAAAGCAATTCAATTATTTTGCCTGCTTTCGGCATGGCCGACATGTGCTGAGCCGAAGGCAAATCGTCACGCAGCGTTAACTGTGTATCTGCTGCGAGACGTCCTTGACCTACAGGTATAGGACTGGGTCACGTTTTGTCAGCGGAAAGTTTCAGTGGTAAAATCTATAACGACATTCTAGAACTGCCCGCGCACACTGAACGGAGCTTTCTCCCCAGCTGTAAGGTAAAGTAACAGTTTAAAAGTTTTATATTTGTACACTCACTTTGAAAACAAACTATCTTGATATGATAAGTGGTAATGTTGTCATCTTTGTTTAAAATGATATTTTCGAGAAATAGACGCACGGGCACGTTTTGTTGTTGAAAACAATGTTCTGTTTCAAACCGTGTTTCAGGAATTGTACTTATAGCGTTTTTGCGATTGAACTTTCAGCTTTTTTGGAATTGAACTTTCGGGTTTAGATGAATTTTGTTACGTTTTTCGAGAGTAAGGGGATTTTCGTCGTGTTTCAATTTATTTAAATATATTTAATAAGTAGATTTGTTTTATTAAACCATCCCTTGAACAGACAAAATGCTGAAAACAAACTGCTCACATTCAGTTGAAAACGGCAAATTTGAACGAATCTTTATGTGACATGTGTGAGGTGGGATCTGTGTGTGGTTGGGTGAAGAGGAGGTGTAGGCCGGTGTGTGTGTGTGTGTGTGTGTGCGCGCGCGTGCGTGCGTGTGTGTTAGTCGCCGTGAATGGTGGTCGCCTTTACTGGAAGTTCTAATCAAGGAAATTTATGGATTCTTCGTTATCATAAGGAAAATAAAATTTCGGAGTGTGCGCTTACCCTTGATCTATGTAAATGAAAGCTATAACAAAGAAAGCTTATATATGGACAGGTGAGACCAACACTGAGACCAAGTACTGAGATAATAAAGGTAGGAACTTACCTGGTTGAGCCAAGAGTTAATGTTTCTAGTATCGATTGTCAATTATCAAAAGTACTAAATCTTGTAAATATGTGTTTCTTTTCTGATATTAATTGCCATTCAAAGACATGATAAATGTTCTGTGGTATGCTGGTAATTGCACAGGCCAAATGTGCTTCCGACATGAGAGCAAAAGGTTTCTATAACCCGACAGAAATACTAGGCCACGCCTACTGAGGGACTACTGATTTCTGATTGCCTTACAATGGAGTTGACGGGACTTGTGTTGAATCACTACACTGAACGATGTTTACTGATTCGGATATTTTTGTCCTCAGGTTTGTCTGTGTTCACGATTGATTAAGCATGTGCTATTTCTGATGTGATTATTTAAAACGCGGTTATCAATTCGTTTTTCGTTTATGCTTCCATGCACTCAAAACATACAGATTGGTTGGTTGTTGTTTAACGCCGCACTCAGCAATATTCCAGCTATATGGCGGTGGTCTGTAAATAATCGAGTCTGGACCAGACAGTGCAGTGATCACCAGCATGAGCATCGATTTATATTAATGTCAGCCTGACCACCCCATCCCCCATCGCCTTTTACAACAAGCATGGGTTACTGAAGACCAATTCTAACCCGAATCTTCACGGGTACAAAGCATACAGAAGTCTGTTCTTAATTATTGTTGAGCAGTATACCGTTCTTGGCAGTAGGGTAGCCTAGCGGTTCGCTCGTCCCGCCGAGGACCCTGGTTCGATTCCCCACAAGGGTACAATGTGTGAAGCCAATTTCTAGGGCCCCCGCCGTGATATTGCTGGAATATTGCTAAGAGCGGCGTAAAACTAAACTCACTCACTCGACATTCTGAATTATGAAACTTCATTTTCTTGCAGCACCGCAAAGGTGGAGTGGTTATCTAGTTTGACTTTAAAGTGTTGTACTCGGACACCGCAGCCTTTCACTCAACAGTTTTAAAAGAAAAAACAGTAGTTTGAATAATATCGACAGTCAATACCAAGACGTATCTTTTACCATTAACAATTATTTCAACGGAAATATGAAACTGAACTATCTTCACCCATAGTGGTAATGATATTCATTAGGCGTTCCTCCGTCAGGTGTTCGTGCGTCGTAGCGACAGCTGCCATTCGCTATCAGTTTTTAGTTCAGGAGGAATCATATTTTATCGTAATGACTTCACGGAACGGATTTCACGCGCTCGCACGTACGCGCACACGCACACGAACAGACGCACAAGCTGAAACTAACACTCGAGCATACGCACTCACACTTCAAACCGTCATTCGAAACGAACATGACTACATACACACATATTTCTGAGCACGTGACACGTGCGTGACATGGCTGCTGACACGACGTCGCTGAAGATCAACAGTTACATAATTTACCCTACTTAATTCTAATTTGGTCTTCCCATGTGTTCAGCCAGTAGATGGCAATCCATGTGGATGTCACACCGCAAGTACACAGCGATAACAGCTGCTGTCAGTCCAGGGTCACCTGTCTCACCTGAGCTGTTTCCTCATAAAACAGTCCCTCGACAAACATCCTCCTCATTCACACCTGAAATATAGCACCGCTCAATATATACTACCCATCAAAGGTTTAGTGAGTGAGTGAGTTTAGTTTTACGCCGCACGCAGCAATATTCCAGCTAGACTCAATTACACTATATGTCGTATATGGCGATGAATTTCTCCAAACTTGGTTTGCAGATGAAGTACAAGGATGAATCCATTTTCTTTTAATGCAAATATTACTATTCTATTATTTTCCACATATTTACAACCGCATTCCTATATTTATATTCAAAACATTCAAATGAAGAATTAAATCTATGCAAATTCTAACTGCTTATAAAAGGGACTTTGTTAAACTCAACTCATGCAAATATATTTTGATTGCATATGTTATATGTATATGGGCCGGTGGCCTTCATGCATAATAAAGATCTTTGACTTTGACTACACGAGGATCATGCATCAAATTGCTTAAAAAACATGTGCAAATATGGTGCATGTGAACAGCTGCGTGTTGGTGTAAAGTTTTGTTAAGAATTCGCTAATTTTCACTGAGTTTCATCATTTCTTGAACTTATGACAATAATCATTTTCAGCGTTACGAATTTGTTTTACAATCCATCAGTTCATATATAAACAGTATCTTTAAACACTATGGAATATTTTGCCAAATCTAGTTTGACTGAAGTAAGTGGCTACATTTACACAAGTAATTCTAACCTTTTGATGGGTAGTATATATTGCCTTATATAATAACGATGTTAAAAGAGCGTATCCAGGATCGTTTTCTGACGAGACAAATCTGATTTTAAGTGACATACTGATATTGAAATACGTGAGACCTCGGATATCCGGACACATTCGTTTTACGTAAATCGTCCGGATAATTGAATGTGAATTTTTGGTTTTCATACACCTGGGATTTTGGGATTTTGTTCTTTGTACAGACATATCTCTCTTTCTTTTTCCTTGGCTGTCACTGCGTAGCGCTTGCGTTTAGTATCTAGCCAGTGATCAATTGAAAACCAACTGACTTGAATATCTGACGAGACAAGAACTCAATGGTTAACTCAGTGTCAGCTAGGCCTTTTCACCACCAAGTGACATTACAGACGATCGTTCAAAACACGCGGGATACGGTTAGCGGTGGATGCTAACATGTCAACAGTTGTATATTTGACGTCCCTATAGACCGATTCTTCTGTACTATATAATAGTCCTAGCAGTCATATACGATGTTGTTATACACTTACGCTATCAGGTATCTTTAGTCACAAACACACACGCACACACGACACACACACGCACGCACCCACGTACAAATGGATTGTTTGAGGTTGAAGTCGAACCTTACAGACACCAGGGCACGCCATTACTGTTTCACTTAAACATCCACCGAATCGGAGGGCGCGGTGGGCGAGCTGGCTAAGGCGCCAGGCTAGAGGTCCAGCGAGGTTGAGGTGTCGGGATCGAGCCCACCTGTGACCGGGTGTAAAACCTTGGAGTCAACTTTGTGTGCAGACTCTGTCAGTGTTGTCACAACCCCTAGTGTACAGTACACAACCCTGTGCACTTAAAAGAACCCACGAATCCGTTGGTATATGACCAGATGGTGGCTACATGAATACGATGCAAACACCTAAAAAGAGAGTACTGTCGGAAATGCTAGAAAAATGCTTTTGACTTATATTTAAAATTCAGAGGTATTACAGTTACTTAAATAACAAATATCACTTCAAGAAACATCTACCTAATGTAGACCGGGGAATAAATTTAGAGACATGCTCTAAAATGTGTTTTTACTCGATGAAAATACCAAAACTTAGAAAAAATAAGGGGTAGTTGGACGTTATTTGAAACAAACATTAACTGCCTGTGTTACGTCATCAGCATGCACGGTATCGACAGGTGAAATTGACACCTGAGCACACGCTCGGGCGAGGGTCATCTCAATAGATGTTTTCTGCAAAATGTTGAATATGTGTACGTATAGTATACGCATCAGTTATGTAAGGGATCATTTGTGTATGTGTGTTTGTTGTGACATACACATACGAATTACTGTACATTGGAAAGAATCCTATCACTTGTGGTATATAATCGATTGATTGTAGAAATGTGCAACGTTTTTAATAAATGTTTTGCATGTCAACAGTATAGTTCATTGAAAAAATATGGATGTAATTCGGTCAGTTTAATTTAGTTGTGAACATTGGCCAAAAGATATATTATATATATTGTTCTTCATATAAAGTTTGTAGACCGTCCGTCTAAGCATTCCCTTGTCAAAGTTGTCAAAGGATTGTTTTACGTCTCGGTTTTGCATATGAGACGGTCCCTGTCTTGTCTGATTTGTTTTACAATATTGTACACTTGTTGTAAGACATGCCAACAGCTCTACAAAGTTCTGTAATAAACCCTCTCTACACCAATGAAAGGTTTACCTCTGTCTTTTTAAGCATAAAAACTATAAACCTTTACAACAATAGACTGCAAATCGTTGGCCATAGTGCACGCTGTGATAAAGATGTGCATGCATGACGGGAAACTTATTTATCAAGACTTAACATTTATATTAATATTTCTTCAATACAGAAAACGATAATTAAGCAAAAGTAACACAAACATTCAACATTTATTTGTTTAGGAAAACGTTAATTCATATTTTTACACCACCTGTATTATTAGCATAAATGTAAAGACTATATCAGATTTCTGTTGTTGAACTCTGAATAAAATCTTAAGTTGCTGTTT